GGCTAGCAGTGATTCTTTAGGAAAGGGCAGGCTAGCAGAGATTCTTTAGGAAAGGGCAGGCTAGCAGAGATTCTTTAGGAAAGGGCAGGCTAGCAGTGATTCTTTAGGAAAGGGCAGGCTAGCAGAGATTCTTTAGGAAATGGCAGGGTAGCAGTGATTCTTTAGGAAATGGCAGGCTAGCAGTGATTCTTTAGGAAAGGGCAGGCTAGCAGAGATTCTTTAGGAAATGGCAGGCTAGCAGAGATTCTTTAGGAAATGGCAGGCTAGCAGTGATTCTTTAGGAAAGGGCAGGCTAGCAGAGATTCTTTAGGAAAGGGCAGGCTAGCAGTGATTCTTTAGGAAAGGGCAGGCTAGCAGAGATTCTTCAGGAAAGGGCAGGCTAATAGAATTTTTTGTGGACAAGACAGGCCAGCAGAAATTCTTCGTGAAATGAAAGCCTTTAGGCCAACTGACCGACCCGCCTACCGAAAGCTACAGTACCCCCAAACTCCCCTTGTTTTGACCTTCCGATGATTTGGCCCATCGCCAAGCCCATTGTCTGACCGGCCAATCCGGAAAGTGACGTTCACCTGCGGGGGTACTGTTGTGTATTTTCGGGATTCTGAAAGGGTGGTCGAGTGAAATGAAGCCGGTTCTGACCGGGGGAAAGCCACGAAATCTCGGCGCTCGGCGAAAACATCCCCCTTTCTCCTGGCTATTGGCTGATTCAGGGGTCAGCGCCGTTTGAAGGATGGGCATTTTGAAGGGGGCTTGGGTTTGCGAGGCTTGGCTTAGGCTTGGCTTAGGGTTAGGCTTAGGCTTAAGCTTAGGTTTAGGCCTAGGCTTGGGATTCTGCTTATTCGTAGAGCTAAGCTAGGAGTTACGTTTACGCCTGAGCTTGGCTTGGACTTCGGCGTAGGCTTCGGCGTAGGCGTGGCTTGGGCTTGGCTTAGGCTTAGCCTAGGCTTAATCTTGAGCCTGAGCTTTGGCTCAGGAAGCAGCCTAACCTCTGGAACCTTTGAAATATCGGTGAAGGCCAGCCGAACCGGCTTTCGGCTTCGGTACCGCAACACGTTTGCAAAAGCCGGAACAGCATCTCAACATCAAGAGTTAAATTTTTCAAGGATTTTAGCTCTGACTTTTCAAACCACACCACCAGTACGCCTTGGAAACGGCATTTTATCAGACTTAAAAACATGAAAAACAACGGGATCACTGAGAAAGCAATCGAAAGAATGCCGAAAAAAGCATTTATAAAAATCCAAAAGCGTGTGCAAGCCCACAGCAAAATACGAATTTTGCAATAAACCGCTTACCTCGCATCCACAGCCCCAAAAAGCGCGCCAGCTTTCTCGCTTGCCCGGGGTACGGTAGGGCAGTGCTAAATGGGGAGAACGTCAATCAACCAAGTAAAAATAGCGACGAGGTCGAGAGGGTCCTCAATAATCTCTGCTAGCCTGCCCATTCCTAAATAATCTCTGCTAGCCTGCAAAAAAACTTGGAAAGATCGGTGCAGCGAGGCGTACAGGGCCCTCCAAATGACATGGCAAGTCGGTGGGTGACTTCCGGGCAACCGGTTATACCCTCAGGATACAATAATAATGCGAGAGAGAGAGAGAGAGAGAGGGAGAGAGAGACCGAGAGAGAGAGCGCGCGAAGCGCATTGTCTCCATCCCCCGCCCGCCTATCACATGCACATACACCTTCACTTTTTAGCCTTTTCGTGAGGTGCCTCGTCTGCGCGCTGTGCAGACGACGGCGTGGCAGGGGAACGTATAGTTTTTTAGGGAAGGTATGCAAATTTGGGCTGAGCAAGATGTCAGGATTTTGGATCTCGGGATTATGGACTGTGGGGGTTTGGATTGTCGGTGTTTTGGCATCTTGGTAGTAATTCGGCAAGTCTTTGTCTTTCTGCTCTCTCTCTTCTCTCTCTCTCTCTCTCTCTCTCTCTCGCTCTCTCTCTCGCTCTCTCTCGCTCTCTCTCGCTCTTTTTGTCTCTCTCTCCCTCTCTCCCTCTCTCTCTCCCTCTCTCTCTCTCTCTCTCTCTCTCTCTCTCTCTGTCTCTCTCTCTCTCTCTCTCTTACACACTCAGATCCGTCGATCCGTCCAGATCCGAACGGGTGTATGTATGGGCTGTATTTCCGAGTGGATGGGTGGAAGGGGAGGAGGAGGAGGATGAAGGGGAGGATGGCCGGGCATCCATCTCCAAGGTTGTCCACCTCGAGACTGGCACCCACCAGCTCGGCTAGGGGGAAGAAGGTGGACAGACGAATAAACGAACAGGCGGAGTGTGAGCAAAAGAGAGAGTCACCGAACGGCTCATCCTCCCCACGACGACTCGAACTTCGCGCGGATGATGGGGACGGTCTGGAAATGAAGTACTGAAACAGTCGACACTTAAACTTTCGTTTCTTCAGCATGCTAGCCTGCCCTTTCCTAAAGAATCTCTGCTAGCCTACCCTTTCCTAAAGAAACGGTGCTAGATTGCCCTTTTCTAAACAATCTCCACAAGTTGATTATCCTTCCACGATCGAGAGCTGCTTGTTTTGTCCTTTAAACGGAAGACCACCCAGCTTTCCGTAGCGGTGTTGGGAAGTTATCCAGTATCACATCTCTCTCTCTATCTCTCTCTCTCTCTCTCTCTCTCTCTCTCTCTCTCTCTCTCTCTATCTCTCCCTCTCTCGCTCTCTCTCCAATCCTTCAAATTGTTTGATGATAGTGAAAAGTCAGTTGTCGCCGGGTTTTTTTGTCATTGACCCAATTCTTGCAGTCGACCGGCCATCCGGGGGGCACCAGATTTCCCTTCGCGGGCTGGTCGGTCGCCGTTTTCAAGAGGTAGGCTAGCAAATATGCTTTAGGAAAGGGCAGGCTAGCAGGGATTCTTCAGGACGAGATCGGAAAGCCTGCTTCAGTAGGTCATCCGGTCATTGTTTTCTCGGTTTTTCTGTCTGGGACTTCGATCGCTCTCCCTCCGTCTCTCCGTCTCTCTCTCCCTCTCTCTCTCTCTCTCTCCCTCTCTCTCTCTCTCACTGTCTCTCTCTCTCTTACTCTTTCTCTCGCTGGCCCTCCGAATTTCGGGATTCGGATTTTCGCTGGGCGGCTGGAAGGCTGGAAGTGTGTCTGTGGGGTGTTGGTAATAGGGAATCGGGTCAAGGACGACACCCGCCACATGCACAACTCTCTGAACCAGAGGCGAGAGAGTGGAGAGAGAGAGAGAGAGAGAGATCCCGAAAATCCCGCGCATCCACGCACATGCGCGCAACCACTGCGCGCACCTGGGTGGCAGCTAGAGGCAGGGAAATGGAAGTAAAGGCAGGCTCGAAGAGGTTAGACGAAATTTCGGCACTATTCGGCGTGTTCCAATGTCGACAATTTATTTCTAAAGCGTAAATTTCGCATAATTTCGAAGGGAAACACCAGAGCACGGGGGGGGGGGGTTGACCAGCAATTTTTTGTTAGTGCGACTAGATACATAGGATGAATTTTTTGGGCGTTTCACAGGGTCGGGAAAGCAAAAATCTATCAAAAACTGGGTAGCCGTTAGTTCTGGCTTTATTTGACTTCCTGGTCCCTTTAAAATGGAGGAAAAATAGAGGAAAATCAATAAGGTATCAAAATCAGGAGGGTCATTAAAGGGATACCGATTATTTCCAGAGCTAATTGTGTTAATAGGTTTTGTTAATTTTTCATCGCGATGCGCAGCTCTCTGGGGTATCCGGAAATGACTCGAGGAAGAATTCGACCTGGAAATAGTGGGTTTAAATGGTTACGAAAGAAAAAAATATTACCATGTTTTGGATCTAAATTAGAACCAGGGTTGAAAAGCCGCTTCGCGACTTTTCAACCCTGGCCCCGTCTGCCCCTAGGATATTCTCCACTTTGCATGATTTTCCTGGATTCCGATAAGCAAAAAATGAAAATCGTTTCCTCTTTCCCGTTATATAGGCGATCGCCACTTCCGGCGCATGCTAATTGATTCCTAACAAAGAGAGTCTCCAATTTTGCAACAAAAACTTAAACTTAATAGCGAAAATAGGTGATTTTGTTAAATATCATGTGTGTGCAGTCATCTCCTGACCATTACGCACCTAATGAAGTATCGAACATATCCCTAAGTACTTCCCTTCTTGAGATACTACTGGAACACGGTGACGGAAGTTGCATGCAAAGTGGCACAGACACACACACAAACACTATTTTTTTATATATAGTAGGATAAGGCAAACCTGGGTAATTAGCGTGTCGACTCCTTGCAAATAGCCCTCGTCAGCGCCGTCATAAAGAGCGTCCTGGAATTGTTTTAGTTTTAAGGAGAGAGAGAGAGAGATAGAGAGAGAAAGAGAGAGAGAGAGAGAGAGAGAGAGAGAGAGAGAGAGAGAGAGCGATAGCAAAATATCGAGAGAAGGGGAAAAGCGAGAGAAAACGAGAAGAGAGAGAGAGAGAGCTAGAGAGAGAGCGAGAGAGAGAGAGAGAAAGAGAGAGCGACAAGGGGAGCCTTAAAGGGATGGTGACACCAAAAACCCGCCCCTACCTGGCAAAATCCCGGAAACGTCGAGTGCGCAAAGTCGATCATCTGAACCCGAATATTGTCCGAGCGATTCGACGCATCAAACGCCACGAGTATTGAAGACGAGAAGAATCTGAACTCGTGCTCAAATTCCATATCTTAAATGCCTTACCGTAACCCGTCTGCCTGGGCCAACTCCTTGCGCATCGCTTCCAGCTTTTTCTTCAGGATGAGGGCGCGTTTCTCGCCGCACGCTCGCAGGTAGAGGTAGAGGTAATCGTAGAACTGTTGCTGCCCGATTTTTCGGCCTGGAAAGGGCAGGCTAGCAGAGATTCTTTAGGAAGGGGCAGGCTAGCAGTGATTTTTTAGGAACTTCCAAATACCTTCAAGCTTGTCGACAAAGTTAACAGCTCCAGAGCGCCGGTCAAAAAGTTGCATGCCGACGATGCGCACCTGAATCAAGTCGAAGTTTTAAAAGTATTGGAGAAAGCGAGAGAAAAAGGGAGAGAGAGGGATAGAGAGAGAGAGAGAGAGAGAGAGAGAGCGAGCGAGCGAGAAAACCTACCCCTAATAATGCCGACGTGCTTTCGGCACATTTTCGCATCTGCGCGGCAATTTTATGATCCGGTGCGTCGTCACCATGTTGTCGCGTACCTTAAAAACAACGTTTAGTCAAAGTTCGCCTAAGCCTAAACCTAAGCGCAAGCCTGTGCCTCGGCCTAAGCCTAAGTCCTAAGCCTAAGCCTAACCTAAGCCTCAGCCTAAGCCTATGCCTCCGCCTAAGCCTCAGCGTAAGCCTAAGCCTAAGCCTAGCCTCAGCGTAAGCCTAAGCCTAAGCCAAGCCTAAGCCAAGCCTAAGCCCAAGCCTAAACTGAACCTAAGCCAACTTACCCATTTTCAGGTCCAACACGCACGGCATCTCGAAGTTTTCCACAATATTCTCCAGCAAGATGAACCAGGAGGGCCCGTTTTTTATGAGTCGATGCACAACTTTGGCCTGGCACGTCCCAGCGAAAGTATTCTCATTACCCTCACCATCGGCGAGGACCTGCAAAATCTTACGGTACTTGTCACACTTTTTCCAGTTTGTTTCCTGGGCTCACCTTCCCGTTTTTCAGCCGAAACCGCATCTTCGGCGTCTTCGACGTGGACGGGCTGTTCGGAGGGGTTTTGTGGCAATCGAACATTGACGGGGTCGACAGGGTCAATTCTCCGCTACTTGACGCCGTCGCCGAGACGAAGACGCGGCCTGAAACTCGGGGTTTTAGTTTTAAAGGGGCTGGGAAGCCGATGGAAATGATCTCTCCACGCTTGCCCGGTATTGTGCTGCTTAGAAAAGGTTTCTAAAGAATCTCTGCTAGCCTGCCCTTTCCTAAAGAATCTCTGCTAGCCTGCCATTTCCTAAAGATCTCTTAGCCTGCTTTCCGATAGAATCTCTGCTAGCCTGCCCTTTCCTAAAGAATCTCTGCTAGCCTGCCCTTTCCGATAGAATCTCTGCTAGCCTGCCCTTTCCTAAAGAATTTCTGCTAGCCTGCCCTTTCCCAAAGAATCTCTGCTAGCCTGCCCTTTCCTAAAGAATCTCTGCTAGCCTGCGCTTTCCCAAAGAATCTCTGCTAGCTCCCTTTCCCCAAATGCTCTCTGCCAGTCACCCACCACAATAAGCCGGGGCGAACTTCCTCAAATTCTCCGGCAGCAGCTCGTAAAATGCCATCTCGCGCGCGTTGACCGGCTTGGCGACGTGGCCCGTGCAGGAGAACAGCCCAAAGTGGCCGCCAACCTGAAAGATTTGGTTAAGACATTGAACGTATTCACCTGATGTCGGAATCCGGTCATCTCCATGGTGGACCCGTAGAAAATTGGGGGTTGGTGATGGCAAGAATGGTGAGATCTGGAATAAGATGGCGTAATGGTTTGAATCATCAAAAAAGACATCAGAAATGAATTAATTGCGCAAAAATCTCTGCTAATGTTTTCCTAAAGAATCTCTGCTAGCCTCCATTTTCCCAAATGATCTCTGCTAGTCTGCCATTGCCTAAAGAATCTCTGCTAGACTGCCCTTTCCCAAAGAATCTCTGCTAGCCCTGAATCTGCTCTCAAGTCAAAACCCCTGAATCACTGCTTAATCCCCCCGTGGTATTCCCGGGTGAATGGCCGGTGGGCCATTTCCGGTGAACAACAAGATGATTGCCATAGAGACCGAAGAAATCGGAGTGGTTATGGAGGCGGCAACTGATTCTTGGAATTCACGAATGGGGAGAAAACAAGTAGAAAAAGGAACGTTCCAGCATGCTAGACGACAGCTAGAGAGAGAGAGAGACAGAGAGAGAGAGGGAGAGAGAGAGAGAGAGATGCCAAGTTAAAATTTAATTGAACCTCAGGGTTTTCCCAGCCAGGAATCGACCCTGGGGTCGAGTTTCAAGCACGAAAGAAGTATGGGGGCAACCGGAAGTCGAACGGAAAATGACCGGATTCCCCAGGGAGTCAGCAGAAACTTATATGCCGCTTTCAAAAGATTTTAAGGAAGAGAGATAGAGAGAGAGAGAGAGAGAGAGAGAGAGAGAGATTCCGGTTATTCCGGAGCGTTAAGTTCAGATAACAACTCCAAAACAAGAGCAAGAATAATGATTTTTGGCATCACCTTCTAATAAAAAGGGGCGACGCAACATAATCTTTTGAAAATCCGGTGAGGCATGAGGGATTAGTCTCTGACGCTGTTACGAGAGAGAGAGAGAGAGAGAGCGAGAGAGAGAGAGAGAGGAGAGAGTGAGAGAGAGAGAGGGAGAGAGAGAGAAGGTGAGACAGAAAGAGATAGAGAGAGAGAGATAGAGAGAGAGAGGAGAAGAGAGAGATAGAGAGAGAGAGAGAGAGAGAGAGAGAGAGACAGAGGGAGGGGGGAGGAAGACTTTAAGGGGATTGGTAACTCTTGTAAACGCTTACTTCAAATTTTTGGGGAAGTTAGACGATTTTTACGAATTTTGTGGTATTAAAGGGGCCGTGAAGCCAGAAATCCATAGAATTTTGCCTTCCCAATGCCTTTAAAGCCACTGAAAGCCATAAAAACCCCTAAAGGGATCGGTGTTCTGGCTGAATTATACAAATTTTATCTTTTTTTTACGTTTTCAAGGGTCCATGAAGACAAAAATGCGTAGAATTTTTCCCCCACAACCCCTTTAGAATCAGCAAAAGCCAGACAGCGCACAGCCATATAAACCAGCGAATGCCCCCGGAGAAACATTCACGTGTAGTGGTGTGGACACGAGGGTTCAGCCGTCGGTCGTGTGTGACGGAGCAAATATCGATAGAGAATCCCCCCGGAAAAAGGGACGGGCGGGGGGGGAAGAGCCAGCCAGCCTGCCCGGGCTCGCTGAGACCTGTCTACCAGACGAAACTGACTGAGTGCCGGGTTCGTTGAAGATGGTCTTTAAACCCAGAGAAGGTTCTCAAATGACCTCTGCCAGCCTGCCCTTTCCTAAAGAATCTCTGCTAGCCTGCCCTTTCCTAAAGAATCTCTGCTAGCCTGCCCTTTCCTAAAGAGTCTCTGCTTGCCTGCCCTTTCCTAAAGAATCTCTGCTAGCCTGCCCTTTCCTAAAGAATCTCTGCCAGCCTGCTCCTTTCCTAAACAATCTATGCTAGCCTTCCCTTTCCTAAAGAATCTCTGCTAGTCTGCCCTAAGCCGCTCGAACCCGCTAGTTATGTCGAAATCTCCAAGTCTAGCCACCGAGGCTACGGCCCAGGTTCTAATGCCGCAGTAACTGTCCTGTTCAGCCGATAATTGTAAGTGCCACTCTGGGATGCGGCATGGAAAACTGGCAAAAAAACGTGCGGCTTTCGAGATCAGGACCCGCCTTGGCTGGACGGCTTACTTCCGGTAATTGGAGGTCTTGGCTGGAAAAGTTAGAGCTGCGAAATAGGCTTAGCTTAGGCTTAGGATTAAGCTTCGGCTTAGGCTTAGCTTGGCCTAGGTTGACGTCGCTTGGCTCAGCCTGGCTTAGCTTGACTTGGCTGGGCTTCGGCTTCGGCTTAAGCTTAGGTTTAGGCTTCGCTTGGTTTTGGCCTGGGCTTAGCTTAGGCTTTATGTGTTTTTAAGCAAAATCTGAACAGAAAATTATACGAAAAAATCTGTCACGGAAAAGGTGTGAACCTCCAACAAATTCGGACTAATTTGCATACACCAAAGCACAAGCGGAAATTTCGTGAGGCGCAAAATGGGCCGGCTGGTCCAACGCGATTCCTGGGCCCCCAGGGGAAAATGAGTGTCCCCCTGGCCCCACGCGGAAAGCCGATATTTGCCGGCTAGACCGGGGGGTTAAGCCCGAAACCCGGAGGGAGCATCTTGCAGGCGGAGGGCGCAGAGATCAAGGGCAAAAGCGGCAGTTTTTCAGGTATAACTTTACGGGCTCAATTTACTATAGTTAAAGAATTACGCAATTAAATGGAGGTCAAATTTACGCGTCGATTGCAAATCTGAAGCTACTTAAAAACGCGTAAATCTCGAGCTTAAGCAGCTAAAAGCTAAAAAAGTTAAACATGCCTCGCTTTTTAAGGTATAGCGACTAGAATTAAATGTATAACGCCTCAAGCTTAATAAGGTTAAATAACTCGCAAAATTCTACATCGATCGCACCTATTAAAGATGCTTCAAAATTCGTAAATCCCAGTTTTAAAAGCCGTAGAAAAATTTGAGCCGTTTTTGCAAGATAACTCTCCGGGCTTAGCAGATACAGCCTTAGCACCTAGACCATTCGAAAGAGCTCAAAATTCGGCGTCGAATGAGTATACTGATGTCATTGAAAAATTTCTGATACCGGCATTAAGACCCGATAAGCCTTAGGGGCCCGCCACGTGAGCGAGGGGGCCCATGCGGCGAGGGACTGAGGGTAATGGAGAGGGCGGAGGTGGGACTGGACCTCTTGGCCCTCGGGCCCTTACATCCGGCCGGCAGGCGAGAGAGAGAGAGAGAGAGAGAGAGAGAGAGAGAGAGGGAGAGGGATGGAGAGAGAGGGGAGCGAGGGAAAGAGCAGTCCAGGGTGAGAGGGGGCCAAACGACAGGCTTGCTGGTCGGCTTCAAACGAAATCAGAAATCTCGGAAAATTTTGGGGTACTGAAAATTATGTTTAGCGTTGCGCGACACGTTGTATAGTAGCGTAACGTGGCTTAGCGTAGCGTAACGTAGCTTATCGTAGCGTAAACGTAGCGTAGCGTAGCTTATCGTAAAGTATAGTAGCGTAGCGTAACGTAACGTAACGCAGCGTAACGTAGCTTGGCGTAGCACAACATAGTGCAGCGTAACGTAACTTATTGTAGGGAGTCGCAGGGTAGCGTAACGTAGCTTATCTAACGGTACGTAGTGTAGCGTATCGTAGCGTAACGTAGCGTAGCGTAGCGTAGCGTAGTTTTCCACAATCTTTATCAATCCAACAAAAAAAACAATAACAACTTCACAAAAGATTATCCGAATCTCAAGGAGAGTTATAAAATTATCGGAAACTCGGAAATTTCGGAATTAAATGGTGTACGCGATTACAATTGATTACGAGAGATTACATGGCGTAACGGGTTAGGCGGAAAGAATTACATTGAGTAATCGATTCATTACAAGGACTTACACAGCATAATCGATTCATTACGCTGATTTAGAGGACGTAATCGGTTAATTACAAAGAATTGCATAGCGTAACCGATCGGTTTCCCTTAATTAAATGACATATCGGGTTTGGTGAGATCGATTTTCATGGCGTAACGGACTAGCGGCGGATCGGGGCCAGGGGCAGCGAGTGCACGGATGGGACGTTGGACATGTTGATGACCTCGATCGTCTGAGCGAAGCACAGGGAGTCGGCCAGTAGATGAACGTGCTCGTCGTTGATCTTGCAGAGTTGGCTACGGAGCGCCGGGTCGCGCCACGACTGCAAAATGGGATTTCAGGGGGCAGGCTAGCAGAGATTCTTTAGGAAAGAGGAGGTTAGCAGAGATTCTTTCGCAAAAGCATTCTTTAAAAACTTACGAATTCCACAACTCGAGCCATCTTCTCATCCAGCGCGGCTGCCCGGCTGACCGCCTTGACGATGTTCTGGTTGAACTGCTCGGGGCCCTCGGTGTAGACGGCCAGCTGAAGGACGGCGGGCAGCGAATAGTCGGGGCGGCCGGCAGCCAGCGGGCATTCTAAGGCCTCCTTCGGGAGAGACGCGTACATGGCCTGAAATGGAGTTGTTGGAGAGAGGGAGGGAGAGAGAGAGAGAGAGAGAGAGAGAGAGAGAGAGAGACATCCTGATACTACTTACCTCAAGTCCTTGCACAATCTTCGCCGAGCGCTGAAGCGCTCGGTTGTAGGCCTTCTCGGCGGTATCGCTGAGGGCAAACACGTTGCGGGAGAGACCCTGCAAGACGGAGACGATCATAGCTTGTTCGGCTTCACCTTCTGCTTAGGTTTAGGCTTAGACTGAGGCTTCGGTTTAAGCTTAGACTTCCCTTAGACTTCGCTTAGACTTAGTTTTGCGCCTACATAGCCTATGCCCCCAACAATCTGATGAACCCACCATTCTGGCAATGTTGCGGATGTTCATCTCCAGGCGCGCCATGCGCTTGCTGAACATCTGCGGGTGGACCGGCATCTCGGCTTGGAGTTCGACGGTGGAAAGCATCGAGATCTGAAAATATGGGTTATTTTGACGTCGTGAGCTGTCCTAAAGGATCTCTGCTAGCCTGTCTTTTCCTAAAGAATCACTGCTAGCCTGTACTTTCTTAAAGAATCTCTGCTAGCCTGCCCTTTCCTAAAGAATCTCTGCTAGCCTGCCCTTTCCTAAAGAATCTCTGCTAGCCTGCCCCTTCCTAAAGGATCTCTGTTAGCCTGCCCTTTCCTAAAGAATCTCTGCTAGCCTTTCCTTGCTATTTTCAGTAAAGAATTAAATAATCAGTAAAAAAATAAAATAAACTGCAACTTACCGAGTGGATGACAGGGGTCGGGGCGGTTTGCATGAGCAACGACATTTTAGCGGGTTTTTTGGGGAGGAGGAGGAGACTTTTTGGGGTTTTGGAATGAATGACTAGGATTGCAGCTCGGAATCGGGATCATTTTCCACATCTGTCCGAATCGCGCTTATCATGTTGACCTTACGGGAAAACGCACTATTAGAGCAATATGCACTAATGCAATGTGTGGTAAGCCATATTCGAATATGTTGAGAGCATTAATAGAAAGGGGAGAGAGAGAGAGAGAGAGAGAGAGAGAGAGAGAGAGAGGGGGAGACGCACTATTTTTTCTGGGACAATCCAGACTCCATTTTTCGTCTATTTGCGTAGATCAGTTTCACACCAGCTTCGACGTCAACATTCCGCCGAGACGGTAAATTGGGGGAACTGGGCGTGAAAAGTGGGAGGCCAGTGTGAAGAAGAAGCATCGACAAATAGAAGCCGACGGATGGCATCGGGATTTGGCTGGATCTTGCTCAAAATAGCCGTCAGTCTAGTCATTTTGGACAATTTTTCAGCCGTAGCTAATCCTAAGCCTAAGCTAAGCCTAAGGCTCAGCCTTAGCCTAAGCCGAAGCCGAAGCCTATCCCTAAGCATAAGCCCACGTTTCAGGCTCCAATGGACTAAAGAAACCTCGGTCGTCGCCAAGAATTAGTAGATGCTAGGTGGAGGACTTCCAGGGCTACCGGTAGGTTCTCTCTCTTTCTCTCTCTCTCTCCCCCCCCCCCCCCTCTCTCTCTCTCTCTCTCTCTCTCTCTCTCTCTCTCTCTCTCTCTGAAATCCATTTCCAGTTACAAGAAGGTCTCATCGGTGGCTCGCTAGGGGAAGAGCCGCGTGAAGTCTATCGTGATCGACGCTTGGAGAGGGAGAGACGACGGCAAAACGTCTCGGCCCGAGACACCAGATACGCACAGTACGTTGCTGTACTGACAACGAACATTCGATGTAATTTTCTGTGTTTTTCCCGCACCCAGGCTCCATTTTTCCAGCATGCTCCCCTGTCCAGCGGCCATTTAACCCGGGATGAGGTGGGTTAGCTAGCAGGGATTCTTTAGGAAAGGGCAGGCTAGCAGAGATTCTTTAGGAAAGGGCAGGCTAGCAGAGATTATTGGATTTTCCGAAATTCCACTACGATCCACACCTCTTTACGCGGACCGTAGCGTGCTCCCAAGGCTCGCCTTGGCGCTGAAGCATGGCCGTGGGAATTTTGGGCACTTTTGGCTTCGAGGGGGAGTCCCGCCAAAGTGGGAGCGAGAGCGAGAGAGAGAGAGAGAGAGAGAGAGAGAGAGAGAGGCAGAGAGGGAGAGAGAGCATACAATGCTCATTTAGCCCTGTATTTGCATCTCCCCCCAATCCGACAATGCATCGTCGGGGGGGGGATGGATCCGCTTACCTCGCGGCCAGGGCCACGTATCCGTTTTTCCGCGAGTGTCCCAATTTTTCACTCTAATTTTGCGTCTTCAAAGTTTAGGTTTACAAAGTCTAAACGAAAGCCCAAGTCCAAGCCTAATCCTAAACGTAAGCCCAAGCCTAATGCTAATCGGAAGCCTATGCTTAAGCCTAAGCCTAAGCTCAAGGCTAATCTGAAGCCTAACCCAAGCATAAGCCAAGCCTAAGCCAAGCCTAAGCCTAGACCTAAGCCTAAGCCTAAGCCTAAGCCTAAGCCTAAGCCCCTTAAAGCTCAAGTCTCTTATCGACAAAGTCTGTGGCGAATGATATGCCCGAATCGTCATCCAAATGCTTCACACTTGTGTGTGGGTTCTGGGCAAATATTTTCCGTCAAGTATACGATGCCGATACGCCCTTCCCCCCATTTTTAGGCATTCTAAAATTCGTCTGGCCGGGGAGTGTGAGTCAGCCCAAATTCGGGGTTTTAGTTTTAGTTTATTTAAGTGACGCTTGAGAATTTAAAAAGCGTGTTTTTTTAATGACAATGTTTTTCCGTCCCTTAAAAAGGACAACCTTTGAAAACTGCACCCTCCGCGAGGATACTTTTGACGGATAGCAAAAAAAAGAGGCAATCGGGAATTTTTGGACAGGGGAGACGGCACAGCCTCGAAAATCGAAAACCTATTCGCATAAATTATGGGGAGGTGTTCTGGGGTGATTTTTGAAAATAACTAGGCGCTCGCATGGGGATATTAACGTAGGTTAGCGTATGGACTTCGAGACGTTTCTCTCTCTCTGTCCCTCTCTCTCTCTCTCTCTCTCTCCTCTCTCTCTCTCGCTCTCTGTCTATCTCTACCTATCAATCATATTTTTGTGAAAATCCACTTAATTCCTTTTCAGGATGGTGTTCTCCGAAATCACGGGGACGCTCTCCTTCCTCCAGCCCCAGCCAGATGACGATATTGCCGATCGATTACACTATTATTACACCTCTACATTTCTGCTGCTCACCGCGGTAAGTCGGGCAGGCGAAGCCTAAGCCTAAGCAAAGCCTAAGCCTAAGCCCAAGCCCAAGCCTGGACCTAAGCTTAAGCTTAAACCTAAGACCAAGCCCAAGCCCAAGTCTAAGCATGAGCCCGTTTTAGGTTCTAATTTCCCTAAAAATGTTCGGCGGGCGACCCATCGAATGCTGGCTGCCGGCCGAGTACAAAAAGAGCTGGGAGGACTATACAGGTTCGATTTTGTTTTCTCTCATGTTCGTAAAAAATCGCTGCTAGCCCGCCTTTCCCTAAAGAATCTCTGCTAGCCCGCCTTTCCCTAAAGAATCGGATCGATTTCAGAAATGTACTGCTGGGCCCGGAGTACTTATTACACCCCGTTCCACGAGGACCTGCCGGAGGCGGAAGAGCGTGGAAAGGTTGATATTCCGTTACGGTACTTCGAAAACCGGGGCTCATTTTAGAAAATGGTCTCCTACTACCAGTGGGTGCCTTTCTATTTTGTGGTCGTCGCTTTTACATTCTACGCGCCGTGCTTGATTTGGAGGATTATGTACGACAAGTCGGGTAAGTCAGGACGGGAGAGAGTGAGAGGGAGAGAGAGCGTGGGAGATAGAGAGAGAAAGAGAGAGAGAGAGAAAGAGAGAGGGAGAGAGAGAGCGAGAGAGAGAGTGTGAGAGAGAGGGAGAGAGAGAGAAAGAGAAAGAGAGATTCAATGCTTCCTTTTCAGGTATCCGACTCAAAGACATCATGAGCTTTGCCAACGACAAGAGCAACGTGCAACCAGGAGCACGACAGGCCAATATCAAGGGCCTGTCGGCTCACTTGGCTTCGGTCTTCAAGCATCGCTTCAAATTCGGGACCGAGCATCCGTTTCATCATAAGTGAGGGTCCTTCTCTCTCTCTCTCTCTCTCTCTCTCTCTCTCTCTCTCTCGCTCACGCTTCTGTCAGAAAGCATCCCTTTTCAGGATCATGCGCTTCTTCAACTTCCGCTACTACGAGGCGTACTTGACCTTCCTCTACATCGGCATAAAATTTTTGTACTTGCTGAACGTGGTCTCCCAAATGGTGCTGATGGACAAGTTCTTGCAGACCGAATCTTATGGATTTTATGGATGGGGGGTAAGCTTCTCTCTCTATCTCGCTCTCCTCTCTCTCTCTCTCTCTCTCTCTCTCTCTCTCTCTCTCTGTCATTCTCTCGCCTTCCAGGTAATGTGGGACCTCATAAACGGCCGAGAATGGACGGAATCCGTCAATTTCCCCGTCATCACCTACTGCGATATGCAAATCAGAATCCTTGGCAACGTCCAGCGCCACACCGTCCAATGCGTACTGATCATCAACATTTTCACGGAAAAGGTAAGGACTGTACGGAGTACGTAGAGATACTATAGCTACGCTAACGGACAAAAACCTACATTAATTTCCTAGATTTTCATCCTACTGTGGTTGTGGTATACGCTATTGGCTATGCTGACGTTTGGGAGCATCATGTCGTGGATATTCACGTCGATTCCGTTGCAGGTAGGTGAGAGATTGGTTATGTCTAGGCCCAAGCCTAAGCCTAAGCCTAAGCCTAACAAGGAGTCGTTTTTAGGTGATATTGGGTTTTTTGAACGAGACCTAGCTAGTTCGATCGAGAAAAAAATACTGAACAAGATGCCGTTTTCCAAATCTGCTAACCGTGTACTGTATTCAATAAAAATTAATTTGAAAATCGTTAATCCAACCATCATTTTCCGCCTGATCCGCAGATTCTGCCGTCTTGGTGCGCGTCGACATAGCCCCCTTTGGGCCTCCCTCCAGCCATGACCAGCTGGCCTATTGGTAGTGCGCTTGCTTCATAAGTTTTGTCTTTTTTCCAGCGGGTTCGACTCCTCGCTAGTAAAACTCTTTTGCTTTTGGCTCGATAATGCCAAATTCGATTTCAATGGCGAGAAAAACCAAAAAGCAAAACAATAAATCACAATAAGTTCCGAACCCTGGGCATAATTTTCCAAAAGTTTGATAGGCGCCGGCACTATCCACTAGGCCACGATCTCATGCGGATGCTGGTTCGCGCTGTGGGCTTTGTCCCGGGCCTGATCCATAGGTCGCAGCCTGACGTCCAGGAATTTTTTCATTAAAATTAATTTTTATTGAATATCGTACACGGTTAGCAGATTTGGAAACCGACATCTTGTTCAGAATTTTTTTCTCTATCGAACTAGCTGGGTCTCGTTCAAACTCCAATATCACCTAAAAACTGACTCCTTGTGCCTAAGCCTAAGCCTAAGCCTAAGCCTAAGCCTAAGCCTAAGCCTAAGCCTAAGCCTAAGCCTAAGCCTAAGCCTAAGCCTAAGCCTAAGCCTAAGCCTAAGCCTAAGCCTAAGCTAAGCCTAGGCTAAGCCTAAGCCTAAGCCTAAGCCTAAGCCTAAGCCTAAGCTAAGCCTAAGCATAAACCAAAGCCTTATCTTAAGTCTAAGCCCAAGCCTAAGCCTAAGCCTAAGCCCAAGTCTAAGCTAAGCCTAAGCTAAGCCTACGAAGCGTACACTAATTCTAGAATTTTTCAGGAACGCCGTAAATTCATCGCTCGCCGCCTGGAGTTGGCTGACGTCAACTTCAAGAAGGCCGATTTCAACGTGGAATTGGATGAGGTCTGGCAGAGATTACTTGAGGACAGAAGGGGCAGGCTAGCCGAGATTCTTTAGGAAAGGGCAGGCTAGCAGAGATTCTTTAGGAAAGGGCAAACTAGCAAAGAGCATTTCGGATAGGAAAGCAAGCTAGCAAGGATCATTTCGGAATTCTAGTTCGTGAATGACTACATAAAAATGGACGGCATCTTCGTGTTGCGGATGGTGACCATCCATTCGGGAATTCTCATCTGCACCGAAGTGGTCGACCAGATGTGGGATCAATTCCTGGAAGAGCAGGGTAAGAAAAGAGAGAGAGAGAGAGAGAGAGAGAGAGACGTCTAGCGTTGCTGTATTCTTTCCTCCTCCATTCTCAGTATCAATCGACTAACCAACCCACTGTTCCGCTTCAGGCCACTGCATACTCACCGAACTCGCCGAAGAGAGCGGTAATGACCCGAAACATTCGCGCACTTTCGCATGCTAGGCTAACACGACTAACATATCCGATTTGTCCCTAAACACAGGCCGCAGTATGTACTGTAGCGTATTGTTGTGTAGTCTAGCTCATGAGGTCATGCTTAGGCTTGGCTTAAGCTTAGGCTTCGGCTTAGGCTTCGGCTTAGCTTGGCCAGGTTTGGTTTGGCTTAGGCGTGGCCAGGCTTGGCTTGGCTTAGGCTTAGGCTTAGGCTTAGGCTTAGGCCTGGCTTAGGCTTGGCTTAGGCTTGGCTTAGGCTTGGCTTAGGCTTGGATTAGGCTTAGGCTTAGGCTTGGCTTGGCTTACAAGGAGTGCCTTTTGGGTGTCATCGGCAAAACCTTACGAGACCCAGCTCATTCGATAGAGAATTCGATTCTGAACAAAACCCCGTTGTTCTTTTTTTGCAGAATGGCTATCCCTGATTTTATAAAATTAAAATACTAGTGACCGTCTCTTACCATGAGTGCCTTTCGAGCCAAAAGAGAGGCTTTTGGGTGCAGTTTTAAAATTTTATAAAATCAGGGATAGCCATTCTGCAAAAAAGAACAACGGGGTTTTGTTCAGAATCGAATTCTCTATCGAATGAGCTAGGTCTCGAAGGGATTTGCCGATGACACCCAAAAGGCACTCCTTGTTAGGCTTAGCTTGGCTTAGGCTTAGGCTTAGGCTTAGGCCTAAACTTAGGCTTAGCATTAGTCTTCGGCTTAGGCGTAGGCTTAGGCTTGGCTTACGTTCTCCCCCACCTATCACCACCCCTCTAACCTATTCCAGATTCCCGAGAACACAAGCGCAAAATAAGCTCGGGCGCCCACCGCTCGCGCTACGTGACGCTGAAGCAAATCGGTACACCCGGATACTGTAGACGACGACGTACCCTCAAGCGCTTTTTTAGTTTTTTTTTTTCCTGGGTTCCGCTTCAACCCCTCGGCTTTTCGCATGCTTGGTTGTCGCTTGAAATTAGATATCTTTGAATTTGTCGTAAATTCTGAAACGTCAAATTTAGGAAAACACGCCGACCACATGGACCGCGAGAGGGTACCGTCGGCGATGAGCGAGGTATGTCACTTGAAATTTTCGGTCCTTTTCGGTTGATCGGGGGCCAACTGTTTTTTCTTACAACCAATTTTTTTTAATATAAATACTGGAAGTCTTTCTAAATGGTTTTTTTGCTATCCCTAAACGTGAAAATCACAAATTTTTATGAAAAAATATCAAATATATCGATTTTTCGAGCAAAAATGACCGATTTTGACCAAAATGTCGACTTTTTAAAAGTTTTTAGATAGTTTTCTAGTTGAAAAATAGCTGTACATTACTAAAAACACTATTAAAACACTTGTATTATGTTATTAGGCATAGTAGACTTATAAAAAAGGTAGGTCCCCCCGATAATGTGCAAGATCCGCGAAAAATATTGCACAGTTATGGGGACAATATTAAAAAACACAATTCCGATTTCCAGAATCCGCCGCTAAAGCGCAAAACAAGCGTGCTGGTGCCGCTCGTCTCGAGGGAAGACCTCACGCACCTCGACCACAACTTTTTGCGGCCGCCCAGCCGTATGCGGGACCTGTCCCCTTCATAAAACAACAATTTCCTACGAGTTTTTCATCCATTTTACCTTTTATATGTTTTTCTATCGATCATTTATCTTGTTTTTCTTCAACGGTGCAAATTGCAAAAAAACACACGCACCCGTTTGCCCTCTCTTTTTGCTTTCACTTGGCCTTTTCCAGCATTTTTCGCTTATTTTTCTGCGCCTACTTCTAGTCGAATCCAGGTTGTTTTGTGTCAGAGTGCCTTTTTCGGAATCTAAATAATGCCAACCGCCCTTCAGGACGCCCCAGGCTCAAAAAAAACGCCTTTTCGATTCCTCTCAATAAATATTTGTGTAAAAACTGCAAAATGTGTACATTCTTCATCTATGGATCTACAAAGAAGCATTCTAGCTTCTAAAAAGTTCAATAAGTTGTAAAACAGTTTTAAAAGTTTTTTAAAAGTCGCGTTTTCGTATTTTTCTGGTAAATCGTACTAAAATGAATCAAGTTATGCTTAAAAAAGTTAAACTAAAAAAATATAAGCGTAGAAAAAGAAAAACTTTACATTTTTGTTCCGCAAGACACTATCGACACCCAAACGAAACGTGTAACACCGCGAGATCACTTTCACAACACAAAAATTAGCTTCTTCTTTTTGAATTCGAAATTATGGCATCTTTTTTAAATTATTTTCGGGCTTCCCCCCTCATTCTTGGCATACTACGCGTGTATCTGGCTACGTGGTACGCGCCACGTCACCATGGTGGACCTGTGGCTTGAAAGACCAGCCCCGCACCCAGTGCCCCTTTACTCCCTGGTTCCGCGAGCGTTTCTGGTTCGCTTTCTTTTCGATATAAACTTTATCTTTGAAAAGTCTTAATGGATTATTTATAAACTTTGTTTTCAGGAGCGCCCGATGCCGCTGCTCATCAATTTCGAGACAAAGTCGGCGCGGGTTAAAGGTAAAATTTGTATTTCTTGTTTTTTTTACTTCTTTGCTTATTTTTGAAATGAAAGAACTTCGAAATCGGGCTTTAAAGCTTTTGGTGTGCGACTCGAAGCGAATCAAACTTTTGCTACGTTGGCTGCTTTCAGTTTCAGATTTTTTATAATTTTCAGCGCTTTCTGTAGAGGTTTAGTCAGGATTTGCAGAAAAAAGGACTCTCACGCTTTAGAGCTCAATTCCAAGCTAAAAACGCATTTGCTAATTTGTTTTTGTCTTTTTTTTCGCATGATTTTGCCCTTGTTCTAGTTTTACGGCGGCTAATTCACTTCTCATTTGTGCTAATTGAATTCTTTTCAGGCGTCAGCTTCCACCCGACGCGACCATGGGTGCTCGCCTCGCTGCACAACGGCCACATCCAGTTGTGGGACTACCGGATGAAGCTGCTCATCCACCGCTTCGAGGAGCACGACGGCCCCGTGCGCGGCATCTCCTTTCACCACGAGCAGCCGATTTTCGTGTCCGGCGGCGACGATTACAAGATCAAGGTGATTTTTCTCGGTATGATAAGCGGTTGTATCTTAGAAAAAGGGTAATTGGTTATTTTTTTTCTGAATTTCTGGAAAATAATAAAACGGTTTTTCTTTCTAAATTTCCCCATTTCTTTTTCAGGTCTGGGACTACAAGCAGAAGCGCTGCATGTTCACACTCAACGGCCATCTCGACTACATTCGCACCACGTATTTCCACGAGAAGCACCCGTGGATCATTTCTTGCTCTGGTAAACCGGTTTCTGCGACAGCTATCTGCTTTTAGACGACCAAACGGTGCGCATCTGGAATTGGCAGAGCCGGAAGAGCCTGGCCGTCATCACCGGGCACAACCACTACGTGATGTGCGCCCAGTTCCACCCCACCGAAGACCTGATCGCCTCGGCGTCGCTCGACCAGACGGTGCGGATCTGGGACTTCAGCGAGCTGCGCAAGAAGCACACGGCCGGCTGCGGATCGAGCCCCAAGGATCACGCGAACCGAGCTCAGCAGGCCGAGCTCTTTGGAAATCCGGATGTGGTGGTGAAGTGCGTTCTTTTGCTAGGACCTTATTTTTCAAAGATTAATAATGGAAGTGTTTCGAAATGTTTTCTACCAAAATTTCAACCTTTTCAGAACTTTCTAGATATTTTTAGGTGAGGTGGATATTTACGACTATTTCTATTACTTTTTAACCCCAACTTTTAGGCACGTGCTCGAGGGCCACGTCCGCGGCGTCAACTGGGTGTCTTTTCACCCGACGAAGCGTCTCCTCATGTCATGCGCCGACGATCGTGAGCTGAAGCTGTGGTCGATCAACGGCGGCAAGGCGTGGGCCGTCGACCAATGCCGTGGCCACTACAACAACGTCTCGGCGGCCATCTTCCACCCGCGCGCCGACCTCATGCTGTCCGTCGCCGAAGACAAGTCCATCCGAATCTGGTGCCTCGCGAAGCGCACGATGCTCCACGCCTACCGCCACGAGGTCGAGCGTTTTTGGTGCATCACCGCCCACCCGAAGCTGAACCTGTTCGCGGCTGGCCACGACAACGGCATGATCATCTTCAAGATCCAGCGCGAGCGCCCGCCGTACTGCGTCTTCGAGAACCTGCTCTTCTACGTCAAGGAGAAGGAGATCCGGCGGCTGGACTTGACGACGAAGTGGGGTATTTTTTGCTCGGGGAAATATAGTACCTCGGAAATCGTTATTTTGGAAAGATTTTTTCGATGTTGTGTTACTTGAAAAACACTAATTCATGGGGTTTTTTTCGTGTTTTAGATCCCGTAGCGTCGCCTAGAGTGCCAAAAATCGCAACAAAATTCTTGAAGGAACCACTTTTAGTTCATGTTTTCGAATTAACACTTTTTTTGCAGCTAAGTACTTTTCAAAATTAGAAATATCGTTTTGATAAGGACCGCCATTTTTCTCGAGTTTCTACAAGATATTTTTAGCTCAAAATTGTGTAAAATTATTTTTGCTTTTGCAGCAAAGACGACGCGGTGATGCAGCTGCGAGCCGTCGCCGCCTTCATGCGCCCTTTCGTGTCGTTGGCGTACAACCCAGCCGAGAAATCCTTCCTCCTCACCTCCCGCAGCCCCGACAAGGAGAACGTGGGCAGCATCGACCTGTACAAGCCGGCCGCCGACGGGACAGCGCCGACAGTCGTGCGAGCCATGGGTGGTGGAGCCGTTTGGGTGTCGGCCAATCGATTCCTGGTGCTCGATAGGGAGTTGCAGGTGGGAATTGCTGCTCGATAGTCAATCCTTAATCTTCTACAGGTCTCGCTGCGCGATCTGGACAACAAGGAGGTGCGCAAGATCGAGCCGGAGCACATGAGCAAGCTGAAGCTGAAGAACCTGTTCTTTGCCGGCGTTGGATTCGTGCTCCTCTCGTAAGCATGATTTTTCCTAGCTTCGACATTTAGCCCGAAATAAAAAATAGTGTTTACGAAGATGCCATCAATAGAGATTTCCATTTTTTTACATTCTTTTTAGGAATGAAGATGGGATCCACATGCTCGACGTCCAAAACAAGCGCGTTCTGGCCACTCTCAAAACGTCGAAGGTGCGAGAACTTTAATTTTGCACAAATTTTATGCTTCCAGGTCAAATACGTCATTTGGTCGGCGGATTACGGGAAGGCGGCGTTGATCTCCAAGAACACGCTGACGCTCGTCAACAAGAAGCTCGAGGTATTGTTTTTTTCGGAGAACACAAAAGTTGTGTGGTTTTGATGACATACGTACGCTAGCTATCACTGATTGTTTTTGCACCTTCAAATTTTTAGGTGCTCCACTGCGTCACCGAGTCGGTCGCCGTCAAATCCGGCTGCTGGGACGGCCCCGAAGTGTTCATCTACACCACCAGCAACCATATCAAGTATCAACTCCCTTTTTTTGGCATTTTTTGAATTTAGATACGCTCTGACCGCCGGCGACCATGGCATCATTCGCACGCTCGACGTCCCGCTGTACATCGCCGTCATCAAGCAGTCCAACCTCGTCTGCTTGACGCGGTAACTAGCTTGCGCAGCGATGAAATGTCACCTTTTTAGGGATGCGCAACCCGTGGAGGTGCCGATCGACACCACCGAGTACCAGTTCAAGCTGGCGCTGCTCAACCGTCGGATGGACGAGGTGGAGGCCTGCGTCAAGTCGGCCGATCTCGTCGGCCAGTCGATTATTGGATACTTGGCGAAGAAGGTATCGTAAATATCCTTGTGGCTTTTGATATATGTCCTTCAGGGCTTTCCCGAGATCGCGCTCAACTTTGTCAAGGATCAGAGTACCCGATTTGGCCTGGCGCTCGAGTGCGGCAACCTGGACGTGGCCCTCGAGGCGGCAAAGGTAAAATATTGGGCTTATCAAAATGTTGGCATTTTAAATGTCTATTTTTGACACGGCATTTCGAAATTTGCCGAGAATTCTTTTCCTGATATGCATCGAGTCTGAGAAAGTTCGGCATTAAGACATTTATATTTTGTGAACTTTCAACATTCTATTAGCGAATCAATTGCCTTACATACACCACCCCTTAAATTCTAGGAACTCGACGATCGCGCCGTCTGGGAAGCCCTTGCCGAAGCGGCGCTGATGCTCGGCAGCCACCAGATCGTCGAGCAGGCCTACCAACGGATGAAGGACTTCGAGAAGCTCGCCTTCCTCTACCTCATCACCGGCCGGCTCGACAAGTTGGCCAAGATGCAGCGGGTGGCCGAGATGCGCAACGACGTCCACGGCGGCTTCCACACGTCGCTGCTCCTCGGCGACGTTGCTGAACGAACGAAATGTGGGTTTTGTGGTGTTAGAGGGTCCCGGTGTCGTTTTATTTTCCAAAATCGCTGTATTCTGAAAGAAACTGCGGTGCGTAGAAAACAGTTCTTTTTTCAGTATTGCGCTCCCGCGGCCAAACGTCCCTGGCCTACCTGAACGCGGCGACGCACGGCTTCGACGACGCGGCCGACACGCTGAAGGAGGAGCTCGAGTCCAAGGGCCAACCACTGCCGCCAATCGACCCGCACGCCCGTCTCCTCGTGCCGCTGCCTCCGATTTATACGGTACGCGGGGCATTCGGATTGCATTCTGGAGATGCACCCTTTCGACTTGTGGCGTTAACCGAAGCTAAACCCTGAAAATTTCCTTTTTTTTCAGCTCGAAGACAACTGGCCACTGGACAAGCCGACCGGGGAGCCGCTCGAGGAATCCGCGTGCTGAAGACGTCGCCCCACCTTTTCCCCTTCTTTTACCCGTCCTTTTGCTGTACTTGTGAAATCTTAAGCATTTATGTGTCGTTGCTAATCTTTTTCGGCCTGCCGATTTGTATATTAAGATTTGTGGTGTTTTGAGTGTAGTGGCATGATGTGATAAACGTTTTTGATTGATTTTTGTGTTCGGACGGTTCGGGCGTTTGAATTCTTGCCTTTTAATGTTCTTTTTGGTTGAAAATTTGATTTCCTAATATCCGGAAATGTATCTCAGGCCCCAGCTTCTTGGAAACGCCGGCGACCCCAGAAATGGTCTGGCCAAACAAAGGGGCAAGGCTGGCACCAAAAGCAGACACATTCATCCCGCTGCCGCGGCTGCCGGGCCATATTTGCCAATGTCAAGCCCGTTTTTTTGTGTGTAGATGCCACTCCCCTATCAATCCCAAATACAGCGGAGATGTACAGGAAAAGATTCTCCCTTTCCTGATCCTTTTCCTGCTCCGCCGCCCCGTTTAGGCTGATGTTCCAGCGGGGGGCAACACGCTAAACAAATCGCCGGGTTCACGCCCCCCACAACCGAATGATTCATAATTTTTTGCCGTGCATATTTTTTTCCGGGGGGAAATCAGTCGGATCCCCCCGGCGTGAGCAGCGGCAGTTGAACAAATAACACAGCACCGCGGCACGCCAAATTCGGAGAGTTCCACTCCGCTAGCTGGCAGCTGCCATTTTCACGGGATTGCTCCGATGCCCGGGTCCTTTTACTTAGTATTTTCTGTATTTTTTGCGATCGCTAATGCTAAGCGGGTAAGTTAGGTGGCAATTGGTCGCTTTTGCAAAGAAAGTTTTCTTTTTTGGCCATCTTCATCGGTTTTCAACTTCGAAATTGTAACCTGTTTTGTGCTTTCGCGTTCCTAGAAACGCTATAGTAAGCATTTTAATAGTATTTTGGTCGGCTATATTTCAAGTGGAAGCATATCTAAAAATCCTAAAGAACTATTTAAAGAAAAAAAACTTTTTGAAGAATTTTAAACTTTGGATTTGGGGGTCGAAAAAGCGTTACTTTTGTATGAAAGCCCCCACGTTTGGGCATATTAAAAACAGTCTAGAAAACACAATATTAGAAGCTAGGTTCAAGAAAACTTGTGTCTACCGGGGATCGGGTTTTCAACCTTTTCCAGGGACAACGCATCGACATCTTTTCGCAAAAAGCCGGCGCTGGGGACATTGCGCAGCTGCACGCGACGGATAATGGAAAGTAGGGCTCAAAAAATTGTACTTTTTTGCGTTTTCATAATAGATCGATCTCCCGCCGGTTTAGTGTGATGATGAACGCGCTGCCGCGGGATTCACGCAATCGCTGGGTGAACGTCCGGGATCAGGACGGGTATTACGTGATCCCCTACCAGATTACCGGGCAGTTTGGTGGGTTTTGCCGTCGAAAACGTGATTCTCAAGCCTCCAGATTCCGAGGAAAAATCGATAATCGTCGGGGCGATGCAGCGGATTGCCAACAACACGTGCATCAAATTCAAGCCGGCCAGCGGCGAGCGCGACTACGTGGAGATACAGAATAAGCAGAACGAGGGGTAAGTTTTTAATTATGTTCAAAAAGAAATCTTTAAAATTGGGATGCTTACGAAAAATCCGACTAATTTTGGTCGGTTTTGGTCGCGAAAACTGGTTTTTCTAGCTCAATTATAAATTTTTGCATAACATTGGTAGTTTTTTATGCTGAGAAATAGCTAAAACAATGCACAAATATACGCAAAATACGCTATACTTTCAGTAAAACTAAAAAATGAAGATAAATTCGGAGATTTTGGTAATTTTTGGCGGAAAAATCTTTTTTTTAGCTGAAATAAATTTTTCCATAAGATTTTTGGAAATTTTTATGTTCAGGATTAGCTAAAAACAACGCACAAGTCAATTCTCTAAACAAAATAAACCCGAGAAACTACACCTTACAATGCTTACACCGAGGAAAAAAATAATTTTTAGGTGCTACACGATCGTGGGCCGGCAACCGGGGCGTAACGTCGTCATGCTGGAGGCGAACGACATGGCCACGTGCGTCGAGCCTGACATTGGTACGTTGCAGGGATTCTTGGGGAATTTCCGAGGGAATTAAACCCGAAATTTCAGTAATCCACGAGCTGTTCCACTCGATCGGGCTGTGGCACGAGCACATGCGCACCGACCGCGACCAGTTCATCCGCGTACACTTTGAGAATATCCCCAGCTGTGCGTGTTGTTTTTGAGGGCTGTATTTAGCGGCTTTTTAGTGCTTTTATAGTCATTTATTTATGGCATTTTTTATTACAGATTACCAGTCTCAATTCGAGAAAGTGACGCCGGAAGAGACGACGTCGTACGGGATTCCGTATGATTATCGGTGAGCTTTTCGGTTTGAAATTTCCTAGTAACGTAATAGTAAGGGTTTAAATAGTTTCTTTAGTAAAATTTAACTATAGTCCAAATGGTAAAACTATCTAGAAACTATGAATTTTAAAAACTTGGATCCAAAAATCTATATTTTTGGAATTTAAAGAAAAACGTAAAATTTTCGCGTTTAGCAATAAATTCATAATCTTAAATAAGTAATAAAAGGAACCTAGAAAAATCTAAATTGACAAAAATTACTCAAAAAACGTCAGATCCGTCATGCACTACGCGGAAGACGCTTTCGCTCGACCCTCGACGATCAGCATGGAGACGATGGATCCGAAATTTCAGGTTAGCGCTTTTCATAGGGCATTCTAAACATTTTTCCTGACTTTTCGGGCTTTTAAAAGTCGTATAAAACCTGTCGGACGTTTTTAACAAATGTTCAAAACATTTCAGAAAGTGATCGGGAAGGCGCCGGACGCCTCGGCGAGCGATTACGGCAAAGTTTGCATCATGTACGGGTGTGGCCAATGCATGGGGAAACCATTTGACGAGAAAACGTTCGTGGTGAGTTTTTCGTTAAATTTTGTTATAGTAAAAAATTTTATTTGACTTTTAGAGCTCTTTGAATGGCGTCTCGGCTCTACCCACCGCGCCGCCGGTGCCAACACGGCCACCGATTGTGGTAGGGCGGGTTTTATTACCTCCAAAAAAGACCTTAGGATTTCCAGGACGTATATTTAATAACGTAAAATGTTTTAGTGATTTTAACAGCCTTTTTAAACAATGTCAACTATGTTTAAAGTTAAAAAGTATTTAGAAAACAAAAATGCTCAAAACTTCGACATTATAGCAAAAAATTGGCCATTTTTCCCTTTAGGAATTGATTAAAAACAGTTTAGAAACACCTAAAAACATGGATTTTCGACCAAAAATGCCCAATTTTCGAGAAAACATTTGGGCTAAAAAATTTTTGGGTGTTGTCATCGTTTTTCCGCTTCAAACATAGTTAAATTTGACGAAAACACTTCTAAAATGACTTCTAAAAAATGAGAATAAAAAATATAATGAACGGCGGATCGCGATGCGCTGAGGCGCTAGTCAAAATTTTGACCAGGGGTGGTCAAATTTTGACCAGGGGGTAGTAAAAATTTGACTAGGGGGTAGTCAAAATTTGACTAGGGGGCAGGGGCGTAGCCAGGAAAAAATTTCGGGGGCCCGAAAAAATTTTTTCGAAAAATTCAGAAAAGTAACGAGAAAACAGCGCCGCAGGCGAAAAATTTTGGAAAAAAGGCTATACAGCTCTACAAATAGCAGTAAAAACGTGAAAAAATGGCGCCGCAGGCAGAAAAATTTTTGAGAAAATAAAAATCATAAGGGTCCCCCCTTATGAAATTTTCGGGCCCCGGCCGATTTCGGGGGGCCGGGCCCCCGGGGCCGGTATTACGCTACGTCCCTGCTAGGGGGTAATAGATAGGGGCTAATTTCGGCACTTTGGTACCAGCCCTGTTTATTAAATTACGCGTATCTCGACTTCGAAAAATATTAAAATTCTAAAAAGTTTATGAGAAGCTAAAAAATGTAAAACTCGTCTGATTTCAGCCCCAAATCATCGTGGAGGGCGGCGGCGTTACCGATGGGTCAGGTCGGCCACTACCAGTTGAAAAAACGGTTTCCCATGTTTTTTAGATTGTTTCGATCTGCTGAGCCCGATCTGCTCGATGGTATCGTCGGGGAACTTCTTCTTCTCTTGCTCCTCATCGTTGACAAGCCGGATCTGCTGTCGGACCTGCCGGAATATGGCCACAAATGATTCCAAGTACAAAAAATACACAAAAATTCAAAAAAATATACGAAAATTTTAGCGGGCGCGGCAGCAGCTTGCTTGGCCTCTTCGGCCGCTTATAACCACGGGTCCACTGCTGTATTTATGCGCTAAAAGTCTATAAATTCGTTGATAATAATAAAATATTACAAATAAATTTGGAGAATAAATTACAATGATAATAGTATTTAATAAAATAATAAAGAAGATTTGAGAATAAAACTATAATAAAAATTAAAGAACAAAACTTGCCTTCCCCCAGTCGAGATTCTCCACTTTTGGCCGGCCTATTTGCGATGCCGATGGCCGCCACACGCTCCCCGGTTGCAGTGCCCGCCCCTTATCAGGCCTCGTTGCGTCCCCTCCCCCATGCCTCGATAGCTCAGTTGGGAGAGCGTTAGACTGAAGATCTAAAGGTCACCGGTTCGATCCCGGTTCGGGGCAGCTTCCCTTTTTGTTTGCCGCGGAATTAGGGGAATCTTTTGCTTTTTGGATTCTATGCCCGTTGTAGCTTTCAGAAGTCGTTTCCAGTTTTTTTCGGTCGCATTGACAGGAATCATGAAAATCCCGTTCGTCTAAAGCATTTATTCACATGACACAAATGGTTCACTTCATATTAATTGGAAATGATGGGCCGAGGCCTGGGGGTGTAAAAGGATAGCATTTTCATACAAAAAACACGGGGATTACACGTTTGTAAGGCGAGAGAGCAGAGCGAGAGCGAGAGTGAGAGAGCGAGATATAGCGAGGGAAATCGGTGTGGTTGTTGGAATTGTCGTGGTGGAGCAGGGGTTCATCTACATTCCGAACGCCTTGCCGAACAGCTCGCCGGCGATCATCGAGGCCATGTGAACGGCGGATTCACTGAAAACGAGAGATCTGTATGAGAGAGAAAGGGGAGAGAGAGAGAGAGAGAGAGCGAGAGAACCTACCCAATCATGCGAGCCGTGGACAGCTGCGACGGGCCCACCGACGACAGCGACATCACCTCATCGGGCCCGAGGGCGCGCCGGAAGCCGATGCGCTCATCGGGGGGCAAAGGCGGCTCCTGAAAGGGGGCATTGATTGTACGGTTTCCATAAGGATCTTTGCTAGCTGGCCCCCGGCTGAGACCTACCATGCGACGATCGAGGGTACGGCGGGCCTTCTTGTGGTAGGCAGCCATGCGGGCCTCGTCGAAGCGCTGCTCCATCGATTCAACGTCGCCGGCGATGACGTTGCGGCGTTTCAGGTGGATCTGGAAGGGGATGAACAGATGCGCCAGAGAGAGTATAGAGAGAAACAGAGAGAGAGAGAGAGAGAGAGAGAGAGGTGCAAGAGAGAGGAAGAGAGAGAGAGAGAGAAACACACACCTGCATTGAAGGCGCCGCGCCGCCCTCCCGGATCGTGGCCTGCATGGAGAAGCCGTCGAGTTCGGGGGCTGCCCACAGCTCGTCGAGGGCGGCGTCCCATTGCTGGTGGAAGAGCCCGGCGACGTCTTCCTTCTCGCCGGGCGCGTAGTGGATGGCGCGCTTGTCGTGCTTCATCCCGTCCACCTGTTTTCGCATCCGGCGTGCGACAGCTGAAATATAGCAGCGTTCAGAATAGTTTGGTTGGCCGCTCTGTCCTGAAAAATCTCTGACAGCCTGCCCTTTCTTAAAGAATCTCTGCTACCATGCCCTTTCCTAAATAACCTCTGCTAGCCCGCCTACCCTAACCAAACCAACCATCATGAATTTCATCTGTGACAGCGTAGACGCGGGGCTGAGGCCCGTCCCCGGCGGCCAGGTTGACCTCCTCCAACTTCTGGAGCGGCACCTGCGACTTGAGCTTCAACTTCTCGGCTTTCCGAATCTTGCGGTGCCATTCGCCAAGGTTCGGGGCAAGCAGCGTGTCGCAGGAGAGCGTGCCCGACGAGCAGGAGAGCAGCGTCACCGGGTCGGCCTCGTACTCGCGCGACGGGCGCGATTGCACGAATTTGGTCTGGAAATTTGGGGTTTTGAAGAAGGCCGGAAGGTCAGCCAATGGCGTCTAGGCAAAAAAAAAAATAAAAAAATAGCAATAAGCTCTCCAAATGCCAAAAAAACTGATTTAATTAATTCGTCATTCCCGCTACAAGCTTTAAACCATTAAAAACTATCTAAATTGCATTTTACACTGCCCACCAAGTGCGTGCCGTCGATGGCCTGGCCGAGGAAGTCGGGCGGTATCGGCTTGGGTGACGCCTTGGCCGACTTGACGATGCCGATTTGGTGCAGCGATTGGGCAGAGATCGAGGCGGCCGTAGGTACTGAATTAGATTTGAGTTCATTAGATAGTAAGTACCCCGATTTAATTCAAAAAAATCTATTTAAAATAAAAGAAAAACTGACCATTAAGGCTGGCCGTCGAGTCGGAGTGGGCCGTCTGGACGGCCGAGTGCGCCGGCGAGGCGTGCCCAGCTGGAAAAAGGTTACAAATTTGTTCTATTTAAATAAAATAATTGAATACTAAAGAACCTCCCCCGATAATGCGAAAGCGCCTCAAACGCGTAAACCCATAAAAACCCACCGTTTCCGGAGCTCATCGCCAACGGTATGCCCACATTTTCTTGCTGGTTTCCCCCAACTGGTTGGCAAAGAGATTACGGTACTTTGCAAATTGTACACATGCAAATTAATCCGAAATTCTAAGCTAGCAGGAAAAAATGTTAATTAGCCTGGGCAAGGAAAATTTCTGGGGAAAAGATTCGGTGGGCCCCTGGGACCCAAGCGGCCCACACGGGCCCACAAAGGGCATATGCAAATTGCGTAATTTTGGGTGTTGCGGGGCCCCCGATTCCCGCCCTCCCCCCCGGAAATTAGTCTCGAAAATTGAGTCCGACTCGGTTTTTGGAGCGCTTCGTTTCTCTACACTTCTCGTAATTCCCTGAATTTCAAGCTCATCCTCAAAACTCTTGAGAACCCCCCTTGGAGCTACCGTAGCACGGGGGCCAGTAGCCGAGAGGGGCGTGGCTCGCAAAAAATCCCCGGCTCTCCAGTTCATCATCGGAATTTTTTAAATCCTAGTGAACAAAGACGCTTTCCTTCTGAAACTCGATTTTCTTAAGCTTACAAAATTACTTGCCAATGGATTTAAAGCTCTAGAAATGTTCTCCTCGATCGATTCGCTACTGTCGCCGATTGGCCCCGATAAGAAGAGCGCTCCAGAAGAAGCGGCACCTACCGTATTCACCGAAATCAAGTAAGCAAGTTTTCTTCATCTAAAAACCGATCTTTCCCTCCAAAATACACCTATTTACAGCCCGCCTAACACGGATAATACTACGAATTTGCCCCTAAACTCCGCATCGCCATCCTCGGAGAAAGAAGCCGAAATGGTAGGCACGGCTTTTCATTACCGCAGGCCCAAAAATAAATTGAAGCCGAAAATATTAGGAAAGCTTGTTAGAAATTACATCCTCTGCAGCTTCAACTCCCCGTCGGCTTCTGCGTGCCGCCCGCCCTCGGCTTCGACCGGCTGCAGTATCCGATGCTCGCACCGGCCAGCTTGCTCTACGATCAGCTAGCGTTGACATGTAAGTCTTTTAAACCACTTTTAAAGTTAAAAACGAATAAACAAGGAAAAAGCGTCTTTTGGCCTAGATTCTAGCTAATAAGCCCCCGTTTCCAGTGGGCGCCTGGCAATCGTGGGGCAAGATGCGCCGGCCGAGGACGGCGTTCACCTCCGAGCAGCTGATCGAGCTGGAGAGGTAGGTGACCCGAAAAATGATCCTAACGCCGATTTCTCGTGCTCCCAAAACAACTAACTTTTGAAGGCAATTCAACGAGAACAAGTACCTCAGCCGCCCGCGAAGATACCAGCTCGCGCAACAGCTCTGCCTCACCGAGACGCAGGTTGGGAACATCTTCGTCTTGTTTCGCTTCTCCTATAAAGTTTCATGATTCCCAAAATGCGCCCTGCATTACCAGCTCTAGCTCGTCAATTTTCAGGTGAAGATCTGGTTCCAGAATCGGCGGATGAAGAACAAGCGCTGCAATCCGTTGCTGAGCCCCGGTGCAGCTAAAGATTGCGCCACCGAATCGCCATGTTTGCAATGAAATACCCTTGTCAAAATAAATTTGCAATTACTAATGCAACACGACAAACTAGGGACCTCTTTCATCAAAATCCAACCAGAAACTAACGCCCCAACCTTCACGCCCAATGTTTTGCCAAAAAGCAGCCACAGTATCCCCCAGCGCCCCGGTCGGCGGGAAGAGCATAAGCGGACCCATCATAAGACGGGTTGCCGCGACGCGCTGGCCTCTAGGGATTTATCGCGCGCATAATGGAATGCTGACAGCTGCTCGGTGAAGCCGCACACCGCCGCCAACAGGAAACAATTTCAGTCCGCTAAAAATTCACCAGGGACTTCGGATGCCCCCCCCAGAGCCAGAGCGCAAATTCAGAACCAGACACATCCGCCTACCCAAGCTGCTCACGAGAATTTTTCAGAAGGTGATGTCGAAAGATGGCAAAAGGGTTCCAAACGAATACGATTTATTCTAGGCAGACACATCTGAGGGGCATGTGTGAAAACGCAACAACGAACAAGTCAACAAGTCAACATCCAACAAGAAAAACGGTTACCGGTATCGCGATTCGGGAGGCACAGATCACATTTGTACACGAAAACGGGGGCAATTGCAGCGGGTACTTGGCGCAGGGGTTTAGAGGAGCAGCACCGCGTTGATGCAGCCGTCGTTCTCCGGGTTGTTGGTGACCTGAATAATGAACTAAAGTAAGCAACGGGAAGCCGGAATTACCTGCGCATATTTTCCCCAAACGACTTTACCGCCCTGCGTGACCATACCCAACTCGGAGACGTTGACCTGGAAGAAAAAAAAATAGAGAAAACGTATTAGCCCAACCTCAATAACGGTTCCTCGTGTGATGACGCCCAAGCTGGTGTACATCTGGGAAGACGGGTTCTTCTTGACGCCGACGATCGGCAAGCAGAAAGTCGTCTGCAACTCGGGATGAGTGACGTGAGCCTGAAAAAAAAGGAATTGAAAAGGTCATCAGCACCAAGCCGCAAGTGAACGGTTGGTCATCGTGACAACGCGGAAAGTAACTGAAACACACCTTATTGAAACGCAATCCCATTGGCCGAATGAAGCGCTCGAACTTGGCTGGCTTTCTGGTGAACGACTCGCCGACGAACGTGACCTATAAGCATCGTAGATGGCTTTCTAAAAAGGGATACCTTTGTGACCATTCGCTTCCAGCCCTTCCTTCTGGATTTACCGGTCTTGACCACCTTGAACGCCTCGGCGTCAGCGAGGGCCTTGACTTTGGGGATCGGCACTTGGTATTTGCTCTAAAAAACACGTTTGAGGAGGCAAATAATCGCTTACAGCTTTTTCTTTACGCTTCTGCTTGATCATATTCGAAAGCACAGTGCCGCTTGTCTGCTGCTGACGATCGAGGAGATAGGCCGGGACAGCTCCTTGGTCAGGCTGTTCTTTTGTGCTCTTCTGTTCTTTCTCTTCATGCTGCTTGAGAAGTTTGCGCATTTCAACCTAAAATGAAAGATGAGGTTGGTTGGCAGCGGAAAAGGTTAGGTTTGCAACGAATCCCCACCTTCTCGGAATAGCGCTTCTTGTTGTAGAGCTTGGCCTTGATACCGCGCAGCTTCTTCGCCTTTTGTGCGCGCTCATGGCCGGAACGAGCCTGCTTCTTGCGTCTAAACAAAACTTAAAATAAAGACAGAAAGGAAAGCCCTACAGCCTCTCTTCATAATCGAGACGACGACCATGCCGTTTGCGATGGAGCTCAATGTGTTCGTTCTGCGGCTAAACCAAGAAGATCATCAAATGAATGCTGACAACTACCCACCATTCTGTATTGTTCACTGGACTGCTAACTCGTGTTGTGGTGTGTGCGCTGATATGGACCCAGGCAATTGAGGGGATCTGAAAGTTTATTTCTTAACACAAAAGTAGTAACAAGACACGAAGAATAACGAGGACACATCAAAATCGCAACAAATTAGGCAATTATCTCGAATCGCAATGGTGCAAGCGTTTCGGTGCAATCGGCGACTTTGACGGTGTGGGCGGGTCGGGGTCCTTTCGGCAGACGCTTCAGGACGGGCTTGGGTTGACCGGCGGCCTTGGCTGCTTTACGGGCGACGTCGTTCTCCTTGACGCGCTTCAGGAAGTCCGTTCGGCAACGGGAGGGGCGGATGTGCTCGACGCGGATGTTGATGCGCTTGGGGAGGATGGTGCCGCGTACCCGCTTGTTGACGATGACACCGACGGCGTGCTTGGTCACGTTGAAGACGGTTCCGGTCTTTCCGTGGTAGACCTTGTGCGGCATGCCCTTCTGGAAAGCTCCGTTGGCCTTGATGTCGACGATGTCTCCACGCTTGTAGATGCGGTAGTAGGTGGAGAGGGGCTCGATGCCGTGCTTCTTGAAGTCCTTGGCGAACATGTAGCGCGTTCCGCGCCGGGTACCCTTGGGATTCGTCATCTTGGAATCTGCAAATGAAACTATAGTAAGGCATAATCGAAGGTAAGCAACGAAAAAATTGAAAGCGAAAGGCTCATTTGAAGTTAAAGCAAATCACTGCAAATTGTAAAAGCGAACGGGCCTATCAAGGATCAAGGCGCCTAACAACGTACGAAAAAAGGTCTTGAAGGGGAAATGCTATTCAAAAGTCAGCTGATCAACAACCGACGTTTTAAAAAAAATTATGGAATCACAAGACGCAGGCAATGGTCACTAATCTACAGCACTAACATAAAGAACGATCAGAAAAAGCAGCTTAATTCACGTGGCAAGGTTCGAAAAGCGCCCTATTTATGCGAAACGCAAAAAAGAGTGCAGAAACCGTGAGTTTTTCTCAGGCGGCACTTGCGCAAGGGTTGGGCTAGTCAGAAAGATGCTAAAACAACCGAAATTCATAACAAAACCAAGGGAGACGGCAATTTGGTTTAGAAAGTTTTGCGAAAAAGACGATGCGAGGAAATTTAGGCCAAAACTCCGGGGGATTGTGCGCATTCCGCGGGGCTCCTATGGCGACAAAAGCGCGCGGGATAGCAGTCTTCAAAAGAGGGGCCGGCCCCAATTGCCCGTTCAAAAAGCTTTTCGTCGGGATTTTTGGAAATTTTTATGCCTCTTTTTTTATAAAGTTTTGCTTAGAAAACTAAAAAAATTTATAAAATTTTTGATTGCTGGGACTTCTCTCTTCAAAAATTCGGGGCCTTGACCGGGGGTTGTTATTGAAAGGCAGTTTACAAATTGATACGTGAAGAAGATTACAAAAATATGCTTTCTCTCTGAAATGAAAGCTTTCTCACTGATCAATTCACTTCTGGATATAGGCTTTCTATAACAATACCAGATGGTTACAGTCGCTTCGCGACTGCAACCATCTGGCCTTCGCGCTACCCTACATATCCCACTCCACCACATCCTTTCCCACCCCCATCAATACCCCCCATGGCTGAAATCCCCGTCAAAAACTACCTAAATACCTTTCCGATGGCTTTAGATACCCCCATAGCCGAAATCCTTCAAAAACTACCTAAATACCTTTCCGATGGCTTTAGATACCCCCCATAGCCGAAATCCCCGTCAAAAACTACCTAAATACCTTTCCGATGGCTTTAGATACCCCCATAGCCGAAATCCCCTTCAAAAACTACCTAAATACCTTTCCGATGGCTTTAGATACCCCCCATAGCCGAAATCCCTTCAAAAACTACCTAAATACCTTTCCGATGGCTTTAGATACCCCCATAGCCGAAATCCCCGTCAAAAACTACCTAAATACCTTTCCGATGGCTTTAGATACCCCACATAGCCGAAATCCCTTCAAAAACTACCTAAATACCTTTCCGATGGCTTTAGATACCCCCATAGCCGAAATCCCCGTCAAAAACTACCTAAATACCTTTCCGATGGCTTTAGATACCCCACATAGCCGAAATCCCTTCAAAAACTACCTAAATACCTTTCCGATGGCTTTAGATACCCCCCATAGCCGAAATCCCCGTCAAAAACTACCTAAATACCTTTCCGATGGCTTTAGATACCCCCCATAGCCGAAATTTCCGTCAAAAACTACCTCAATACCTTTCCGATGGCTTTAGATACCCCCCATAGCCGAAATCCCCGTCAAAAACTACCTAAATACCTTTCCGATGGCTTTAGATACCCCCCATAGCCGAAATCCCCGTCAAAAACTACCTAAATCCCTTGCCGATGGCTTTAGATACTTTAAATAATTTAAATAATTAATTACCATAATTAAAAAGTATTAAAGTAACTTAAAAACACTATTTGGACGCGTGAAGGGGCCTAGGGAAGTGGGGCGAAGGGAAAGGGGGCGTAGCCTCCCGGGAGAGGGGCCCCCACTCGTTTTATTAAGGCGCCACTTTCAAAGTTAATTTTAATAATTTAAACTAAAAGTTTTTCATAATTTTTTTATCAGTTTGGGGGTTTCTGACGGCGCTCTATCCGAATCCGAAGAGAGCTAAGCTCTAGCTCCTTTCCCCTTCGAGTTGAATTCGGCTTCACACAGAGACCACAGCAAAATTATTATAGTTGACCAGATGGTTCCAGTCGCTTCGCGACTGTAACCATCTGGCCTTCGGGTTACCCTTGATGTAATACACCTAACTATCCACCTACTTCTACTAACTACCTAAATACCTTCCCGAAGGCTTTAGATACGCCCCCTAGCTGAAATCCCTTTCAAAAACTACCTAAATACCTTCCTGATGGCTTCAGATACCTCCCCTAGCTGAAATCCCTTCAAAAACTACCTAAATACCTTCCTGATGGCTTCAGATACCCCCATGGCTGAAATCCCTTCAAAAACTACCTAAATACCTTCCCGATGGCTTAGATACCTCCCTAGCTGAAATCCCCTTCAAAAACTACCTAAATACCTTCCCGATGGCTTGAGATACCTCCCCTAGCTGAAATCCCTTCAAAAACTACCTAAATACCTTCCCGATGGCTTAAGATACCTCCCTAGCTGAAATCCCCTTCAAAAACTACCTAAATACCTTCCCGATGGCTTAAGATACCTCCCCTAGCTGAAATCCCCTTCAAAAACTACCTAAATACCTTCCCGATGGCTTAAGATACCTCCCCTAGCTGAAATCCCCTTCAAAAACTACCTAAATACCTTCCCGATGGCTTGAGATACCTCCCTAGCTGAAATCCCCTTCAAAAACTACCTAAATACCTTCCCGATGGCTTGAGATACCTCCCCTAGCTGAAATCCCCTTCAAAAACTACCTAAATACCTTCCCGATGGCTTGAGATACCTCCCCTAGCTGAAATCCTTCAAAAACTACCTAAATACCTTCCCGATGGCTTGAGATACCTCCCCTAGCTGAAATCCCCTTCAAAAACTACCTAAATACCTTCCCGATGGCTTGAGATACCTCCCCTAGCTGAAATCCCTTCAAAAACTACCTAAATACCTTCCCGATGGCTTGAGATACCTCCCCTAGCTGAAATCCCTTCAAAAACTACCTAAATACCTTCCCGATGGCTTAAGATACCTCCCCTAGCTGAAATCCCTTCAAAAACTACCTAAATACCTTCCCGATGGCTTAAGATACCTCCCCTAGCTGAAATCCCTTCAAAAACTACTAAATACCTTCCCGATGGCTTAAGATACCTCCCTAGCTGAAATCCTTCAAAAACTACCTAAATACCTTCCCGATGGCTTGAGATACCTCCCCTAGCTGAAATCCCCTTCAAAAACTACCTAAATACCTTCCCGATGGCTTAAGATACCTCCCCTAGCTGAAATCCCCTTCAAAAACTACCTAAATACCTTCCCGATGGCTTGAGCTACCTCCCTAGCTGAAATCCCTTCAAAAACTACCTAAATACCTTCCCGATGGCTTAAGATACCTCCCCTAGCTGAAATCCCCTTCAAAAACTACCTAAATACCTTCCCGATGGCTTGAGATACCTCCCCTAGCTGAAATCCCCTTCAAAAACTACCTAAATACCTTCCCGATGGCTTGAGATACCTCCCCTAGCTGAAATCCCTTCAAAAACTACCTAAATACCTTCCCGATGGCTTAAGATACCTCCCCTAGCTGAAATCCCCTTCAAAAACTACCTAAATACCTTCCCGATGGCTTGAGATACCTCCCCTAGCTGAAATCCCCTTCAAAAACTACCTAAATACCTTCCCGATGGCTTAAGATACCTCCCCTAGCTGAAATCCCTTCAAAAACTACCTAAATACCTTCCCGATGGCTTAAGATACCTCCCCTAGCTGAAATCCCCTTCAAAAACTACCTAAATACCTTCCCGATGGCTTAAGATACCTCCCCTAGCTGAAATCCCTTCAAAAACTACCTAAATACCTTCCCGATGGCTTGAGATACCTCCCTAGCTGAAATCCTTCAAAAACTACCTAAATACCTTCCCGATGGCTTAAGATACCTCCCCTAGCTGAAATCCCCTTCAAAAACTACCTAAATACCTTCCCGATGGCTACAGATACCTCCCTAGCCGAAATCCCCTTAAAAAACAAAAATAACGACCGACCGGATGGAATGAGAGAAAAAAAGAAATGAAATCCTCCGTGAAAATTTTCATCCACGAAACGCGCGCGATCTGGCTCACTATGCGAAAATCATGCCAACCTCCGTCCCCCACCCCTTTTACTAAGGAAAAAACTTTCAAAGTTAATTTTAATAATTTAAACTAAAACTTTTTCATAATTTTTTTATCAGTTTGGGGGTTTCTGACGGCGCTCTATCCGAATCCGAAGAGAGCTAAGCTCTAGCTCTTTTCCCCTTCGAGTTGAATTCGGCTTCAGACAGACGGACAGACGCGTCAAGAAAATTATTATAGTTGATATCAGCTCGTAATCGACATCTCTGGAATAGGCTTTAAAAACGGTAGTGAATCACTGATCAGAGAGAATGGGTTTAGATAACCCTGAATTTAAAGTTGAAGTCTTGTAAACCGTAAATAATACGCTTTTGGATTGTTAGAGGGTCTCTTCTATGTGTTTTTTGAACATGAGCGCTCCCGAATCTAGATATTAGCCCAAGAGATGAGAGCCTTTCCGGAAATTCATCTCGCCTCATCTGGTCCGGGGATAGCTGATTCGGGATCTAAACAATCCTCTCAAAATTGCTAGGCCTACATGGGGTTTTTTTAAATGTTTCACTCGCTAGGTCACTTCATCCAGACCACGTATTCGTGTGCGTTTTTCCTGTTTGTGGAAGTGTTCATAATGTCCATATTCACGTCCTCTGTCCGTTTCTTGCACCGTCCTCTGGCGCCACAGCACCTGTTACCCTCGTTGTTCGTCCTCCGTTTTTGCACCCAACACCCCGACACCCTCACTCACCATCACCATTTCAGCGTCTGGTGCAAGAGTGCGCCAGCGTGTCTGCATGAAAAGGCTATCGACGCTGCTCCGTTCCAAGCGAGTGCGCAGCTACAGCACGGACTACGAGATCGACGGCTACGCATCGGAGGGCGGTATCGACAAGCTCGTCGAGGAGCACAGCAAGCAGCACCACCGCCGCTCGGGCAACCACGGCGGCACGGCAAGCTTCCCCTGCACGCCTTCGTTTGGTCGGTTTTCATATGTTGTTGTGGTTTGCTGCACCGCGCACTAGTCGTTTGCCGCTGTACGTTTTAAAATTTCCAAAATATTCCTTCATTTTTCGTTTTTTTTTGTTTAGTGATAAGTGATGCGAGGCAGAAATATCTTGTTTGCTAGGCTCAAAAGGCTCATCACGCTGCGCTCGTCACTGTTTTGTCTCGTTTGCAACTCTGGTATTCGCTGACAAAAATTCTAAATTTTGCGCTTCAACGATCGAATACTTTTTTGTAATCTCTCTTTTTCAGAAGCCTGCGGCCACTCGGACGGATTCGGAAGCCCGACGAAGCTCCCACCGACAATGCGCGACACTAACACCTCGGAGAGTGGGTATCCTCCGGTTATTTAAGGTTTCAGGGTTGACACGGAATTGCTTGCGCACTTGACTATGCGTTCCAATTTGATACGGGCAGCTCTTCTATGGCTCTTTAGCCTTCATGGTGGTCGCTTCACGTGCGATGTAATCCTGACCAACTTCCCGGCACCCTTCACTTTCAATTGGCTCTCCACAACTCAGCACCCTGGGCCCGTGGCCAAAATGGCTTTAGCCCACTCCCCCCTTGTGTGCCATGGTGCCAATAGGGCTTTGCGCACACGGCTGTCGTCGGCGCGGCCATCTCGCGCACATCTGTCCCTCCCTCGTGGCCCCTAGGGGGTGCCCGGTGACAGCCCCGATCGCTCGTTTCACACACAGCCGCTGCGCAGAGCATTCGTTTCCTCATTTAGACCGACCAGGGATCCGTGGCTGTTTTTTCTTTTGTTTTTGAATTTTTGGTTCTTTCACATTATCGGGGGGGGGGGGGGTAAATTCTTGTAAGAGCGGAAATGCCTAGTCACTTACTATCAATGGTTTCAGTTTACGATATAGCATTTATCCCTGATATTCACAAATTCACTGTATTTTGCACCTAACAGTTTGCTTTCTTGTTTTGTCCTCCGTCCTCGCTACCCCAGCCTTTCCAGCCAATCCTCCCTACTCGCTCAGCCCGATCAGGTCGTTCAGCGCGGCTGAAAGCCGCTACAGGCCATTTGTCACCGCGCAGCAGGGGGGACCACTGAGCCGCTTGCCCAAATCGGTCTTTTTCCACGCGCTGAAGATCGTCAGCGATGGCCGAGGGCAGATTTCGCCCGCCGCCCTCGTATGGGGCCAACAACACCACGCAGCCTGCCTATTTGAGCTACAAGCCTGCGCAGCCCACTTCCGCTACAATAATTCCGTTGAATAGCAGCAGCAAGCCGCCGCTAGCACCGAAACCGGGGCGCGAAATGGCCGACGCCGATCGCTCGGCGTTTGATTTTGCGCGTAAGTGGGGTTTGCGGTCTTGGTGCTGTGCTGTGCCACTAATGTTTCATGAGAGTAGCACGCTGAGAGCATCTCCCGTTCCGCCCAATTTTAACAATTTCGGGCAGCCGTGGGCAGCGTTGAAATCGATTTTTTCGAACGGCAATATGGTGATTCGCCCGAAAAATGTTGCCTTCGCACTTGACTGTTATGGCTAGCAACCGGGTGCCGCCATCTTTCATTTCTCTTGGCCGGCTCGCCAACTGTCAATGCAAAAATGCGCGCTCGTCCTCAAATTGCGGCCCCTAATGCCACTGCGACTCAGAGTCCTATGACTAGTCGTCTCACTCCAGTAGCGGCCTCTCGGGGCGCCATCCCCCAGAAAACGGCGGAGCCCCCAAAACCTGACACAAGGGCTGGGGAAGATAGTAATGAATAATATGGATTCGAAATTATTGAATTTTTCTAGGCATGAAGACCTTCGGGTCACACTCGAACAAAGCCTCGTCGACCACGGGCAGCAACGTCTCCACCACTACCAACAACTACGTCGGCTTTGCAAACTTCCCCAATCAGGTATAGCGTTGATCCGCTTCGTAACTATTTATTTTAGGTTTTCCGTCGCGCCATCCGCAATGGTTTCGAATTCTCGCTGATGGTTGTCGGTAATTAAACCCGTCTCGGCTTTTATTTTTATTTTTAGGGCGCTCCGGCCTGGGCAAGTCGACGTTCATCAACACCCTCTTCCAAGCCGAAATCAACGACCCGACGGAGATGTTCGAGGTGCCAGCAGGGAGCACAGCTCGGATTGAGCAGAAGACTGTAGGCTCGCTCTGTTTGTTAAATTTTTTTTCGTTCAGGTCAAACTTGTCGAAAACGGGGTTCAGCTAAAGTTGACGCTCGTCGATACGCCTGGCTTTGGCGGCGCCATCGACAACTCTAAATGGTGAGCTTTTCTTGCATTACGTTGCAATTTTTTCGTTTTAGTTGGGAGCCCATCCAGCAGTACATCGACGCTCGCTACATGGAGTACCTGTCCGAGGAGACGAAGCTCGAGCGACCCACCCGACTCACCGACAAATGCGTGCACCTCGTCCTCTACTTCATCGCGCCCTCTGGACATGGGTACGAATTTATTCTCAAAACCTTTGATTTTCTTCCAGGCTTGACCTAATCGATATCGAATTCATGAAGCGTCTCCACGACCGCGCCAACATTGTCCCGCTGATCGCCAAGGCTGACACGATGACTGAAGAGGAGATGAAGCGCTTCAAGCACCAAGTGCTGCGCGACCTCGAGAAGCACGGTATCAAGGTCTACAAATTCCCGGAGACGACGGTGAGCCCTTATTTTTACATTGACCAAAAATTTTTTAGGATCCGGAAGAGAAGCGCACTATCGAGCCGCTCAAGGGCCGCGTCCCGTTCGCCGTCGTCGGCAGCAACAACATTCGCGAGGCGCATGGCAAGAAGACGCGTGTCAGGTTGGTAATTTTGTTTTGATTAAATTTTTCGATTTTAGGGAATACGCCTGGGGCTGCGTCGAGGTGGAGAACATGGAGCACAACGACTTCCTGGCTCTACGAGAGATGGTCATCCGCACTAATCTCATTGGTTAGTGCTTTCTTTGTTTTCTACAAAATTTTGATTTAGATCTGATCGACGTCACCCACGGTGTCCACTACGAAAACTTCCGCCTCCGCCAGATGGGCAACCTCTCCAAAAACCAACATGACAAGTATGTTTTTGGGCAATAATTTGAATTACCACCTTCTTAGGGATCCTTTCACGGCGATGGAGGACGAGCGCAAGCAGAAGGAGCAGGAGCTCCGCGACAAGAAACGCCAGCTCGACAAGACGTTCAACGACAAGATCCAGGAGCGCGAGAACAAGATCAAGGAGCGCAAGCAGAAGCTCATGGCGCGGGAGCAAGAGTTGGGGCGCATGGTCGAGGCCAAGCGCAACGAGCTGCAAATGATGAGGACGGCGGTGAGTTTTTCTTTGTCTATTGGAATAACCGCATTTCTTTAGTTATCCGAGCTGCGCCGGGGCAACATCTACGAGTCGAAGACTTCCGTCTTCTCCGCTGCCGTCAACGAAAACAGCGCGAACGCCTCAAGCGCACGGGACTCCAACGGGAAGAGCGGCTCGCCGACGGCCGCCGACAAGAAGAAGAAGACCGGCATCTTCAGCCGAATCAACTGAACATCAACCGTCCGTTCTTCTGTGATCCTCGCGTTGTTCCCCCACCTTGCCCCCAGTTTCTTGGTGTCATAAAGCGCTCAATGTGTGCATTACGCCTCTTCGTCGTCTTCGAATATCCCCGTGTACTCCACCCGCACCATTTCCGGCACCAATGCTTACACCCGGCTTTTGCCCATAGTCTACCACGCTCCCCTTTTTTTGCACCTCCCCTAACTGATGAGCCATTTCATGTTTATGCTTTTCTAAAAATGTGACCCTCCCCTAGCATCCCCAAATCACACCGATTCACCCAGTAGGCTTTATCCCCCAATCATCCCCTTTCTAGCTCTCATGCAGTTTGTGCCCTATCACCTACCCACACACATACTACGCGATATCCCGACCATTTTTTTGATGAGGCCCCCGTGCTTTGTAAATAGAAATAAATTGTGGCTGTACATTCAAACTGTGAGAACGTAGCAAAATCTGCCTAATCAGGGTTCGAAAATTGAGTTATTAGGCTGCAACTGTATGCTGGTGCTCGCGATTTCGATGGACCCTGGAGCCAATTTGACGCGGTTCACATGTTTCAGGTGCGACACAAGAAGTGCATAAATCAGATTAACGAGTCGGAAGTTGCGGCCCACCAGACGTGGAAGCGGCAGCAACCCCGCGCTGTCCCACGGGTTATCGCCTCGCGCTTACAAATGTCGCCGATGCGAATGGCCGGCCGTTATTCATTCCAGCCGGCGCTGCACAAACGATGTTGGCGAAAGTGGTGTTGCTTGCCGCCTTGGTTCAGGTGGGGGAGAATTTTGGAAAATGCTCTCTGCTCGTTGGCCTCGTTTTGAAAAGTCGATAACAGAAATCTCCAGAAAAAAACAAAAATGAAACAAAGAATAAAGTCAAAGACATTTAGTTGACGGCCACATGGGACTTTGGCCGCTTCGTGCTCTCGGCTGGCGGCGGCAGCGGATGCAGTGGCTATGAGCTGGCTGCCGGGCTATGCACGGTAAGGCTTTAAAGAGTTATAGACTTGATTATAACTTAATTTAAAACGACGACAGTATATAAGGCACATTTAAATCATTAATAAAAGTCCATAGATTTCGCGAGGATAATTTTAGACGGCTGCGCCTAGCACAACCACGCCTACCACGACTCCCACTACTACTACGACTACCACTACTACTACCACTACTACTACTACCACTACCACTACTACCACTACCACTACTACCACTACAACCACCACCACTACTACGGCAAGTCTTTTTTCGTTGAATTACTATAGAACAATTATGAAAATGCGTTTTTCATGTTATTTAAATACTTTGAAAACTTGCAGATGCTTGTTAGAGACCTCGTAATACCTTTTTTAGACGACAACCACTACTACTACCACTACAACTACTACTGTAAGTTTTTCAGAGTGGAAATACGTTAGAAAAATTATCAAATTTTATTTTTAGGCCGATCTTGCTTGGTCTTTTGACTACCTTTTTTTAACTTAGAAATAGCTTTTTTAGACGTCAACAACCACCACAACGACGACCACAACAACTACGGTAAGTCATCGGGGGAGATTTTGAATTTTTGAGGTTTAGACCACGACGACGACGACGACAACGACGACGACGACTACTACTACTACTACAACGACGACGACGACGACGGTATTTTGAGAGTGATATAAAAATCTTTGTTGTAGACGACAACCACGACGACAACGACGACGACAACTACAACTACAACGACGGTATTCAAGCTGCATTTTCCGGTTTTAAAAGCTTTAGACGACGACTACAACTACGACCACGACGACGACAACGACGACAACGACGACAACCACAACAACGACTACGGTATTTTCTAATGATATTTTGGTTTTTACAACCCATTAAAATTTTTCAAATTGTTCAAATTGGTAACAAATCTTTTCAGGGCTTCGGCAACGCCACCGCCAGCTTCCCGCCAATCGGTAGGCGTCTCAGGCGATAGTCTAGTTTAAAAAAATAGGGTTTATTTAGATTTCGAATCGTTTTTGAGTCGATAGAAAAGCTAAAAATCTACCAGTAGTAGTTCTAAGTTCTAGTTCTACTTTTCAAACGATAAAGCCTGACAAATACACATCTATCTTAAATTAAGTTTTCCAACGAGGATCAAGCTTAAAAAAGCTCAAAAATCTTGCAAATTTTTGTACCAATAGTCAAAACATTCCATTTTTTAGCCTGCTACTGCGGCGCGCTGCCGAACGTCACCCTCGGCGCCATCGGGCGCACCAAGCGCCAAATCTTCATCAATGAGTGCGTTTAATGATATCTAATTACTAAATCGAACTCGTAACGAATTATTTAATTTTGCCTTCATTACTTTTAGCCGCGACTGCACGGTGCAGCAGCAGCGTCTCACCTGCGCCGGCGACACCGCCGCCGCCAAGTACGAGCTGCAGCTGCTTGGATGGGTAGGAAGAAAGAGAGAGAGAGAGAGAGAGAGAGAGAGAGAGAGAGAGAGAGAGAGAGAGAGAGAGAGAGAAGATGCTTTTAGAGTAGCACCATCCTCTACGATCAGACAGCCTGCACCTCGGTGACCGTGCAGCCGATCACGTGCACGTACGTCGGGCTCTGGACCTACGAGGCGAGTTTGGCAAAGGATCCCTGCTAGCCTGCCCTTTCCTAAATAATCTCTGCTAGCCTTCCAGTTCCCAAAAATTCATAAAAAACAACCTCAAAATCATTCCAGAGCAGTGAAGTGGCCGCCTGGAAGTGCTTGGCCGGCCCGTTGGACAACTCCTGCCAATGAGACCGTTCCCCCCGATGAATAAAGATGTTTTTCAAATAGCATTGTTTCGCGGCTTCCCAAGTGATCTCCGCTAGCCTGCCCTTTCCTAAAGAATATCTGCTAGCCTGCCATTTCCTAAAGAATCTCCGCTAGCTGGCCCCTGATTTTCGACCCCAACTTTGCCGTCATTTGCTTCCGGCTGGGGCTGTGTGACTAATTGTGGCATTGTGGGGCGAGGGGGTGCTTGTCAAGCGGAAACTCGGCGGCCCGAGGATCCGCCCGGCGCCGCCCTATTGTTCGTCGAATAGCACCGGGATTCCGGCAAAAAAAGCCGGTTTTTGTTATTGAGTTGTTATTTGGGGTTATTGGCTTCCTAAAGGATCTCTGCTAGCATGCCATTTTCTAATGCTTCTCTGCTAGTTTGCCCAGCGTTCCAAGTTTTTGATTTTTTTGCTATTCCGAACCACTACGTAGGGCCATTCAAGGGTTTTTTGGGACTTGCAACATCTCAAGTGCCCCGTTTTTGTTTTTGCGAGAGAGAGAGAGAGAGAGAGAGAGAGAGAGAGAGATAGAGAGACAAAGAGATAGAGAGAGTGAGAGAGAGAGACAAAGAGATAGAGAGAGTGAGAGAGAGAGAGAGAGAGAGAGAGAGAGAGAGAGAGAGAGAGCGAACGAGAGGCAGGCAAAAGAGTTTTTCAGCAAATTCCAATCAGCTCTAACTCTTTCAATGTCCAGCTCCTACTCGCGACAAATGCAGAATAACTCCAGACTTGCTAGCAAGCGACAAGCCTGCCCGGGATTTATTCATGGCCCCGTCCTCCCCCCTCCCCTAGCCCTTCGCCCTCCTCGCTCCACTCCTCTAATTGTCCCCCGGCCCTCGGCTCTGGATGGCTGGAGAGGGCCCAAAAATGAGAGAGAGAGAGAGAGAGAGAGAGTTTTTGGATGGGAAGAGCCGGAAGGGCAACACCGCTTCATCACATCCACACTTCCCTTTGAACGCGCGTGAATCAGCTGGTTTTATTTCTATGATTCCACCTAATTTGTTTTTAGTTTTAAAGGGCCACTGCCAAAAGGCCACCCGGGTTACGGTATGATCCAAGATTTCCTTGGGATTCTCTGCCAGCCTGTTCTCGATTCCTAAAAAAAATCTCTGATCGAATTTAAGCCGAAATACCGACAGCCAAAATCTCGACATGCCAAAATCCCGACAGCCAAATTGTGATATTTCCGGTCGTTTTTACCAATTAATGGCTTTAAAATCTGGGGTTTTTGGCTGTCGGGATTATGGCTGTCGGGATTTTGAATGTCGGTATTTTGCGCTTTCCCTCTCTGGTAGCCCACCCCTGACTTTCCAAAACGACATTTGCTAGCTGGCCTCTTTAACCCAGTATATCTGCTGGCCTCCTTCATTATATTCCTAAATGATCATTGCTAGCCCGCCTTTTCTATTCCCAAATGATCCCTGCTCGCCGGCCATTTGATGCTTTCAAAAAAAAAACAAAAATAGAAAAACATATTCGTTTTAGATTTTTTGAGCTGCTTAAAATGTTGCTTAAAATTTAAAACTGCGGATCAATGTGAGGCTCCTCCTCACCATCCCCCTGCTTCTCTCAAAGTGTCCCTATTTTAATCAGTCGCTTCTGGACGTGGAGGGCTTCTCGCCCCCCCTGCCGTCGTTTCGGGCTATCGGACGGGGCAGAAAAGTGCTTTTCGGGGTGGGATGGGTCCCGCCTGGAATGCAGAGGAGGGGAGATGGCCGAAGTCATGTAATCCCATTGATTGGCCCTATTATCCCTCTCTATATCTGTTTCTCTTTCTTTCGCTTTCTCTCTCTTTCTCTCTCACTCTCTCTCTCTCTCTCTCTCTCTCTCTCTCTTTCTCTCTCTCTCTTGCTCTTTCACTCTCTCTTGCTCTCTCTTACCCGTTTTGCTGATTGCCTAAAGGTGCATTCCGGAGCTTTGCAAGACCGGATGCACCGAAGCCGAAGCCTAAGCCTAAGCCCAAGCCTAAGCCTAAGGCAAAGCCCAAGCCTAAGCCTAAACCTATGCTTAAACCCAAGCCTAAGCCTAAACCTATGCCTAAGCCCAAGCCTAAGCCTAAGCCTGACCCTAAGCCTAAGCCTAAGTCTAAGTCTAAGCCTAAGCCTAAGCCTAAGCCTAAGTCTAAGCCTAAGCCTAAACCTAAGCCTAAGCCTAAGTCTAAGCCCAAACCTTTTCTGTACGGCCATGTCCCAATGACGTCCCACGAAATCGAAAACCACGCCCTGGCCAGTTTTCAATGGCCGGCGGGCATTGGAAACAAATTGTTGCCGAATTCGGCGTTTTCCCTACTGAAATGGCCCCACCATCCGGGGTGGGGGCAACAAATAGAAAAAGAGGGTGTGCCAAGCAATTAGCCCATCCCCGCCGGCTTCTCGCGGCTCAGCTTCCAAGCTGGCCGAGTTGTGGCTTCCGTTACTTGCCAGCCAACGTGGGTGGATCCAACTGATCCAAACTTCCGAGAATCTCTGCTAGCCTGCCATTTCCTAAAGAAATTCTGCTAGCCCGCCATTTCCTAAAGAATATCTGCTAGTATATCTGCTGATTCCTACCCCTAAAAGTGCTACCCGACTGCTGGAGGTCACTTTCTGACACTAGCGATTCCCAACGACACCCCGGCACGCCAATTACAAACAAGATGGTCCTCTGCTCGCTACTCAATGTGGCTTGAGGGGAAAGGCTGCTCTTTTACATGATTCATATAAAAATCATGTTTTTTTAGAAACACTCTCTCTCTCTCTCGTTTTCTCTCCCTCTCCCTCTCTCTCTCTCGTTATTTCTCTCTCTCTCTCTCTCTCTCTCTCTCTAGCTCGCTATCTCGCTCTCGCTCTCTCCCGTCTCAAAAACCTCGTTTTCTACGAGAAAACAGTCCATGCCATCAGCCTGTCCCCCTGCCCTCTCGCGGGTTTCCCCACTTTCTAGTACCCTTCCCAACCCTCCCCTCCCGCCCTCCGTTGTGGTCTAGTGGTTAGGATTTATGGCTCTCACCCATAAGGCCCGGGTTCGATTCCCGGCAACGGAAGATTGTTTTGCTTTTTGAAAATTTGATTTGGCTGATGTTTTGCTACAAGGTCTTCTTCTTCTCGAATGTTTCCCAGCCCTCTTCTTGCAATCTATGGGCCCATTCAATGAACGCAATTATTTTGCAGCGGCCAGAGTTTTGTGACGTTCAAAATAGGGCCCATAGTTGGGCCAGGGGGGGGGTTGGCCAGCACTGAGCGTCTAATTTCCCGTAAATGTGTATGCAGCAGGGCGCCGGGAATGAGGAGGGGGCCCTAAGATGTGAGGGGATATGGGAAAGTCGATCCGGAGCTCGCAAAAACTGGGTTAGACTCGATTCAGGCCGAAAAAGTAGTAGAAATTCTTTAGGAACGAGCAGGCTAGCAGAGATTTTTTAGGAAAGGGCAGGCTAGCAGAGATTCTTTAGGAAAGGGCAGGCTAGCAGAGATTTTTAGGAAAGGGCAGGCTAGCAGAGATTCTTTAGGAAAGGGCAGGCTAGCAGAGATTCTTGAGGAAGGGCAAGCTGGCAGAGATTATTCAGGAAAGGGCAGGCTAGCAGAGATTCTTTAGGAAAAGGAAGCTAGCAGAGATTTTTTAGGTAAGCAGACCAGCTGAGAAAACTGAGGGAATTTTACGTATTTTGAACGCCCTGTACCTCCAATAATTCCCAAATAATCCTCCCCTCCCCTACACCCTTTTTCTCTCATTTCCATTCGCAATCCAGCCTTTCCGTTTCTAATCTCCGGGCCAATCCATTTCTCACCCCCCGGCCCGTCTACCAAAATCCCCCGGCTCCCCCCTTTTTTGCTGACTTATACCACCCCAGGCAACCGCCCGGATTTGCGCCCCCCCAGGCGGTTTTGGAGTCGTTTTGAGGTTCCTATCATTTTAAATCCATTTTCCCACGTTTTGCGGCACTCCGATTTTTGTTGCAGGTTCTTTGGCAATATCGGGGGGGGGGGGGGTTTCAACTTTTCCTAGAAGTTCAGTATTGCTGGCGACGTCATGGTAACTGTTTTAAGAGTTGATTTCGTAATTTCGAAATTTTGTAAATTTTATTTTGTTCTTAGCCAAATTTAACTATGTTTCAAGTGGAAAAACAATTAAAAATTGAATTTTTTTTAGAAGATTTGGTCAAAAATCGATCATTTTCGCGTCGAAAATCCATTTATTGTGGCTTGAAGCCAACTTTGTAAAGTTTTTCGGCTTATTTATACAAACGAACGAGTGCAACACTTCTTTTATTTATATTAAAAATATCCCTTAGACAATGATATCACCCCCCGAAAATGCAAAAGAACCTTCGGGCGATATGGTGGCTAAAATATTGTTTTTCTCAAGGTTCTCTGTTTTCTCTCTCTTTCTCTCTCTCTCTCTCTCTCTCTCTCTCTATCACTCTATCTCGCACTCTCTCTATCTCTCACTCTCTCTCTCTCTTTCTCTCTCTCTCTCGCTCTCTCTCGCTTTTCAAACAACTTTACAGATATGGGCTAGAGTGGCAGCAGAAGACCGGAAAAGGAGCTGGGCCGACGAACACGTCTAATTGGCCAACCAAAACGGGGGCAGCGGCTACCCAGCAAAGGTGCGTTCTGGGGGCAAACTAGCAGGGATCCTTTGGGAATCGGGAGGGCACGCTAGCAGAGATTTTTGATTACGTGAAGACTATGCAAATCAGATCGGATTTTACAAAAAAAAAAATAGAAACAGAAAAAATGCAAAGAAACGACGCTCCCGTTCATCCTCCCCCTTTCATGCCGATATCCCCCCTTACGTCGGCAATTTATTGTTGAGCGGGAGAAATGGGACATCAACAACCAACGCGCTCCCGAGTCGGGTTAATTTTGAGGTCTCTCTCTCTCTCGCTCGCTCGCTCTCTCTCTCTCTCTCTCTCTCTCTCTCTCTCTCTCGCTCTCTCTCCCTGAGGTTATTGGCGCCCCCGAGGCTGCAAATTTTTGACGCGACGCTCAAATTCGAAATTTCGACTCGAAAATATTCCATATTCCATCGTAACTCCCTATCATAAAAACACGCATGGACGATGGCCGGCGTCACCAAGGTGTTTTCGGCAAGTTTTTACACTACTTCTTTCTTTTTTTTCTAAACTTCCAAAACGTTGGTCTTACAAGGAGACGTTTTTGAGTGTCGTCGGAACTTGGGCATGGTACCAAGCCTATCTTGTGCAGAATTTTACGCTGATTCCGAATATGGTAACCGTTTTTGCGGAATAGCCATTTCTCGAAAGTTATGAACGATTTAAACCTCAAAACAGCCCAAAATCGGCTACTTCCCATAGTCATAAAAGGCTCCGGAATAGGTTTTAGATAAAACCAGATAGTGCATCTTGTTCAGAAAAAAATTCTCTATAAAATAAGCTACTTAACTCAAAAAATGTCGGAATTTTGAAAATTTTTGTAAAATTAGGGGCATGTAAAATCAATCAAATTTTCTAACTTTTCAATGATTTTGGAGAAGATGGTACATTTTATGGAGAATTTTTTTCTGAACAAGATGTACTATCTGATTTTGTCTAAAACCTATTCCGAAGCCTTTTATGACTATCGGAAGTAGCCGATTTTGGGCTGTTTTGAGGTTTAAATCGTTCGTAACTTTCGAGAAATGGCTATTCCGCAAAAACCGTTACCATATTCGGAATCAGCGTAAAATTCTGCACAAGATAGGCTTAGTCCCATGTCAAATTCCCGACGACACTCAAAAACGTCTCCTTGTTAGTCTTAGGCTTGGCTTAGGCTTGGCTTAGGTTAGGCTTAGGCATAGACTTGCCCTAGCTACCCAATTTGGGCGCAGCAGGGATCATTTTCGGCGGCTAGGAGGGCAAATTGGAGAAGCAACCGCCGCCCGGCCACGTCCCTGGGGCAGAAGTACCCTTCTTCTAATATGCCACTCATTTTTGCCGCCTCTACTTGCTGCTATAGATTTTCTAAATCTTTATAGTCCGAGCCCAAGTTTAAAAAAATCACGATACCAGTTTTTTCGTCATGTTTCGACGATTTTCGAAAAAATTTCTCCCTCGAAAACAAGAGGCTTTAAAGAAGCCCTTAAAATTAGTATTCAAATCTAAAAAATATAGCAAAACAATCGCTATGGCAATCAGAAGGAAACCGAATTACGGATTCCAGCGACCAGCCGATTTTGCACCTTTTTCAGGCTTTTTTTTTGGAGCATTCCCAACACCTGTCGCTTTTCGCTGAAAACGGCTTTTTCGCAGTCTCTGGAATTCACTGGTTTTACTTATGTCTCTCTCTCTCCCCCTCTCTCTCTCTCTCTCTCTCTCTCGCTCCCTCGATAAAATTCTCAACTTTTAGCCGTTTTAGTATGCTTTTGAAAGTGTAGGCCCAAAAACCAAGGTTGGCAGAGATGTGCGTTTCCATTGTAAGTTTTTTCGGGACTGGCAGGCTGGCAAGGACCATTTGAGAATCAAGGGATAGGCAAGCAGAGATTCTTGAGGAAAGGGCAGGCTAGCAGAGATTCTTTAGGAAAGGGCAGGCTAGCAGAGATTCTTTAGAAAAGGGCAGGCTAGCAGAGATTCTTTGGGAAAGAGCAGGCTAGCAGAGATTCTTTAGAAAAGGGCAGGCTAGCAGAGATTCTTTAGGAAAGGCAGGCTAGCAGAGATCATTTTCCGATTCCAGATGTTCTACGCTTGCCTGTCGATCATGCTGCTGTTCGGTATCATGTGCTTCTGCGTGTCGTTGGCCATCATCGACCTCGACACGTACAATTTCGGGCTCTACATCGTGTTGTTGTGCATCGTTGGTAGGTGGCGAGATGGCGAGAGAGACAGAGAGTGAGGAAAAGACAGAGAGAGAGAGAGAGAGAGAGAGAGAGAGATAGAGCGTGATAGCTTTGTTTTTCGGCACCATGCTGGCGTGTGCGCTCTGCATAGCAAACCCACAGGCGTGTCCGAATCCGATGTGGTACACCACATTTTGCCTGATGCTCAACGTGGGTTTTGAATTTGTAGTCTGGAGTGCGTGGTATTTTTAGGAATACGTGCAAGAAATGTATCCAGTGGAGGACGGGACGTCAAGTCCGAAAATGAACGGTAGGTGAAAAAATGGGCGATGCTAGCGGCCTGAAGGCTACAGACTACAAACTACGATGACATGATTTCAGGCCTGCGATCCCGGATGATAGCCATGCAGTCACAGCAGAGCCAAATACCCCATTCCCAGAGTGAAAACAGCACTCGGTTACCGCTGAGGTCGGTTTTGAAGTAAGCCAAACCCAAGCCTAAGCCTAACCTAAGCCTAAGCTTAAACCCAAGCCGAAGCCTACCCTAAGCTTAAACCTAAGCCTAAGCCTAAGCCTAAGCCTAAGCCTAAGCCTAAGCCTAACCTAAGCTCCTAAACCTAAGCCAAAGCCTAAGCCTAAACCTAAGCCTAAGCCTAAGCTTAAGCCTAAGCCTAAGCCTAAGCCCAAGCCTAAGCCCAAGCCTAAGCCTAAGCCTAAGCCCAAGCCTAAGCATACTTTTCAGACAAGAATCCCGCGCCACGGTGGCAATGCTCGCACCAGCCGTCCACATCATGCACCAGGTGGGTTTGAGAAGAAGAGTGGAGAGGTGGAAAAGTAACAGAAAAGTTATATTAACAAAATTTGGACTATTTTTAGGTGTGGAAGGGGATGGCGTGGGTGACAGACGCCGTGGAAGAAGATGACGACGAGGTGACGCAGAGCTACGATCGGATAGAACAGGTTTGAGCGCTTCGCTTCCCGATGGGTCTCTGCTAGCCTGCCCTTTCCGAAAGAATCTCTGCTAGTCTGCCATTTCCTAAAGAATCTCTGCCAGCCTGTCCATTCCTAAAGAATCGCGGCCGGGCTGCCAGAAATATAGCATTTCAGGGCACCTCCAACAGCAACTCCGAGGCGTTCAAACGGTTGTCGACGATCGCCGAATCGAGCTGTAGTATCGTTCGAGAAATGGTAGGTTAAAGAGAGAGAGAGAGAGAGAGAGAGAGAGAGAGAGAGAGATAGAGAGAAAATGAGAGAACGAGCGAGCAACCCCACTCCCCCCATCCCCACTTCCAGGAAGAGATGAGCAGCTCCTACAACTCGAAAAACGACGTCAACTTGTAGCAATAATTTTATCAATTTTCGTATTATATTTTTTCGTGAATACCGTACCCCGCCATCGATTGTGATTTCCTTCAAACAAAAATACAACCAATTGCCAATCGTGCTGTCAAATTTTTCTTGCGTCTTCATCGATTGTTTTTGGCGTCTAGACCATGTGCTCAGGAAGCTTTGTGATACGGGATAAACAGTTTCAGCCAGTTTCAAGGGACAGTGACAGGTCAGGGAGGGTTGAAAAATGCAAATTTATCCATACAAGAAAAAGGACGCGAATTAAAAATCGGTGTTCAGCTGCTGATGCCGGCGTTCTTCGTCGTCCACACCTCACAGCGGTCGAGGATTTTGACTCTTTTCTGAAAGTCGTGGATACAGAGATGGCAAATATTCTTCAGGAAAGGGCAGGCTAGCAGAGATCCTTTAGGAAAGGGTAGGCTAGCAGAGATTCGTTAGGAAAATCTGTCTTCGATTATCTACCTCGCCCTGTGTCGGCGGCGCCGTGTCCATCTGCATCTCCATCTCCGAGCTGAGCAGTTCGAGCCGCCGATGAATTCGTTTCATTGCTGCCTAAAATCCGCATAATCCACCGTGCACTGGATAGCCTGACCGGCCCCAAGTCGGCGCATCCCATGTAGACATTCGCCTCCTCGGGCAGCGTCACCTCAAGGGGCGCGGCGCCGGCGGGGTGCTGGTGCACCGGCGTCTAAAAACGGGGGTCAAACATCTCCAAGCAGCCAGTTCAGCTACTTTAGGCGGTAGCAGCTCATTCTGGTCGGGCTTCCAGTGGCGTCGCTCGTGCAGGCTGGTCGCCGTGCTGGCGCCGAGCGTCGACGGCGCGGTCGACGGCACGTGCGACGCAGGGGGTGACTGAAGGGTTCTCTTGCGCTATCGGGGGGGGGGACTTTTTACGAATAAAATCTTTTCAAATATAAATGGTGGAAGTGCCACTGCTAAAGGCAAAAAACATTCTAAAAAGTTTAAAAATACAAAAATATAGGTTTTTCAACCAAATTCCGAATTTGAGCGATTTTTGAAATCCTCAGAGCGAGTTTTTGGAATTGAAATCGAGCTAAATTTGAAAGAAATGAAAGCGCAAGCCAGCAGAGATTTTTGAAGAAACGGCAAGCTAGCAGAGATCCTCTAGGAAACGGCAAACTAGCAGAGATTCTTTGGAAAAGCGAGGACCTTGGCAGCCGACGACCAGGGTGCCGAGCTCTCCTCCAGCCGGTCCTTGTCCGTTTCCTAAAAATTGACTACTTTAGCCGCATTTTTCCAGGTTAAATTTTCAAAATGAAAAAACTCGCCGGCTCGGCCTCGGGCTTCTGCTTGACCGGGCTTTTCGTCTTCGTGCGCTCTTTCGGCGACTTGGTCGGCGCGCACCCGACGACGACGGCGAGGGCAAATGACACTTGGACTAATATTCCTGAAAAAAATAATAAGTACTTGCAGAGATTCTTTGGGAAATCACCTGCGATTAGAGACGTAAACATTTTCCGTGAAGCTCAGCTTGAATTATATCAAAAGTGGGGGCGGCCAGTAGAAAACGAGTGGGCGGGGGTGTAAATCGGGGTTGCTGGGCACAGTTTTGCAGGAAGTACACGAAATTTGCCAAGAAAACTACGATGTTAATTTAGAATGTAAATTAAAAATAAACCAATTGATAACTCAACCATGCCAAAGATCAGCCTAATAGCGTAATAGTAAGCGTTTTAATGCTCTTTTTACTGGATTTAACGTAATTACGACTGTAAAAACTATACAAAAAACATTATGAAGTTTTAAAGTGCATATTTTTGTTGAAGACTTGCCATTTTGGTCAAAACATCGATATTTTTGTATTCTTCAATACGATTTTCTGAAACCCGACCTATTTCGATTGGAAAACCGGATTCTAAAGAAAAAGTACCCCTCCCCCCCGATAATGGGAAAGCACCAAAAGGCCAGCACAGTTTTCCACGCCGCGTTCTAAAACGTGCTCCCGCACTCGCCCCCCGGTACCCCCAGCGCTCGGCTCAAGTCCAACGCGCCTTTCCTGGCTTTATCATTCGCTACTCGTCCGGACACTCGTCAAACTGGGTCTAACAGGTCTGGACCCGTGTTCTCCGTTTCGAAAAAAATTATTTTTAGGCTTCGGAATCCTTTTTCACGGCAAGCCCGTGCCCGTGCCCTTGATGCGACCGCATCTACCTCTGAAACGACCGAAGGTATGCACAGCTTTTCCCGTTAAAAACTTTTTTTTAGTTTATTCCCGGCGGAAGGAGCAGGAACGCAACAACAGCCGAAACAACAACGCCGAACATGGGCCAAGGTAAACGGATCACACTTTCTTTTAGCTTTTTTTTTTAACTTTTTGGTTCAAAAACGTGTTTTTCGCTTATTTTTTTTTGTATCAATAACGTTTTAAAGAAGATTCAATGCTTTTCATACTTTTTATAAAGTTCAGGGATTCAGTTTTACTAACGAAACCTTTTCAGGCCCTTCGACCGCGCGCTCGTCACAGGGTGACGACTCGTTTGCGCTCTACAAGACGCCCGCCGGCAGCCCATCGCGCCCCAAGGAAAGCCCGAACAATGTGAAGCGTGCGTTTCGTGTTTTTCAAGCCTGCAAGTTATTATGTTAGCATCGAACAACGAGTTGCCCGCGTGCAAGTCGAGGGGCGAGCGGCAAAATGTCAAGAGTAGGTGTTATTGGTTTATTTTCAGTGTGTGTTTTTTTAGTTGAAAAGGCGGCGCTGGACAATTCTTCTCCTTCTTCTTCGAACCAGCAGGTGCTTTTTGGAAGAATTTTGATGGTTTTGAATAGACCGGGCCAGAGACGAATTTGTGTCTATAAAACCGGAAATGCCTCATGATGGCAAGTAGATTTAGCTGTTTTCAGTGGAAAAACCATCTTGAAATTTCCGGGAATGTTTGAAGATGTTCAAAATCGTTAACTCTAGCTTCATCATGTTTTTTTAGGAGCAGCCCCGCGACGCCGACATCGTCAAGAAGCCGGTAGCCAAGTTCCGACCGATGCCCGGGCGTCGTATCCAGCCATTCCGTGAAGCGCCCCGACCGGTTGAAGAAGTGCGGCGCCGCCTGTCAGACGAGCGTCGAGCCCGTGATCGTGAACGCCACCGCGACCGCTACCACGACCGCCGACACGACTTCCGGCGCCACCGATCGCGCAGTCGCGACCGCCGACGTGATCCGCCGCCCTCATATTCGGTTAGTAAATTTAGTTATGGTTCTTTCGCCTTTTCGGAGGAGACCAACTTTCTCCTATATAAGGTTAGAAATGCCTAGCAACGTAGTAGGAAATATTTTAATCGTTTTTGGCAAAGTTTAACCATAATTCAAGTGAGACAACAGCCAAAAACATCGAAAAAAATGTTTTGAAGTGAGATTTTGGTCGAAACATGGATATTTTTGTATTTGTAATCAAAATCCCAGGTTTTTACGTTTAGAAATAGTAAAAATAGTCTAGATCGTTTTTTGGCCAGGCTCAATCGAATCGAATTCATTTTTTCCAGGCTCTCCCTCCACCGTCGTCGATCCCGCACGTGTGCCCGACTTGCGGCCAGAACACCCAGAACGCCATCGCCGCGCCGTCGACTTCTGCCGATCGCCATATGCACAGCAACCGCCGATAGGCGCTTTATCCTTTCTAGTTTTCAATTTTCTGCGCATTCCATTCATTGCCCCCACTGTTCACAAACCCCCATCATCCACCATTGTTATTGCCTTTCTATTTGTTAGCATCCATTTAGTGTTTCGTCTAGAATTTGTTGTTCGTGTTCTCCAATAAACTTTCCAAAATCTGGCGTAAAGTTTTGGGATTTGAAAACGAAAGGGCTAGGGCTCTAGCGCTCTTATTGGGCTCATCTTGATGAAAGCGCGCTTCCGGCATGCATCGTTGGGCTTCGAATTTGCGATCGCTGCCGAGCCTCTGAACACGTTACACTGCCCGCCGGTTGTGGCGTCTGAAGCGTCGATCACGCAGGTTCTTCAAGATAAAGTGGTGCCGCGTGCATTACTACTTTTCGAAGCCAAGCAATTTATTCCTCAAACAACGAATGAACTATACAATGCTATGAAAAACCCGCAAAACTAGGCATCATTACCGGAATTAACTTTACAAGCGAATGTGGAGCAAAAACAAACTATAAAATTCAGGCTAGTACAATTGTTATAAGACAACGCGAAAACGTGCGCCGGGGCTAACCTTTTGCGCGTAAACCCCGGAAGCGATAATTGTGATTCGATGAAGTCCCGGGCGGCGCGGCTACTTGACACGCGGCATCACATCCGGCTTCTTGTTGGTGGGTTGCGGGACGCGGGCGGCAGACATTTTTACCTGAAAACAGAATATTAATTAAAGAAAACCACTCCACCGCTTAATAGGGCTAGAAAATAGCTATAATCAGCTGCCAATCTGGTAAACACTTGACTATAAATCATGCGCTAAAACTGAGATTATGGATCCCGATTTCTTACTACCGAGTTTAGGTCGGGTGCTTATTGTTATACAATTTTTATTTTAAAAGAATCGTTTTTAAGCCAGATTAGGGGTTTTCAACGTAGCATCGCCTATTCGATGAAGCTTGAAATTCCGACAAAGTGCCCACTTTCTAAAAGTCTAAACGATCTTCAAAAAGGCGCTGAAAAGGCGATGCGTGCGCCAAACTTCAGAAAGAAACGTAAACTTTTTCGAGCTGCACTCGGGCGTAAAACAAAACACACCTCGGCATCATAGTAGGAGTAGACGTTGAAGTGCAGATATTCGTCGCACAGGTACGCCTTCGGATCGACGCGCGTCGCACGGCCGGCCTTCGCGTACGCTTCGGCGTGCTCGATGCCGGTGGTCGTCTTCGGGGCGGCGCTGCCGGTGCTGCTGCTTGACGTCGAGCCGAACCGTCGCCCGAGCGCCCAGAGCTGATGGGCGGCACGTTGCGGGCGCATCGCTGAAAAAGGTGAATTAAAATCAGCACCGTGATACAGAGAGTTAACTGACGAAATCGATAGATAAATTATAAGTAATCGAAGCTATCCAATAAAATAAAAAGAAATGGAAATCAATAAAAGCTTTTCAAAGTTGTCCGTGGCTGACAAGCGGGAGTACGGTGGGTCCGGCGCAGGGGCGCGCTTTAGTGTGCAGAGCCCTCGCTTGACCAAAATCGAACTTCCGGTTCGTTTTTCGGCTCTAATAAAGCTTCCTGGGCTTCGTTAAAATAAAAAAAATGCATAAAATTCTAATGTTTAATGTTAATAGATTTTCAATCAAAACTGTCCGATTTCGCACCACATTTTAATATCTAAAATATACTTAAAAATTTTTGTGCACTCGTAAAACTTAACTTAACTCGCAAGCCTAAGCCTGCTTCATCTAAAGCTAATTTTTAGAAACGCTCTGAAAGTACTCTAGTTGCCACTCTGGCACTAGCCTGAAATTTGCATATTCCGCCGTTCCTCCGGCGGCTGCTGCTGCTTTTCGGAGCCGCCACATGGTTGAGTGATTTGTGTTGTGCGTGTTCCCGAGCTAAAAGGCCAGATATCGAGGGGCAAGCCGAACACCCGGACACCGGCGGCTCATTGTCTATGGATTCGGAATTCGGCGGGGCGGCGCGCGAGGGAAAAGCCCGGGAAATGCCCTCCGGCCACTTCTGCCCTTTTAATCGGGGCGCCTCAGCGCTCGGCGGTTCAATTGAGCCATTTTCAATTGGTTATCGCGAATTTTAATTGGATTTGAATTTTTGAGGGGGCCGAGGAGTCGGAGATGAACTTTCAGAGGCTGTTATTTTAAAGGAACTTGCCAGGCAACCCTGTTAGTACGCTTAAGGCTAAGCTAAGCATAAGCCTAAGCCTAAGCCTCCGGTTTCCAGCTCCGGTTCCCCTTTCCGGTCCTATATTTTGCCCTGCAATTGTTTGTTTACCCATCCGAATGGGTCCGTTGGACGCCAAATTGCGAACAGTTGTCCCGATTCGATTGATGGCGCCGGTCACCAATTTCTTGCTGCAAAAGAGTCGACGCCAACCACGCGGGGTCAATCCAGGGGCCAGGGATTTGGCAAATGATCTCTGCTAGCTGCTCTTTCCTAAAGAATCTAGGCTAGCCTGCCCCTTCCTGAAGAATCGCTGCTAGCCTCTCTTTAGACGAAGCCTCCTAAAGTTTCTACTCTCTCTCTCTCTCTCTCTCTCTCTCTCTATCTCTCTCTCTCTCTCCCTTTCACGCTCTCACTTTCTCACTCTCTCTCTCTCCCTCTCTCTATCGTCCCCTGACCTGGCCCTAAATTCCCAAATAATCACTGCTAGCATGCCCAGATATTTTTCCACATTGCACCCACTTTCGTTTATGTTCCTTGGTGTCATGCGGAGCTTTGGCCCCGAGAGCAATTATTATTCCAACCCGAGAAGGGCACCTTTGGCCCATTTTCAAGCCATCAACTCTTGCCCGGCCTCACCCCCGATTTATGACCCCCGAAAGTGGCCTTGGGGCAAGGTTTTCGCACTTGAAGAGCTGGAGCTTTTGGTTTACTTTTCCTCAAGGATCTTTGCTAGCCTGCTCGAGCCAGCTCGGTTTCCTAAAGGACCTCTGCTAGCCTGTTTTCTCCGAGAGGATTTCCACAAGAATCTCTGCTAGCGTGCCACATTCCTTCAAAAATCATGCTAGTTTGCCCCAGAATTTTTAAATAGTCTCTCCTGGCTTTCCGGTTTCTGGAAGATATCTGCAGTTTGCCCCTGAATTCCTGAAGAATCTCTGCTAGCTTGCCCAGCAATTCCTAAATGGTCTCTGCTAGCCGCTACCGTAACCGTAGTCCTCAATTTATACCCTATTTTATGCTCCATTTTATGGTATGCCCCTGGGCATATGGAACATATTCCGGAGCCCCACCTAAAAAATGACAAAAAATTTTTTAGGGGCTCCAGGATAGGCCAATAAAGTTCAGACGGGGGGGAACGGGTCCCGGGGCGAACGCCCCCCCGTTTTTTGCCGGCTTTCCGGACCCAAATTAAAGTTGCCGCCGGGGGCTAGAGGTCGCAATGTTCACTTTTATGACTTTTCGAGAGCGCCGTTTTTTTCTGGGAGAACGCTGACATGGCTGGGTTTAAAAGCTGGAAAAATGACAAGGCCAATTTAACCGGCTTTCCCCAAAGAAACCCTGCTAACTCGGTCTTTCCTAAAGAATCTCTGCTAGCCTGCCCTTTCCTAAAGAATATCTGCTAGCCTGCCCTTTCCTAAAGAATCTCTGCTAGCCTGCCCTTTCCTAAAGAATATCTGCAAGCCTGCCCTTTCCTAAAGAATCTCTGCTAGCCTGCCCTTTCCTAAAGAATCTCTGCTAGCCTGCCCTTTCCTAAAGAATCTCTGCTAGCCTGCCCTTTCCTAAAGAATATCTGCTAGCCTGCCCTTTCCTAAAGAATCTCTGCTAGCCTGTCCTTTCCTAAAGAATCTCTGCTAGCCTGCCCTTTCCTAAAGAATATCTGCTAGCCTGCCCTTTCCTAAAGAATCTCTGCTAGCATGCCCTTTCTTAAAGGATCTTTGCTAGCCTGCCCTTTCCTAAAGATCGTTCTAGACGTCTTTTTGCAGCTAGTAGATATTCTTTAGGAAATGGCATGCTAGCGAAGACTCTTTAGGAATTGTCAGGCTAACAGCTTGATTTTCTACTACCATTTTCCACTTTCTCGCCCTCTTTTTGGTGGTTTCTGTCTCCAACAAAGTGGGGGACCCACCCGGGAGGCGAGACCTGTCACTCATATTTCAAGTACGGCTCGGGCCAACTGTTCCATGCCCTCGCACCCCGCGACTTCTTCTTCTTTAGCGAGTTTTTTGGCCCCTCCATTTTTCGGTTACTCCCGCCCTGCTGCTGCTGCTCCTTGAGCCCTCAAAATACCCCCCCCGTGGGTGAATTGTGGAAATTTGAGCCCGACACCTAGGCAAGGCCTACGCTATTTACGGTTCGGGTTTAGGCGCTAAAATCAGTATTTAGGGCTTAAACTACTACAAGTAGACCTACCTAGATGCTCAGCAAAAGCTTAGCCTAAGCCTAAGTTAAGGCTAAGCCTAAATTAAGCCTAAGTCTAAGCCTAGGCCTTAGCCCAAGCCTAAGCCTAAGTCCATCTGAGGTTAAGTTGCTCTCGCCCATTCTCTCTCTCTCTCTCTCTCTCTCTCTCTCTCTTGCTTTATATATTTCTCTCTCTATCTCGCTATCTCTCTCTCGCTCCCTCTCGCTTCTTGGCCTCGCCTTTCCCAAAGAATCACTGCTAGCTTGCCTTTCTAGCCAAAACGACTAGCTATTCTTTACCTCGTCATTCCCCCCAGATTCCTAGTGCGTACTCGCCCATTCGACCCTAAAAAATGGGCGTCTTTCCGGGGCGTAGCAGGGCCCCAGGCTGCTTTTCGGAGCTAAGGAGGGAGAGAGAGAGAGAGAGAGAGAGCGAGAGAGAAGAAGAGAGAGAGAGCGAGAGACAGAGAAGAAGTTTTTGTTTATTACCCGCCTTCCGCCCTAAAGCATGCATTCCCGACGAGCCTTGTCGTCGGCGCGTCGTCTCCTCGGTGGCTTTTGAAATGGCTTTACGTGTTTGCTTATTTTTCTGGGTTTTTTGGTCTTTGGCGAAGGAGGAACGGATTAGGGTTGCGGAATTCCGGAAGTTCCTGCCTGCTAAATGCTTTTTGCTAGTTGGTGCTAGCAATTTTGAGAAAGAACCTCTGCTAGCCTGAAATTTCCTAAAGAATCTCTGCTAGCCCGCGCCCGGCAAGCTAGCAGGGTTCATTTGAGGAATACTAGCCGGAAAAAACGTGTTCCATCTGCCCGAGAGCCATATAAGCGGATTTGAAGTGGCGGGTGACTGCGAGATCCTCTTAAAACCCACTTCACTGAAGCTCAGGCTCCCTGGGGAACAGCAGGAAACTCAAGCTCAATCCATCCGTCCGGGCCAAACATATTTTTGACGTCGTCAAGCGGCAGGAGTCAGTATTTGTAGCCCCGGATTCCCAAAGCGTCTTTGCTGGCCTGCCATTCCGAAAGGAATCTCTGCTAGCCTGCCCTTTTCTAAAGAATCTCTGCTAGCCTGTCCTCCTCGAGAAATTCTCGCGGCAAGCTAGCAGAGAGAGGGAGACAGCGAGAGAGAGCGAGCAAGATCGAGAGAGAGAGACAGCGAGAGAGAGAGATAGAGAGAGAGGGAAGAGAGAGACAGCGAGAGAGAGAGAGAGAGAGAGAGAGGGAAGAGAGAGACAGCGAGAGAGCGGACCCAGGCACACTAGCAGAGTTCGCTAGAGAATTCCTCCAGCCCCAGTTTTTTTAGGCGTCAAAGAACACCCCGCGGGATCCAGGAACCCGGAAAGCTAAAAAAATCCCGGATTTCCTTCTGATCGCCCCCAAAAATTCGGCGACTAATACAATATGCTTTTTTGTTGGGTTTGTTGCTTTTTTGAGGGTGCAATTTTTCCAAATCGGAGTAGAGCCGGGCCATTGTCTTGGCCCCAGTTTTCCGCGGGGATGACAAAACAAGATCCATCACGCATGGCCGAAAAGTCCTTTGAGAAATGGCGCTTGTCCCGGGTCGCCGATTTTTCATGGGACCCCAAGAAGGGGTCGGAGTCCCGTCGGGAATTCCACCCACCGGCCCCCCTTTTTGTCGTCCGGCCCCTAATTTGCATAATTTGAGTAACGAGCGAGTGGAAGCGTAGAAACGGGGCGTGGCTAATTGTAACTTTTCTGGAGTGAAATTTGGACCGGAAACACGAGAATCTTTGCTAGTCTGCTCACCCTAAAGAATCTCTGCTAGCCTGCCCTTTCCTAAAGAATCTCTGCTGGCCTGCCCTTTCCTAAAGAATATCTGCTAGCCTGCCCTCTCCTAAAGAATCTCTGCTAGCCTGCCCTTTCCTAAAGAATCTCTGCTAGCCTGTCCTTTCCTCAAGGATCTCTGCTAGCCTGCCTTTTCCTCAAGAAATTTCTAGATTTTTGTTTATTCCATTTTCAACCCTCCTCCGGACCACACCTGTGGACAGCTCTCAACCCAGGGGGGCAGTCATTTTTCCGGAATGGGCTCCGGATCCCCGGCCTCGGCCTCCCCTCAGGGTGAGAAATGGGGGCTCATCCGGGCGGATTGACGGATTTTGGCCCTCCATCTCCACGCACACACTCGAATTGCTTCTTTATCGTCGGCTTCGAGGTGCGTGTCACAACGAAATTTGGCTATGATCTGCACTCGGCGTCTTGCATTTTAAATGTTTTCTTCTGGCTTGCTTTGAGGTCGGAAATAATCTCTGCTAGTCTGCCCCTTCAGTTTTCTCTGCCGGTCTCATTTGGAATTGATTCCGAAATGATCTCGCGCGCTGGCGCTCAAGTTCAAATGATCTCTTCTTGCCTGCCTTCATTCCGCGACGAATCTCTCTCTCGCTCTCTCTCACTCTCTCCCATTCGTTCTCTCGCCTTCTCTGTCTCTATCTCACTCTCTCTCTCCCACATTAGCTCTCTGTTTCGTTCTCTCTCATTCTCCCACTCTCTCTTTCTCTCTCTCTCTCTCTCTCTCTCTCTCTCTCTCTCTCTCTCTCGCTCTCTCTCTATCTCGCTTTTCAGATACGATGCACCCCCTCGAAGCTACGCGATGAACCCGTGGACACATCTATTTCCCCTACTTTTTGTCGGCTTTGCCTACGGCGAGGTGAGTCCGTTCAGCTACGGCAAGCTAGCAAAGACAATTTGCGCCCCGTTCGACACCCCACTCAACCGCAAAATATTTTCCGTTCGAGGCTCCCCGAAAAGCATCTGTCACATGCTTTCCGCACGTTTTTTGGCGGGCGGGAAAGCGAACGGCGGGAGAGAGAGAGAGAGAGAGAGAGAGAGAGAGAGAGAGAGAGAGAGAACGCCAGGGTGTAATGCCACAAAGCCAGCGAAAACATGCCCCGAGGGCATGCCATTTCCGAAATTATGAGTTAAACTGGGAATGGGGGATTGGGTTTCCGGGGAACGAGACTATAGGCAGGCTAGCGGAGGTTTTTAGGGAAGGGAGACGACTCGTAATCTTAGGTAATGGAGACCTAAGCCTAAGCCTAAGCCCAACCTAAGCCTAAGCCTAAGCTTAAGCCCAAGCCCAATCCGAAGCCTAAACCTAAGCCGCAGCTCAAGTCTAAGCCTAAGCCTGAGCCTAAGCCTAAGCCTAGGGCTAAGCAAAGCCTAAGCCTGAGTCTCAGCCTAAGCCTAAGCCCTAAGCCCTAAGCCTAAGCCTAAGCCTAAGCCTAAGCCTAAGTCTAAGCCTAAGCCTAAGCCCAAGCCCAATCCTAAGCCTAAGCCTAAGCCTAATTTAAGCCTAAGCCTAAGCCCAAGCCCAATCCTAAACCTAAGCCTAAGCCTAAGCCTCAGTCTAAGCCTAAGCCCAATCCTAAGCCTAAGCCTAAGCCTAAGCCTAAGCCTAAGCCTAAGCCTAAGCCAGCAACGATCACTTTTTCTACCCCGCAGCCCCAAAGTTTAGCAGCTACTCCGAAAATTCACCTACCTATCACCACCCAACCTGCAGGTCGAGTTTTGGTGTGTAGCCCGGAGCAGAATTTTTTCGAATTCTTTTCTTTCCGTTCGTTTTTGAAAGTCCAGATTTAGTTTATAGTTTTGAATATTTTTAGTTCGAAAATTATAAATTTAGACGATGAGCACCTAATTTTTTTAGTTTTCGAGCCAAATGTTATATTTTAGGACCCGTGCGTGGCGAGATGCTACCGGCTCCACGACCGGTCGCTGGGCCGGGCCGATATGGCTCGCGTCGGGCTGACGACGCTTCTGGATCGGCAGAAGCCGGCTGGGCGGTTGCGGGACGCTTGCTGGTGAGTGGGAGGGCTAGCAGAGATTCTTTAGGAAGGTGCAGCAGCGAAACTAAGCCTAAGTCTGAACCTGAGCCTAAGCTTTCGCCTAAATATAAGCCTAAGCCTAAGCCTAAGCCTAAGCCTAAGCCTAAACCTAAGCCTAAGCCTAAGCATATTTTATTCTGAGCTCTTCACAGCCAAATAAAAACAGCTGGAAACCCAAGTCGCATAGTAAAGTTGAGCACCAGCTGTTGCTCCAAGGAATCCCAGCACCCAGAAAAGTGTGGAAATCCGAGACGGTCTAAAAAACAATGCAAACAAAGGTCTCGAACAAAAAATTTGGATAATTAAAGGGGCTGAGAAGCCAGGGCCTGCCCTTTCCTAAGGAATCTCTGCTAGCTAGCCCTCAAATTCAGGCGCCTCTACGATCTCTTCGACTGTATGAAGCACTGTGACGAGGAGCCGAAGGGTTTCGAGAAATTTATCAAATACTCCGAGCGTCAATGTCTTGAGGCGATGCATGGTAAGAGCGAGAGAGAGAGAGAGACAGAGAGCGAGAGAAGGAACGAATTGAATCTTAGACATGGACGCCGAGCTACACTGTATCTCGAAGTATCACACATTTATGGAAGTTCGATGCTCTTCGTTTATGAAAGTATGGAAATCATGTATTTTTCCTAGATTTTCGGATTTTAGGAAGCTGTAAAGTTACGAAGGCGGATTGGGATCAAATTTACGCCAGATCAGGATACTTGTCGGTGAGTTAGAGTGGCTAAGCCTTGAAGCTAAGCTCAAGCCCAAGCCTAAGCGTAAGCCTAAGCAAAGCCTAAGCAAAGCCTAAGCCTAAGCCTAAGCAAAGCCTAAGCCTAAGCCTAAGCCTAAGCCTAAGCCTAAGCCTAAGCCTAAGCCTAAGCCTAAGCCTAAGTGAAGCCTAAGCCTAAGCCTTAAATGAAGTCTAAGCCTAAGCCTAAGCCCAAGCCTAAGCCTAAGCCCTAAGCCTAACCTAACCTAAGCCTAAGCCTAAGCCTAAGCCTAAGCCCAAGCCAGCTTTCCGAAAACCCCGATTTTCAGCTACGTCCACCTCAACGCCCTGTGCCTTGAAAACGCCGTCCTTTCACACTGCCCAAACGCTGAACATATCTTCACAAGGTAAACTTCGGACTACAACGGCTTCGGAGTACAAAAATCCATAGCAAACGGACTTCCCTGCCCCTTTAAAAGCCAGTACCCCAAATCCAGGCTCAACTTCCGCGACTACTTCTTGAATTTCATCGTCCCGGACGATGATACGCTGTTCGACGATGAGGATTTGGACGCTTGTCAAGTGAGAATTTTCGGATTACGGTAGGATAGGTGCACTTAGGTGTACGACTTCGTGCAGCCGGTCTTCCCGAAGAACACCAAGCAGCCGAAGGATCGATCTTTGGTAGGTTCCTAAATAATCTCGGCTCGCTGCCTCCTTTCCGAAATAATCTCTGCTAGCTCCCCCTAATCCATTTTTCAGTCAAACCTCTACTCACCGACCCCATCCACTTCCACCGTAGCCGCCCGATTTTTGGAGAGCTCGACTTTTATTGAGGAGGAGCTCGAGCGGTTGGAGCAACACGAAAGGTGAGTCTCTCTCTCGCTCTCTCTCGCTCTCTCTCCCTATCGCTCTCTCCCTTTCTCTTATAGCATAATCATGAGTTTTCAGGTCGGAGTTTGTGACCGAACAAGAGCTGGAAACGAGCACAAAAGCGTCTTCGAGCAGTCCAGGTAGAGTAAGGGAGAGACAGAGAGAGAGAGCGAGAGAGCGAGAGAGAACGAGAGAAAGACAGATTTCTATCTTCCAGATCATCCGGCCAAAAACCAAGACGATCTGACGGACCTCAAGGGAGAGCTGGAGAAACTTGACAAACTGGAAGAAGCCGACGCCACCACAAAGAGTTCAAAACGGCCAAGGAGCACGACCCTGTTCCCGACGTTGACCCCGAGGATACATTACACGGCTAAAGATTTGAAGTGGGTTTTAAAGGTTCCAGTTACAGGGTCCTCTTCAGGGCACGTCAAAAGAACCGGAATCGGAATCGTGGAAAAGCAAGGGATGATGATGGAGGGCGAGGAGATGATCATGGGAAAGCGGTAGGCTGTCCAGCCAAGGTTCTTTAGGAAAGGGCAGGCTAGCAGAGATTCTTTAGGAAAGGGCAGGCTAGCAGAGATTCTTTAGGAAAGGGCAGGCTAGCAGAGATCCTTTAGGAAAGGGCAGGCTAGCAGAGATTCTTTAGGAAAGGGCAGGCTAGCAGAGATTCTTTAGGAAAGGGCAGGCTAGCAGAGATTCTTTAGGAAAGGGCAAGCTAGAAGAGATATATTTAGGAACGTTCAGGCTAGCAGAGACCATTTAGGAATCCCTTTTTCAGATCGAAGGCGTCTCTGATGTAATGAAGGACCAAAAGGAGCGGCAAGAGGAGAAAGAGAAAGAAAAGGAGAGCAAGGAAAAAGACGAGGAGGACGACAAGAAAAAGAAGAAAAAGAAGGAGGACGAGAAGCCGTCGAACGAAACGATGCTGGCCGACAATTCGACCCTACCTTTGAAGCCCGTTTACGGGAAGGAGGTGGAAATTACAGAGGTAATTATTCTTCATTTTCCTTAAGATTATTTTATTGCTATTTTTGCGCTCAATACATGAAATTAATTTCAAGATCTACACGGAAGCGACGACCACGAAAACGACTACGGTGCTGGTCCCGAAAAATGAGCCCCAAGGTTCGCTTTTTAGGATATAAAAATTTGTGGATTACTTTTAGCCACCCCATCACCAAGAAGTACAGTGGTAACAAGTTTATCTACAGCCCAATCAGCTCCAAAATACGGCTCCGAGGTGGTGATCCCATCGTCGACAGGAGCCGACCGGACATCGACGGTCACCCCGAAGCCGAGTCCGAAGACGACGACACAGAGAGCGGCTGGGTTTATGATAAAGGTAGAGCGGGGTGGGCTAGCAGAGATTCTTTAGGAAAGAGCAGGCTAGCAGAGATTCTTCAGGAGAAGGCAAGCTAGCAGAGATTCTTCAATTCAGGATCTGCAACCCACCGCGGTATCCGGGGAAATCGAAGACGCCCTCGACCATCCGCCCACCGCTACGCCAGACGACCTCGACGTCGACTTTCTGCTCTCCCAGGAGGCGATCGACGGGAAAAGCTTTGAGGATTTTGTCGTCGAGAGGAGTGGAGGGCAGATAGGTCGGTTTTTGTGGCTTTGAAATGCGAGAGAGTGAGAGAGAGAAAGCGAGCGAGAGAGAGAAAGAGAGAGAGAGTGAGAGAGAGAGAGATAAATGCGGAATTTTAGCCCCGGTTCGCCCCTATCTCTTGCCGACCGATGCAGCAGAGACGGTGATGATTGGAAGAGACTCGTGAGTTTTTCTCCATCATTAATGTGCGCTAACGGAAAGCAACGTACATTAACGTACAGGAACGTACCATAGCATACCGTAGCGTGTTGTGGTGTACGGTAGTGTACAGCAACGTACAGTAGCGTAAAGCAATTTACACTAGTGTACAGTCACGTAGTTAAGGTACGGTAGGTACGGTACGCACGTCAGAGTCCAATAGGTTACTGTAACGTATCATTTACGTCATCGTTAGCTAGGGGAAGTAACGTACAGTTTTCGAAGCTACAAACCATCTTTTCCAGTGAACTTCCTGAAGTCGCTCCAGCTGACGTGTCCGCCGTTGAACTGCTACCGACGGCGAAAGACGGCGAGAACGGCGCTTTCCATACAGAGACGTCCACGAATCGACAAGAGTTTGGAGATGATCAACGGGTTGAAGGTGGGCAGCTAGCAGAGGCTATTGTGGATTCAAGCAGGCTAGCAAAGAGCATTTGAGCACCAATTTTGCACGGAAAATGTTTGCTGTGGGTGTCGCCGTCCCTTTAATACGGTCGATTTTTCTCGGTGTTGCATTTTGCGTGTTTTTCAGAGGCTATTAACGCATTTTATTCAAGGAATGCGACCAATAACAGTAAGCATGTAGAAAAAGTGTAAATAATTTTTTTATTTGTGTTTTTTAGTTTTTTTTGTGTGCGTTTTTTAGTTGCTTGCGTATTTATCACTTCTATGTTATTTTTTGCATTTTTTTTGTGGTAGTTTACAGTTCAATTTTGTGTTTTAGTTATTTATGTGTTTTCTGTTGTTTGTCATGTTAATTGCGTTACCAAAAAATGAGAAATAGTAAAAATACAGTAATTCCAGGCCAGTTCCAATCTACTAAAATTTCGTAAGAATCCGATTTTTTGGGTTTTCAGATTTCACCGAAATTCCGATTGCGAAGACGACGCGGAAGAAGCTGTTCTCGTCGGATGAGGATTTTGAGATTACGCCTCCAAATTTTCACTATTCTACCTACCGAATTGGGCTAATCCCGAAGGAGCATCAGTAGGTTTTTGTCTATCTCTCTCTCGCTCTCTCTCTTGCTCTTTCTCTCTATCTCGCTATCTCGCTCTCTCTCTCTCTCTCTCTCTCTCTCTCTCTCTCTCTATCTATCTCCCTCTTTCTGTCTCTCTCGCCCACTCTCTCGCTCTCTCTCGCTCTCTCTCGCTCTCTCTCGCTCTCTCTCGCTCTCTCGCTCTCTCACTCTCGCTTTTCCGTTTCTCTATAGCCTTCTGTCTCTCTTTTCTCTCTCTCGCTCTCTCTCTCTCTCTTGCTCTTTCTCTCTATCTCGCTAAGTCGCTCTCTCTCTCTCTCTCTCTCTCTCTCTCTCTCTCTCTATCTATCACCCTCTTTCTGTTTCTCTCGCCCACTCTCTCGCTCTCTCTCGCCCACTCTCTCGCTCTCTCTCGCTCTCTCTCTCGCTCTCTCTCGCTCTCGCTCTCTCGCTCTCTCGCTCTCTCTCGCTCTCTCGCTCTCTCACTCTCGCTTTTCTGTTTCTCTATAGCCTTCTGTCTCTCTTTTCTCTCTCTCTCTCTCTCTCTCTCTCTCTCTCTCTCTCTCTTGCTCTTTCTCTCTATCTCTCTATCTCGCTCTCTCTCTCTCTCACTCTCAGTCACTCTTGCTCTCTCTTCCTTTCTCTCACTCTCTGTCTCTCTCTCGCTCTCTTTCTCTCTCACCCCCTCTCTCGCTCTCTTTCTTTCTCTCTCGCTCTCTTTCTTTCTTTCTCTCTCGCTCTCTCCTCTCTCTCGCTCTCTCTGCTTCTCTCTCGCTCTCTCTCTCTCTCTCTCTTCCCCTCTCTCTCTCTCTCTCAGGTCCAATTCCATAATTTCCCTCCCTACAGTAACCCCACAGCCTTTTCCCTCTTCACCGGATGGTAAGCGACTGCAGAATTCGTTAGCATCCCCTACTATTAGTGCAATACAACCCAGTAAAACGTATTTTGCATTTTGGCCTGCAGGGAGTACTGTAATTTCACCCTAATTTGCATCCGCCGCCTTTCAGGTGGTGGTACTACACGACAAACTGGGCGAATTCGGGCCCGACACCGTATCCGATGACGACACAAAAACCCGTCACAAGGCTATATACAACAATTGTGAGTTTGGAGATCAGGCGGGCAGGCTAGCAGAGACCATTTGCCGAGCCCAAATCTCCTCGTTTCAGGAGACCTATCTGAAAAATGGAGTCACAACTCGGCGAATCGTCGTCAAGAAAGGCCCTCGAAAATTCAAGGACCCGATGGAGGTGGAAATTGCTGGGAAAAGCGACGAGAAGCTGGAAGCTGTGGAAGCGACGACGGTGAAGCATCAGCCGATTTTGGATAGGAAGAGCAGGTGGGGAGAAAGCCTAAGTCTAAGCTTAACGAAGCCTAAGCCTAAGCCTAAGCCTAAGCCCAAGCCTAAGCCTAAGCCTAAGCCTAAGCCTAAGCCTAAGCCTAAGCCCAAGCCTAAGCCTAAGCATAAGCCTAAGCCTAAGCCTAAGCCTAAGCCTAAGCCTAAGCCTAAGCCTAAGCCTAAGCCCAAGCCTAAGCCTAAGCATAAGCCTAAGCCTAAGCCTAAGCCTAAGCCTAAGCCTAAGCCTAAGCCTAAGCCTAAGCCTAAGCCAAAACCTAAGCCTAGGCTAAGCCAACTTCCTGATTCCAGTGAAAGCCCCTCCGCCGCCACGCCTCTATTCCAGAACCGAAAAATACACATCAAGCAGATCCGGCCGATGAATGAGAGAAGCTCCGAGACGAGGGGTACGGTATTTTAGGGCGAATTTTAGGCTCTAGTATTTCAAAATTGACTCGTGACTGTGATTCTTTAGCCGAGGAAGGAGGCCGGAGCCAAGCCTCGATAATCTACGACCAAAACCGGCAGCAGGAAATCGATGGGCTACTCGACGCGCCGGATTACGAATATTTGCCGGAGGACGGAAAGAGCGTGGGTTTCTCTCTCTCTCTCTCCCGCTCTCTCTCTCTCTTTCTCTCTCTCTCTCTCGCTCGCTCTCTCTCTCACCAACATCTTTTCAGCTCGATCATTACCCCGAACACCCTGCGATAATCCCTACCGTAATCATCGCAAAATCCAGGGAATTGCATGAAGAGCTACAAGCCCATCCTAAAGACGCTGGAATTGGTGTGTTTTCTGGATTTTTCCCAAATTTCCCAAAATTTTGCATTTTAGGGCGAAGCATCGATCCGCATAAACTTTTCAAGAATCCACCGGGTAACTCGAATTCTGGAGAGAAGGAGGGGGACAGGTGAGTAGATTTCAGATAAGTGGGCAGGACAGGCTAGCAGAGATTTTTTATGAAAGGGCAGGCTAGCAGAGAATCTTTAGGAAAGGGCAGGCTAGCAGAGATTCTCTGGGAAAGGGCAGGCTAGCAGAGATTCTTTAGGAAAGGGCAGGCTCGCAGAGATTCTTTAGGAAAGGGCAGGCTCGCACATAATTTTGAGGTAAGGGCGCTATTTCTTGGTAATTACAGTACCCCAACAATCACCGGAAACGGCGGCGACCTTATCCGGCAGCCAATCGACACAGGAGCCACGCGTACACTGATCCTGGTGTACGGTATCCTGATCGTCTGCACCCTCCTCGTCGTGCTGCTCCTGCTCGTGTGCTGCCTCGTCAGAAAGGTGCGACAGAGCAGCAGAAGCTCCGGCAAGGGCACCCCACCGGCGGCTCCACGCTAATTTGCAGAATCTTCCCAAACCGCGTAATTAGCATATTTTACCTATTTGGTTGCCGTGTAAAGTGAAATCTGAATTTTTGTGTGCTCCTTTGGTCAACGCATCTGTGATCTCCATGTCTTTTTATATTCGAATTAAAACTATTCGTATTTTTTACAAAATAAATATATCTAATACGTCAAAATATTTGAATTCCTGAACCATCTTTTTAAGCTTATTACGCTAATCATCGAAACTACTGCTTTCTCAAGAATTAGCAGAATTTTACCGGTGCTCCAACGTCAATTCAGCCCCCCGGCCCTAAATTTGCATATCCCCCGGATTGCGTGCCGTTTTTTTGTCCTTGAGTTGTACATACCGTATACCTACCGTATGATTTTGGTTTAATTGTCATAAGTGCCGCGCTAGTTGAGATAAATCGTTTTTACGTGATAATACTTTTAATGCACTCAAAAACTGAAAGCTAGTGTGAGAAATAAAAATTACAATTTGCCGTTGTGTGAGCCGCAGTCGAAGCCTAAGCCCAAGCCTAAGCCTATGCTAATCTCAAGCAAAGCCAAGGCACGCCTATTCCTAAGCCTAAGCCTAATCCTGAGCCTAAGCCGCAGCCTAAGCCTAGGCAAAGCCTATGCGAAGCGGAGCGAGAGAGCGAGAGAGAAAGTGTGAGAGAGAGTGAGAGCGGGTGAGAGAAAGCGCGACGAGAGATAGAGGAAGAGAGAGAGTGAGAGACAACGCGAGAAAGACAGAGATAAAACAGAGAGCGAGAGCGAGTCAGAGAAAGCGAGAGACAGTGAGAGAGGGAGAAAGAGTGCGAGAGAGCGAGAGAGTGATAGAGAGGGGGAGAGAAAAAAATTTAGTTTTGAAAACTGAAACTGAAACTGAGATACTGAAAATAATACCGAAAAAACCGAATTACTGGTGCTGATTATTCAAATTCATCAAAAACAAAATTTACCGATTTACTAGCATTTTTTATTTGGCAGAACAATGGCCGTTAATTCAGCAATACAATTTTTTCCAGGCAACCCCTCCAATTTGCGGGTATTCAAGGCGGAGAAGGCGGCAGGGAGGGCCAATCGACCGGGAGCAGGTCATTTAAATTACATAAAATTTACAAATGACGGATTCATGATTTATTGCCAGTTTTTAAGTTGTAAAAATGCAATTTCAGGCGGCTTCCACAAGCCGGGCCTCGGAAACATGGACACTGGGATCCCGATTCCGGTCGAGTGGCTGAACGACACGTTCCTGGTAGGCTACTGTAGTCTGTGGGCTATTTTTATATTTTGGAAAATCGCAATTACGGAGCGTGTCGTACCTAGCGTGAATTTCTGAGGAAATAGCGGTTCTGGACTGTTAGCGGGGGACCACCGCTGTCTGTTGATGAGACATTGTGTATTTTCATAGTGTTTTTAGCAGTTTTTGTTTGCTAGAAATTCCTCAAAAATATTTTTAAAATTCGGAATTCGAAAATATTAAGCTTTTGGTCATTTTTATACATTTTTGACCAAAAACTCAAAAATCAGAAATTTTTGTTACTTTTTATAGTTTTTACACCCAAAAACTATGTAAAACGCTATCGAAATGGTCTATTTTTGTGATGTGTCATCTGGAGTTTAGGCTCCGAACCGCTCGCACTTGACGCTAGACGGGTTTAAGCCAGGTGCAGCGCCAGGTAGGTAAAATTGCTCTCTCTCTCCCTCTCTCTCTCTTTCGGTCTCTCGATCTCGATCATCCTCTCTCGATCTCTCGCTTTCTCTATCTCTCTCTCTCTCTGTCTCTTGATATCTCTCTATCTCACTCTCTCTTATGCACTCTGTCTCTGTCTCTCTCTCTCTCAAGGCGCTCTCAAGTCAACGAATCCTATATATTTTCCAGATTCGGGTCCGCCAGCCGATTGGACGGGTCACGAGCTGGACGGGTTGATCGTGTGGTGCTCTGTGATTTCTCTATTATCCGTGCTCTCCGTGTTTATTCTCATCCTGCTCTGCCACCGCTACGCCCTCATTAGGGAGAAACGGGACAGCGAGGCAAATGGGAACGGGTGAATTTGAATAAACAATTTTGGACGTTGGCTCCGAAAGAATCTCTGCTAGCCTGCCCTTTCCTAAAGAATCTCTGCTAGCCTGCCCTTTCCTAAAGAATATCTGCTAGCCTGCCGGAAACCGATAAAACGTATTAGAAAACAAGCCAGATATCGCAGCCATTTATGCGCAAAATTCGCATTCTGAACAATTTTCGAATTATGCAGGGCAGTTGAGGTCGGCCTCGAGGGCGCAGGAGAAGAACGCGAACTCGATGTCCTGAAAATTCCCAAATAATCACTGCTACTTTGCCTTATCAGCTCCTAAAAGTTCGCTGCTAGCCTTTCCCAAATAACCTCTGCTAGCCTGCCCCTCTCCGAAAAAATCTGCTTACCGGCTTGTCCAACACCGTATAGTAAGAGTCTTTGCCGTCGCAAGAGATTCCCACCGTCAAATTCTTGCTGCACGAGCCCACTTGGTAGACCTCTTTGTAGTACTGAAAATCGGTGGTTTGAGCGTTTTCCGAGGCGCTTTAAGACACTGTGATTTTGGGAATCTATCAAAATCTCGAAAATCAGAATATCGAATTTTCAGGATGTCGGATTTTGAGAATGTCGGTATTTTAAAATGCAGCACTTAATGTTGATTCATACTATGGAAATTTCGAGACTCTAAAAATTCGAGACACTGCAAATTCGTGATTTTCAAAATTCTAGACTGAAAATTCGAGATTTTGAGAATTCGAGCTACTCATAAATTCGAGATTCTAATTTTCGACATTCTGAAATTCAAACTTTATTATGAATTGTCTCTGCTACCCTGCGTTAATTGATACAAGCAAAATTGTTAAAAAACCCAAAAAAAATGTTCAACGATTTAGATGATCACATCCCCATTATGGGGTTGCAATTGATACCGCGCTGGTTACTGTAGGCATCCTTTTGAACACCGGGGGCCGTTGGGGATAGCCCGAGATGTCTTCGAAGTGCCGCGGCGGGGGGTCGAACCCTGGTGATGCGGGCGGGGAGCCCCCGACAGAACCACTATACCACCCCTGCAAGTAGGGCTGGGAGGGGCGGGGCGGGAAAGAGGGGAGTGAGGAGCGACTAGGCCCCGGTTTGCCCAGCGCTGTAAATGCGGAACTTTCGGAATTCCCGAAATTTCGGAAAAAAATTAGGGGCATTTTGCAATTTTTAAAATATTATTAAAAAGGTAAATTTCATCCCTAATTTTTCTGAACAAGCAGCACTGACTTATTTTTCAAAAAAACCTATTCCGAAGCCTTTTCGGCCCTTAGAAAGTAGCCTTTTCGTAGGGGTTTTAAGGCAAACATCCTTTATAAATTTATAGAATTGACTATTCCGCAAAGACGATAACAATATTCGGGATCAGCGCAAAATTCTGCATAAGATAGGCTTGGTCCCATCCCGAAGCCGGCTAAGCCTAAGCTAAGCCTATGCCAAGCCTAAGCTAAGCCTAAGCCTAAGCTAAGCCTAAGCCTAGGCCTAAGCCTAAGCCTACGCTAAGCCTAAGCCCTGCGCCTTCTCACCTTGTCGTAGAGGACGAGAGACTGCATGGCTCGCAACGAAGGGGTCGTCGAGTGGCAGGTGATTTTACGTCGGTACCGGTTGCAGACACCGTTGACGTTGGGGCGAGCCTGGAAATGAGTCAAACGCTCTCTGAAGAATCTCTGCTAGCCTGCTCCTTCCTAAAGAATCTCTGCTAGCCTGCCCTCCTCCACCTACCGTTGGCAAACTCCACTCCCAGGGTCGTGCATTGTGCGCATTGTGCGTGGTCCTATGCGGCCTATCGAACACAAGAGTGGTCCGGTGGAAGAAGCGGTCGTTCGGAACACCCACTTTTGGCGGGCTAAAAGTTTTAAATTTGAGTACTTATAAGTTTTGAATTTTTAAATCTGAAGGCTAAATTTAAAGTTTGCAGTAGAAAATTTAGTTTTCACGTTTCTTACGTAATTTTCATAATTAAAAATTCGCTTCTTGGCCCCGCCAAGAATAATCCAGGCTTAAGGGTATGCCAAAGCCTAAGCCTAAGCCTAACCTAAGCAAAGCCTAAGCAGAAACCTAAGCCAAGCCAGGCTAAGCGAGCCTAAGCCTAAGCCCAACCTATCCGCCACAATTCCCGCAATCTTTCTGAGGAAAAACTTACCGTTTGTCGAGGAGATCGTCTCCAACGAAGCCATGGCCTGGGACTCGGGTGCCGGCCCTAAATAAGTCGATGCCTGGGCCTGAGCTAAGCTCAAAACCTCAGCGCATTCCTATTCCTAGGCCCAGGTCTAAGCAAAAACTTAAGCCTAAGCTAAAGCCCTAGCCTAAGATGCCTAAGCTAACGCCTAAGTATCCTCGAACTTAAAAACTCACCGTTTCTCCAAGAGATCGTCTCCAACGAAGCCATGGCCTGGGACTCGGGTGCCGGCCCTAAATGACGACTAAGCCTAAGCCGCAGCCGGAGCTGAAGCTTGAGCCTAAGCCTAAGCTAAGCTGAAGACTAGGCCTAAGTCTAAGACAGGCTAAGCTAAATCGTAAGCCTATGCTAAGCGAAAGTCCAAGCCTAAGCTGCCTAAGCTAACGTCTAGAACCCCTTTCCTTGGACTTAGAAACTGACCGTTTCTCCAAGAGATCGTCTCCGACGAAGCCATGGCCTGGGACTCGGGTGCCGGCCCTGAATGAGACTTGCAAGTCAGCGATAACTAAGCGTAAGCCTAAGCCTAAGCCGAAGCTGAACCCTCAGCCATGCCAATGCCAGGCTGCGCTATCGGCCACTAAGTTTAAACCCAGAAACCCACAGCTTCAACGATTTCTCTTCCGGGGCGAAGGCGCCGCGCGGCATGCCCGTGTGAGCCCTGAAATTCTCAAATGTTCACTGCTAGCCTGCCCTGTACGAGCAAATTCTGTAAAAATTGAAAAAGCCTACAGCTTCAGCGATTCGTCTTCCGGAGCCAACCCATGGCCAGGAACTCGGGTGCCAGCTCTGTAGAAATTTTTCTTCTTTGTCTCTCTCTCTCTCTCTCTCTCTCTCTCTCTCTCTCGCTCTCTCATCTCTCTCATCTTTCTCTCTCTCTCTCTCACCCGCTCATCTTTCTCGCCCTCTCTTAATCACGATCTTCCTTTCTAACTAAGCAGTTGTAGCTTACAGTTGATCTTCGCGCAGGACCGCGTCATGAGGGTGTTCAGCGCCGGCGCTAAAAATTAGAAATTTGCCTTTATCATTCCCCAACGGTATTTGCTGCCCTACCATTTCCTAAAGAACCTCTGCTAGCCGGCCTTTTCCTCATAATATCTGCTAGCCTGCCCTTCAAACTCCAAAAAAACTCACTTCGGGTCCTCCGGATCGTGGACGGGGCCCCGGGCCGACAGCCTGAAAAACACGCTGGGGATTAGCAAAAAATGCGCGGTGATTTTAAAGGGGCCGTGACCGGGCTGGCAAGCTGCCGACCCCGCCTTCAACGTCCCTTTAAAATCCCAAAATTTGCTAATTTTTGTGGAACCACGCGCCTAGCCGGCTCCACCGGCCCCAACGGGACCGATTTCAGCTTGCGCCGCGCCGGGGGAGCTAGCGGAGATTCTGTGGGAACGGCCCCGGGCCCCGCCGTGGCCATTGCCGGGCAAGTGCAGGGAGGGCGGTCCGAGAAAGCACTGTTTTTTTTACTCTTGCAAGGTTTTCCGGGCTTACTCAGGATTTTTGAACGTCTCGGAAACGTCGGCCGGATCGGCGTTGGGTCTAAAGGGGGATGAAAATGACAAAATGTGAAAAATGTGGCTAATAAAAACGCATTAAACGGGAATTTTAGGTTTGGTGGTCGGAGCTAGCTTAGGCTTAGCTTTAGTTTAGCTTAGGTTTAGCTTAGACTTAGCCTAGGCTTAGCTAAGGCTGAGCCGAGACTCCAGCTGATGCTCCTGAAGTAAAACTAACTCATGGAGCTGGCGCTTCTCGCGGATCGGGACGTCTTCAATCGAGCCCACCGACTTTGGTCCGTCTCTGAAATATCTCTCTCTCCCTCGCTCTTTCTATCTCTCTCACTCACTTTCTGTCCCTCTCTCTCGCTCTCTCACGCTCTCGCTCTCTCTAGCTCTCGTTCTCTCCCATGCTCACTCTCTCTCTCTCTCTCTCTCTCTCTCTCTCTCTCTCTCTCTCTCTCTCGCTTTCTCTCTCCTTTTAACTTACCCCAACAAATCCTCATGCTCATCTTGTCTCTTTCCCCTCAAAACCGGCAATCCAATCAACCATGGGGATACGGTAGAAGGCTCTTGACGGCTTTGAGAGTTCGGGAAATTCTGGGTACGATTTCCGTGTTTCCCGGGCCCGCCGCGTTTACGTGGCGCGTCGATCTGCCTCGGCTCGAATGCGTGACAATTGCAGTCTGAAAATTGCGTCGCTTCGGGCTTAGGCTAGAAAAAAGGCCCCAAAACACCATAAAATAGTTCACCACCATCACCAACCTTTCAGGGAGGCCTGAAATGGTAATCATTGTTAAGTAAATAATTTTTTTAGATTAAGATACTTGCTTTTGAAGTTGAATTTAACTAAAGTTATAAAATGAATACAAGCAAAAAACCTCTTTAAAAAGGAGTGAACTTACAGGGCCCCTCGGCCATTGTTGAGGCCCAGGCGTCTTTCTCCAGCATTTGCTCGCGACGCCTGTAAAAATAGCACACTTATCGTAAGCCTAAGCCTAAGCCTAAGCCTAAGCCTAAGCCTATGCCTAAGCATAAGCCTAAGCCTAAGCCTAAACCTAAGCCTAAGCCTAAACCTAAGCCTAAGCTTAAGCCTAAGCCTAAGCCTAAGCCTAAGCCTGAACCTAAGCCTAAGCCTAAGCCTAAGCCTAAGCCTAAGCCTAAGCCTAAGCCTATGCCTAAGCATAAGCCTAAGCCTAAGCCTAAACCTAAGCCTAAGCCTAAACCTAAGCCTAAGCCTAAGCTTAAGCCTAAGCCTAAGCCTAAGCCTAAGCCTAAGCCTAAGCCTAAGCCTAAGCCTAAGCCTGAGCCTAAGCCGAAGCCGAGCCGAAGCCTAAGTCTAGGCTAGAGTTTTTACTTATAGAAATTTTTTGATCCTAGTTTTCCAGAAACGCTGAATTTTGATAGTCTTTAAAAGTAGCTTCAAAAGCTTCAAATTTCTCCGGGTCGAAAAATGATGATACCCATCTGCCAGAGCTTATAAAAGTGTATAAATTATATACATGCAAAAAGGTGATATATAAATAAATCAAGACAACGCAAATAACCATATACAACTCTAATGCCCAGACCTATGGCCAACGCGGCCACCAGCAACGGAATAGAGCGCATTTTTTAGAATGGCTATTCGGCTCTCACTTTCGCCATTTTAAAGGGATTGGGTAGGCTGGCGAATTTTAAGCATTTCCGGGGGAAACGCCAACCAAAAATGGGTGTTCAGGGGAGCCGCGCGGAATTATGGATTCAGATGGCGCGGAGTTTGAGCGGGATTCGGACATGTCGACCTTTTGAAAGATGGCAGGCTAGCAGAGATTATTTGGGAAAGAAGGGTCTTAGTAAAAAGAAGCGGGTAGGCTTTTTCTCTCTCGCGCACTCTCTCTCTCTATCTCTCGCTCTATATGTCTCGCTCTCTCTGTCCCATCACGCTCTCTCTCTCCCCTCTCTCTCCCTCTCTCTCTCTCTCTCCCTCTCCTTCTCCCCTCTCTCTCACTCCCTGCCTCTCTCAGCCCTTTCGTAGATCGAGCCTTGGGATGCTAGCAGAGGTTCTTCAAGAATTTAGAGCTCGGGGCACACTAGCAAAGGTTTTTTTAGGAATCTTTTCATCTTTTGCCCGAAATTCCACATATTCTTCTTTCCTCGAAATTGCAACGTTTTAATGGCAATTTTCCAGCGCCGCGGTGGGCCTATAAAAAATTTTTCCCACACTTCGCGCGCAAGAGCGAGCGCCTCTAGCTCGCAATTAAAAGCCCGAAAAGCCACGCGGCTAATTGCTGGGAAATCGCGATAATTTCAGGGGGTTTGGGTAAATATAAAAGCATGGTAAGCCGATAGAATTGACCATTTCTTCGAGCCAAAAGCGCAATGCTTCGGCTCGCGCTTTTCCTCTGCCTGCTTCAGGTTTTTTATCAGGTTGGTGGAGACAGACTAGCAGAGATTCTTTAGGAAAGGGCAGGCTAGCAGAGATTCTTTAGGAAAGGGCAGGCTAGCAGAGATTCTTTAGGAAAGGGCAGGCTAGCAGAGATTCTTTAGGAAAGGGCAGGCTAGCAGAGATTCTTTAGGAAAGGGCAGGCTAGCAGAGATTCTTTAGGAAAGGGCAGGCTAGCAGAGATTCTTTAGGAAAGGGCAGACTAGCAGAGATTCTTTAGGAAAGGGCAGGCTAGCAGAGATTCTTTAGGAAAGGGCAGGCTAGCAGAGATTCTTTAGGAAAGGGCAGGCTAGCAGAGATTCTTTAGGAAAGGGCAGGCTAGCAGAGATTCTTTAGGAAAGGGCAGGCTAGCAGATATTCTTTAGGAAAGGGCAGGCTAGCAGAGATTCTTTAGGAAAGGGAAGGCTAGCAGAGATTCTTTAGGAAAGGGCAGGCTAGCAGAGATTCTTTAGGAAAGGGCAGGCTAGCAGAGATTCTTTAGGAAAGGGCAGGCTAGCAGAGATTCTTTAGGAAAGGGCAGGCTAGCAGAGATTCTTTAGGAAAGGGCAGGCTAGCAGAGATTCTTTAGGAAAGGGAAGGCTAGCAGAGATTCTTTAGGAAAGGACAGGCTAGCAGAGATTCTTTAGGAAAGGGCAGGCTAGCAGAGATTCTTTAGGAAAGGGAAGGCTAGCAGAGATTCTTTAGGAAAGGGAAGGCTAGCAGAGATTCTTTAGGAAAGGACAGGCTAGCAGAGATTCTTTAGGAAAGGGCAGGCTAGCAGAGATTCTTTAGGAAAGGGCAGGCTAGCAGAGATTCTTTAGGAAAGGGCAGGCTAGCAGAGATTCTTTAGGAAAGGGAAGGCTAGCAGAGATTCTTTAGGAAAGGGCAGGCTAGCAGAGATTCTTTAGGAAAGGGAAGGCTAGCAGAGATTCTTTAGGAAAGGACAGGCTAGCAGAGATTCTTTAGGAAAGGGCAGGCTAGCAGAGATTCTTTAGGAAAGGGCAGGCTAGCAGAGATTCTTTAGGAAAGGGCAGGCTAGCAGAGATTCTTTAGGAAAGGGCAGGCTAGCAGATATTCTTTAGGAAAGGGCAGGCTAGCAGAGATTCTTTAGGAAAGGGAAGGCTAGCAGAGATTCTTTAGGAAAGGGCAGGCTAGCAGAGATTCTTTAGGAAAGGGAAGGCTAGCAGAGATTCTTTAGGAAAGGGCAGGCTAGCAGAGATTCTTTAGGAAAGGGAAGGCTAGCAGAGATTCTTTAGGAAAGGGAAGGCTAGCAGAGATTCTTTAGGAAAGGGAGGGCTAGCAGAGATCCTTTAGGAAAGGGCATGCTAGCAGAAAGCATTTTGGAACTAGGAATTTTTGGAAGAATTTTTGGAACTTTTTTTAGGTTGCTGATGCTGGGATCAACATCAAGGCCTCGCAGGTCTGATTTCAATGCCCAAAATATGCAAATTTCCAGGTGGTTGTCGCCCCACGGCCGGCGGCGCGCATAATCTGGGTCCCGAACCCGAACGTAAGCAAATTTTTCGACAATTTCTTGCTGTCACCATCCCTTTAAAACATGCATTTTGAAGGCGCGGTGACAGCTAGTGATTCCGAGCGATTTAAATTAGATTTAAAGCAATTTATTTCAGTACAAGACGACCACGTGCAAGCCATCGGTGAGCAGCTACTGTTATTTTTAAAATTTTGGATGCACGGCAGCGCCTCCCGTTTGGCAATATTAAAACAGTTCTATAAAAAATCAGTAAAAAATTTAAATTGGATTTGAACCAAGAAATTTTTGCCCTGCTAGACGACGACGCCAAAGCCGACGACGACCACGACGACTCCGGTGAGTTTAGGAAAGCTCTCCTCTCGCTCTCTCTCTCTCCCTCTCTATCACTGTCTCTCTCCCTCTCTCTCATCTCTCTTGCCCTTTCTCTCATCTATCTCCCAATCTCACACTCGCTCTCTCTCTCTCTCTCTCTCTCTCTCTCTCTCTCTAGCTAAAATACATACTTTTTTACTAGACGACGACGACAAGTACGACTACAACAACTACGACCACGACGACGACGACGGTTTGAATTTTAACAAAATCATATTCTGCAAAAAAAAATTGAAAAATTGACTTAAAATGGCTACCGTACCCCAAAAAACAACGGGAAAAAGGAGTAATAAATGCCGAGAGCTGGCTACCATACCCCAAGCTACCGTACCCGACTACCGTATCCAAAACTGCCTTAAAACTTCAAAAATGACAAAATCGGGGCTTTGAAATGTGTCGAATTTTGTGGTTTAGACTCCGACGACCACCACCACAACAACTACGACAAGTACCACGATTACGGTAGGTTTTCCACGTTAAAAAGTTTCAAAAAATTGGTAGCAGAGGTAGGTTAGCAGAGATTCTTGCGGAATTTCCGGGCTGATCTACCATTTTTAGACGACTACAACGACTTCAACGACTACCACTACGACCACGACGACCACTACGGTACCTTGGAAATGTAGTTTGGAGCGTAGCGTACTTTTAAGACGACCACGACTACGACCACGACGACTACGACTACGACGACTACGATAACGACGACAACGACGACAGTACGTTTTAAAAAGGCTAAAAAAGACATGATGCTACGCGTCGGTACGGTAGCTCGGGGTACGGTAGCTTCAGTACGATAGCTTGAACGTATGGTGAGCCGTCTTACGGTAGGGTAGGGGAGCGGTAACTGACGTACGGTAGCGACATGTACGGTAGCTTCAGCCTGGTTGGGGTACGGTAACCGGGGTAAGGTAAGGGGGTACGGTAGCCGGTTGACGTGGATACAGTAGGGCTGAAACCAAAAGTTTAAAAAACTGGCAGCAGAGGCAGGCTAGCAGAGATTCTTGCGGAATTGATTTTCCGTGCTGATCTACCATTTTTAGACGACGACAACGACTACCACTACGACCACTACGACCACTACGACCACTACGACCACTACGGTACCTTGGCTCGAACTGCAATTTGGAAAGTAGCGTACTTTTAAGACGACTACGACCACGACGACGACTACTACTACCACCACCACCACGACGGTAAGTTTGTGCCCCAAACCACAGGTATATTGGGGGTACGGTAGCCAAGCGGGGTACGGTGGTCAAAGGTGGTAAACAAAACTGAGCTCGGGAAATCTGTGTATGCTAAACGGGAGGCGGTGCCGAGAAAAATGCAAAAATGGCAGAAAATACCCTGAAAATTCCTCAAAAAACCCTGCAAGCCGGCCCTCGGATTCAGAAATCACCCTTTCAGACCACCCGCCGCGTGTTCTCCCCAATTCCCGTTAACCCGACGGGCGTCCCATCGCAAGGTTGTTTCTTAAAGATTTTTAAGCTGAGGGGGCGAGAGAGGGGAGAGAGAGAGAGAGAGAGAGAGAGAGAGAGAGAGAGAGAGAGAGAGAAGAGAGAGTGCAAGAGAAAGTCAGTGCGAGAGAGTCAGTGCGAGAGAGACAGAGAGGGACAGAGAGTGAGAGCGAGAGAGAGAGTGAGTGCAAGAGAGAAGGCGAGCTAGAGAGAGTGAGAGACAGAGAAAGAACGCGCAAGAAAAGGAGAGAGAAAGTGAGACAGATAGAGGGAGAAAGAAAGAGAGAGAGAGAGAGAGAGAGAGACAGAGAGAGAGACGGATAGAGAGAGAGAGAGACAGATAGAGAGAGAGAGAAAAAGTGAGAGAGAGAGAGACAAATACAAAGAGCGTAGGTAAGAAAGCCAATTTTTCCAGCCTGCAGATGTCTGAGTGTAGTGGAAATATCCCGAAAACGCCGTTCTGTCTCCGCACCGGCTCGGTAGGTCATTTCCGGAATTTTGCCGGTTTTTGGCAAAATTAGTGTCATCAAAGTGTCCTAAAAGCCCATTTTCCACGTTCCAACCCTAGTGGAACCGAGTATATGCAATTTTTCAGCGAAAAACGCCAGTCAACCGGCAGCTGCTTCAACCCTGGGTCGTCCGCCATCGGATGCACGTCGAGCCAAGCACAGATTATGGTCTACTCGACTTTCTATGATGAGGTGGATTTGGGTTGAGAGAGAGAGAGCGAGAGAGAGCGAGAGAGAGCGAGAGAGTGAGACAGAGAGAGACAGAAAGAGTGACATAGAGAGACAGAGAGAGAGAGAGAGAGAGAGAGAGAGAGAGAGAGAAAGAGAGACATAAGAATATCACCATTTCAATGTCCCAGAACGGCGTCAACGTCTTCAACACGACGCGCTGCTCGAAGAAACCGTTCACCGACGCGGAGATGCTGTTTTGCGGCCGCCCGTATGGCCCGGACGCCTATTATCAAACACCGGATGTAAGCCTAAGCCTAAGCCTAAGCCTAAGCCTAAGCCTAAGCCTAAGCCTAAGCCTAAGCCTAAGCCTAAGCCTAAGCCTAAGCCTAAGCCTAATCCTAAGCCTAAGCCTAAGCCTAAGCCTAAGCCTAAGCCGAAGCCTAAGCCTAAGTCTAAACTTAAGACTACGCCCCACAGCCAAACCCATCGTCCCATTTCAGAAGCTGCACAACATCGTCAAGCAGTCCTGCCAATTCCTGTACAGCGCCGGCTGCCCCTAGCTGGACTACATGTCGGAGTAACGCAAACAGTCCGGAATCCGCTACATAAATTGTTTATAAGCAGCTTGGCCTAAGAACTAAGCATCGTTAAGCCAAGTCTAAGCCAAGTCTAAGCCAAGCCTCAACCAAGCCTAAGCCAAGCCTAAGCCAAGCCTAAGCCAAGCCTAAGCCAAGCCTAAGCCAAGCCTAAGCCAAGCCTAAGCCTAGGTTGTGAATCTTGTACTTCTTTATTCAGAATCGTAGTTTTCACGGGCACGTCGAGTCGCCGACGTACTCGCAGGCGAAGGACAGCACAGTGTGCTTGTACTGAAATTTTGACATTAGCAGAGATTCCCTAGGAAAGGGCAGTCTAGCAGAGATTCTTTAGGAAAGGGCAGGCTAGCAGAGATTCTTTAGGAAAGGGCAGGCAAGCAGAGATTGTTTAGGAAAGGGGCAGGCTAGCAAAGATCCCTTAACCTCTATACTTACATCGGGGCTGACGAAATACGCATCCGGGCCATCCACCATACGCACGCAGGGCAGCCGGTACTCGCTACCGACGTTCGGGTCGACGGTCGAGCAGTGCGTGACGTTGAAGGCGAATTGGTTGTCCTGTAGGGGGAAATATTACAGTATGGTCTCGATAGCTTGGACTCACCACATCGTAGAAAATTGACGTGACGCGGACGCCGGCCTGGGAGGAAACGCAGGCGAACAGAAAGCTGTAGGGGTTGAAACAATTCGTCGTGGCTGCCGCTGGGGTGGCTGGATTTGCCAGGCTGAAAGTTTGGGTAAAAATCCTAAGGAATCTCTGCAAGCCTGCCCTTTCCTAAAGAAAGCTGAAAGTTGGAGTAAAAAGCCTGAAGAATCTATGCTAGCCTGTCCTTTCCTAAAGGATCTCTGCTAGCCTGCCCAACTGACCCGGGAGCCGCGAGCTGACGAGGTTTATCGAGATGCGTGACATCTTTGCAGCGGCAATCTAAACAGAGTTATCGTTTAGCGAGAGCGACAATCGAGAGAGAGACTGAGAGAGAGAGCGAGAAAGAGAGCGAGAGACAGAGAGAGGGCGAGGGAGAGAGTGAGATAGAGAGAGCGAGAGAGCGAGAGCGAGAGCGAAAACGAACTATTTCGCGCCGCTGTCGGCACAAAGGTGATCGGCGTAAACTGTAAAAGATACTCTTAAAGTCACTTGAAAGCAACTTACAGCTCTTCTCGTCGTCGCGGCAGTAGTTGTCGTTGTCGTCTAAAACTCGATTTCTGAATAAGAAGCCGACTTACCATCGTCGTTGTCGTTGTCGCCACGGTCGTCTAGAAAAACCAGAGTTGGAAAGCCTCGCCTCTCTCTTCCTCCCGCTCTCTCTCACTCTACCCACCGTCTCTTCACGCCGCGCCATCAGCTCCTCCTCTTCGTCAGCCGTTGGCTGCTGAGTTGTTTGTCTCGGCAGCCCTTGGACAGCCAAGAATACGACCGTCAGGGCCAAAAAGCAGCTGCGGGACATTTTTAAAATCCTGACTACATTCTCGGGAGCATTTTATAGGCAAATTTTCCGATTATCGGCTATCGGAGTGGCCGGAAATTGGGGTCCGCCCAATTGTCCGGGGCCCAAAATCGTCCAATAAACCGATGAAAATCGAACCCTTTCAATTTTGATCTATTTGGGAAGATGGTCTCCATCTCCCCGCCCTTTCCCAAAGAATCTCTGCTAGCCTGCCCTTTCCTAAAGAATATCTGCTAGCCTGCCCTTTCCTAAAGAATATCTGCTAGCCTGCCCTTTCCTAAAGAATATCTGCTAGCCTGCCCTTTCCTAAAGAATATCTGCTAGCCTGCCCTTTCCTATAGAATATCTGCTAGCCTCCCCTTTCCCAAATAATCTCTGCTAGCCACCCTTTCCTAAAGAAGCTCTGCTAGTCTGCCCTTTCCTAAAGAATCTCTGCTAGCTTGCCCTTTCCTAAAGAATCTCTGCTAGCCTGTCCTTTCCTAAAGAATCTCTGCTAGCCTGCCTCTAGATTCCCACACGATCTTTGCTCGCTTTCTCTGCTCCATCTCTCGTACGTCGTATGACGGTCATTGTCTTAGCTTTTCCGCTCCACGTTGCGACATCGTGCGAAAAGTCATATGTAAATTTTCGTCGTAAAATCTTGAGAACCCGGTCCCCCACCTTCCCAGCCAGAAATCACCAATGAGTTGCAAACTTCGGGACCCCCATAATTTATAGCCCGTGCTATGGGCGGTCGTAAAATGAGCGCTAGTTTATTTAAAGGGACGTCGTAGTAAAGTTGACATTTTCTAACGGGAATCCCCCAAGAATGTGGGCTCTCTATTTTGGCGCTCTAATTGTTGGCGTTTCGGCGCAGGTAAGCTGAATTTCGGGTGCAGGCTAGCAGAGATTCTTTAGGAAAGGGCAGACTAGCAGAGATTTTTGGGGAAAAAGCAAAAACCCCAACTTTCAGGTCTTCGGCGCCATCGACCTTGGAGACACTGGCTATGGTGGAGCACCGGTCGTCCATGTTTGTCTCAGTAGAACCTAAGCCTAAGGCTGAGCTTAAACCTATGCCTATGCCTAGGCCTAAGCCTAAGCCTAAGCCTAAGCCTCAGCCTAAGCCTAAGCCTCAGCCTAAGCCTAAGCCTAAGCCTAAGCCTAAGCCTAAGCCTAAGCCTAGGCCTAAGCCTAAGCCTAAGCCTAGGCCTATGCCTAAGCCTAAGCCTAAGCCTAAGCCTAAGCCTAAGCCTAAGCCTAAGCCTAAGCCTAAGCCTAAGCCTAAGCCTAATCCTAGGCTCGGCGCTTTTGCATTGTCGGGGGGAGGGGATGATGAACCGAAGTTTTCCTACAAGTCGAGAAATACCTGGTAGTATAATGGCACGTATTTTAATAGCATTTTTTGGCCAAGTTTAGCTATATTTAAGTGGAAAAAAACATTCTAAACACTTCAAAAATTTATCTGGGTGAAATTTTCGTCGAAAAATCGGTATTTATCGGTATTTTTGCTGTTTTTTAGTAGAACGTCGGTTCGTTCCCCCGATACTGCAAAAGCTCCCTAAGCCAAGCCGAAGTAGAGGTCAGCCCCGCCTTTTAGACGGACCCTACAGAGGCTACACCTGCAACATCGACTCCGACTCCTGCTCCGACTACCGTAACCACCCCGATCTACGTGAGTCGCATTCCGTGAAGTTTCTCGTGCTGCCGTTGAAGCGTGCGTAGAAAAAGGCTAATATCGACGTTTCGCTGCCTAGGTCTTCCCAGCTACGAAGTGCAACAAATGACAATGCACGATACGTTTTTTTGCGTCTTCTTTAGCTATCAAGGCGTAGTAAATGCAAGCGCTGATTGCCGTCTCCTTAATCCCCATCAATCTGCAATTATACCCTACTACTTTTCAGACCGGAAGCTACGTCCTCAATGGAGAGTGTGGGTTTATGCACGAAATTATCTCTCTCTCGCTCTCTCGCTCTCTCTGTCTCTCTCCCTCGCTCTCTCTCTCTGTCTGGCTCTCTCTAGCGCTCTCTCTTACTAGCTCATCGGCTCTCTCCCACTCTCTCTATCTCTCTGTCACTCTGTATGCCTCTCATACCTCTCTCGCTCTCTCTCCCTCTCTCTCTCTCTCTCTCTCTCTCTCTCTCTCTCTTTCCTTGCATTCTCGACACCCTTTCAGACTGTGAATGTATTGAAGACGCCCAGCTGCCTACGTCTAATAGTGGCGCCATCCGGACCGGCAACTACGACGACGCCAGAGTCAGGTCGACCCAATTGCGAATTTATTTTTCACTTTTGCCTCTCTCTCTCTCTCTCTCTCTCTCTCTCTCTCTCTCTCTCTCTTTCTTTTTCTCGCAAACTCAATATCCCCTTTTTCAGGAATTGCGATAACATCTATACCAGCCGGCCTTACGTGGCCAATATGTCGACGGAAGAGTGGAAGGGTCAGGGCTATCGACTCGCACTCAGCGTCCACTTATACGCCCAGGTATGGTTCGTAATTAAACCCCTTTTGCACATTCTTCCTCTATTTCGTCTCTCACCATAATTTTCTCTAACTCTTTCTCTCACTCGCTCTCACTCGCTCTCACTCTCTCTCACCTCTCTCCCTCTCTCTCTCACACACCTCTCCCTTTCTCTCCCTCTTGAATGGGAAATTGACCACCTAGGATGGCAAAATCTACGAGACGATCACGAAGTGCGTTGACCCGGCACTTTCCTATGTGGCTATCACGCGTCAGGTATCGGAAAACATCACGCATATTTTTACAGCGTTCTGATAATAAATTCTATACAGTAACTTATTCAATTTATTCATTTTAGCGCAGTTGCGTGCGCAACATGGACGGCCCCGCGAACTGGTTCATCGATCTGGAAAGCAAGATCACGCCGGTAAGTCGAGAAAGAGCGCGCGCGAGAGAGGGACACAGAGAGAGAGAGCGCGCTAGAGAAAGAGAGAGAAAGAGAGTGTGAAGGAGCGAGATATTTTTACTCTTTAATGTTCCGAATATTACAGGCGCCAGTCTGGTATTGGAAAGCTGAATCCAGCATTGATGAGAATGATTCGTGTGAGGTGCTATGAACCTCTGAATAAAGTTTTGTGGAATTGATTAAGCCAATATTATTCGTGCACTGAGAGAGGACGAGCTCAAAGAACCTGGGCCCTTTCCTAAAGAATCTCTGCTAGCCTGCCCTTTCCTAAAGAATCTCTGCTAGCCTGCCCTTTCCTAAAGAATCTCTGCTAGCCTGCCCTTTCCTAAAGAATCTCTGCTAGCCTGCCCTTTCCTAAAGAATCTCTGCTAGCCTGCCCTTTCCTAAAGCATTTCTGCTAGCCTGCCCTTTCCTAAAGAATCTCTGCTAGCCTGCCCTTTCCTAAAGAATCTCTGCTAGCCTGCCCTTTCCCAAGGAGTGTCTGCTAGCTGCCCTTTCCTTTTTCGCCTTGATTCGCGGACAAAAATCGAGAATCCCGGAAATGCTCACAATTCGGCTTGAAATTCGGGCTTTTGCCACGCCGTTTAAAACGCGGTCGGGCGGCCAAAAACCACATTTTTTGGGGCAAAATGAGGTCCCTAATAATTTTCGTCATGGTTTTGGTGGTTGGTAGGTTTATGCGATTACGATAACCACAGAAACGGCTAAAGTAGAAGTGGAAGTTTAGAACTTTGGTTCAGGGGTTTCCAGCAAGTGCAAGGCTCATCGGGGCAACAACACGCCAAAATTGACGTCGACGACTCAGCAATTTGTAAGTTCCGTCTTTGTCAATTTCTCTCTCCCGCTCTCTCTCTCCCGCTCTTTCTCTCTCTCTCCCTCTCTCCCTCTCTCACACACTCGTTCTGTGTCTTGCTTTAATGCCGTTAATTCAGGCTTTTTCAGACCGGCTCCTGGATCGCTAATGGGCACTGTGGGTTTAGCTTTAAAGTATTCCACAAATGCTCCCTGCTAGCCTGCCTTCAATACCCTTTCTAGTCTGCAAGTGCGTGGAGAATGATCAGCTGCCGTTGTTCAACGCCACGTACTCGAAAGCTTCGGCCAACTATCAGCTGGCCAGGACGCAGTAGGTTTCTCTCTCTCGCTCTCTCTCTCCCTCTCTCTCTCTCTCTCTCTCCCTCTCTCTCTCTCTCTCTCTTGCCCTCGCACTCTTTCCAACACTCCGTCAGAAACTGCGACAACCCCTACCCGATGCCGTTCACCTGCAACCAATCGGTCGCCGAAATTCGGCAAGCCTGGAAAGGATACGGAGCCGTCCTCTCATTTAAACTTTACGCCCCGGTTTGTTATTTCAGGATTTGCTTTCCGAAATGATCTCCGCTAGTATCCCTCGCTTCCCAAATGATCCCTGCTAGCCTGCCCTCTTTAGAATGGCAGCGTCTACTTCGAACCATCAGTTTGCCTCGACCCAAAGCAGCGCTTTACCGTGCTGCAACGCAAGGTAGATCGCTGCCGTATACGGGATAATTAACTCAAATACCGAAATTCAGAGAACCTGCATGCGCCGTAGCGGCGGCGAGGCCGCCTACTTCGTCGATGCCGAAATCATGGACCAGGCGGTGGGTCGGGAAGCTAAGCATAAACCTAAGCCTAGCCTAAGCCTAAACCTAAGCCTAAGCTAGACCAAGCCTAAGCCTAGCCTAAGCAAGCTTAAGCCTAAACCTAAATGAGGCCTGAACCTAAGCCCAAGCTTAAGCCTAGCCGAAGCCAGTCTAAACCAAACCTAAGTCTGAGCCCACACCGAACCTAAGCCTCATGCTTAGCCTCCTAAGCTTAAGCTTGAGCCATAAAGAGAGAGAGAGAGAGAGAGCGAGAGAGAGAAAGATAAAGAGAGAGCGAGAGAAAGAGAGAAGAAAGAGAGAGAAAGAGAGAGCGCGGGCGAGAGAGAAAGATAAAGAGAGAGCGAGAGAAAGAGAGAAGAGAGAGAGAGAGAGAGAGAGAGAGAGAGCGAGAGAGAGAGACAATCTCCAACTTTCAGGCCCCCGTCTGGCTCTGGCAATCCGCCTGCTCGGTGGACCAATCCGACGACTGTCCGCCGCTTTGATAAAACCAAAATCATGCATAAATACGCTATTTTTGCACCGAGATTTGCTAATTGTGATCAGAAACAGCTTTCCACACTTTATTCAAGCAGTTCGACGTAATATTCGAGATTCCAGGGGCCCTTGAAGTGATGGGGGGAGGCTTGTCTGGAAAAATGGGTTTGAAAAGATATCCTCCCCTCGCTCTCTCTCTCTCTCTCTCTCTCTCTCTCTCGCTCACCTCGCGACGGCCAACAAGTTCTCGCTGGTCTCGAACGCTTTCCCGGTGTTCCACGTCGGGCAGCAGATTCTGGAAATTCGCACAAAAACCCAACGAAATCCTACAGTTTCTCCTCGCCGGTCAGGTGAACTTTTAGCCCGCCATTAGTGCACGAATCGTTGCAGACCCCGTCGGAGGCTCGCACGATGGAGAGGCGAAGCTTGCGGCCTGGTGGCGCCTGAAAGAAAATTCTAGCTGGCTCCATCCCTTTAGAAGGAAAAAGCAGACATGGCAATCCCGGCCGGCCCAGCCGCCCGGCCGAGCCGCCGGCCTAATTTCCATAAAAACCCGGCCCCATACGAGCCGGCGTTAATGACTTACTTCCGGAAACCCGGCTCCCCGGCCCAGCCGGCATTTAGTTGCGGCCCGGCCAAGCCGGTCCGGCCGAGCCGGGAAACCGGAAGTTGTTCATTTACTTATAGACTCCGTGTATCCTATGCAAAATTGTGAATGGAAAATGATAAACTTTCTATGGTGGAATAGTTTAGCCCTTGCCATAAAGCTAATTATTGATTGAATCCGGAATTTGCGTACCGCAAACGCGAAAATCTCATTTGGGTCCGGCTTTCCGGCTTTTCAAAAGCCGGCGGCTTGGCCGGGGCTCCGGCCTCAAAACATAAAAAGCCGGGGCCGGACCGGAGCTCCGGCCCAGCCGCGCGTCGGCCGCTCAATTTTTCCGGCCGAAAAAAGCCGGCGGCCCGGCCGTTTGCCATGTCTGGGAAAAAGTATCTTTCTGAGGAATCACTGCTAGCCTGCCCTTTCCTAAAGAATCTCTGCTAGCCTACCATGTACAGAATCTCCTTGCTGTTGTCGAAATCGAGCGGCTCCTGCTCGGGCTCCGTGCTGACGAGGCCGAAGCCCTCGAAGCGGAAGTGCTGAGCTTTGTCGAGCTGAAAATCTCCCTCTCTCCCTTTCTCTCTCTCTCTTGCCTACCTGTATGACCTGTGGATGAACAATGGGCGGAGCGGCCTGAAGATGGTAGAAAAGGAATGGGAAGAAACTGAGGCCCAGCATCTGTTCGTTGTGGGACCACCCAAATCGGGTCGTTAGTTTTTCCGGCAAAAAGGCTGTCGAGGAGACGTTTTTTATAAACAATGAGGAGAGGGAGGGAGAGAGGGAGAGAGAGAGAGAGAGAGAGAGAGAGAGAAAGAGAGAGGGAGAACGGCTTGGTGTTGACGGCTTAAGTCGAGAGAGAAAAACTAAAGGAACTGGAAGGCGATGGAAGTAGGTTATCTCTCTCTCTATCTATCTCCTTCTCCCTCTTTCTCTCTCTCTCTTTTTGACAGTCTCTCTCGCTCTCGCAAGCGCGATTCAAAGGAAAAATGATGTCGGGGTTAAAGTTGAGTTGACGTTCCGATGGGCTGACCAGAATTTTGCCTTCCTAAGCCCTTTAAATGCTAAAAATTTAGAAATAAATGAAATTTAGGTCGAAGAATGACTTCTGAAAGTAAAAGAAGCGGCGTCGTCAACAATGCCGCCCAGTTGTGTTTATATTTTGCGCATTTTCGGAGAGGAGGAGCCCGAAAAAAAATGGCTGCCCCACCACAGAGGCCAGATGTTATTTGGGAAGCGAGAGAGAGAGAGAGAGAGAGAGAGATAGAGAGAGAGAAAGAGAGAGCGAGAGCGAGCGATTTCCTTCGCGATCACTGCAAGCTGGCCAGGATTTTCAAAGATTCTCTGCTAGCCTACCCTTTCCTAAAAAATCTTTGCTAGCCTCTCACATTCCATTCAAGCCAATCGCTAGCCGTAAGCCCCATTTTTTGTGGTGCTGCCGTTCCACTATACCCGGATTTCCCCCTCGGACCACAAAGAATGGAGCGTAAATCGAGAGATAAAGGAGGCGAGAGAGAGAGAGAGGGACGGAGAGAGAGAGAGGGAGAGAGCCGGAGAGAAAGAAGTGAGCATGAGCCCCTTTGGTCCCTTACACATCGTCATTGGCGGGGAGGGTGGCGGGGGTGCCCCCCACATTTTAGCCTCTACACTCACACACACACCTTTACGCTTTCCGGATTTATTGCCTCCGCCGGTTAATTCGGGATTTATCGAGTGTATAATGGCCCTGATTGGATGAATTGCGCACTAATGGAAAGACTGGATCCGAAGCCTCTGCTAGCCTGCCCTTTCATAAAGAATTTCTGCTAGCCGCCCTTTCCTGAAGAATCTTTGCTAGCCTGCCCTTTCCTAAAGAATCTCTGCTAGCCTGCCCCTGCCTAAAGAATTTTCGCAAGACTCGTTAAATCTCTCGGTAAGAATCTCTGCTGGCCTGCCTCCAGATTCGAATTCGATGCCCGAGTCCACCGTACCCCCCGGAAGTCGGCTTATCCACCCCCTCGGATCCTCCACAGCTCATCCCTTCCCCACCCCATCTTAATCGGCCCGGAGGTGTAGGGCAAAATTTCGAAAATTCACGGATTTTTATGGGGATTATCCTGCCCTTGGCGGGCCGAGAAGGTTCCGACCCACAACTAGTACATTCGGGCTCGAATCAAGGATTTGTATATTTGGGGAAATGCGGCCAAAAGGACCATTATTCGACCTTTAAAATGAGGTCCCGGCGGGTAGGCCAGCAGCGATTCTTGAGGAAAGCCTGGGGCAGGATAGCAGCAACCATTTGGAACTATTTTGCTCTCCTCTCTCTCCCTCTCTCGCTCTGTCTCTCTCTCTCTGTTTCTTTCTCTCTCTTTCTCTCTCAGCCTCGCTCTCTCTCTCCCTCTCTCCCTCTCTGTCTGTCTGTCTGTCTGTCTGTCTGTTTCTCTCTCTCTCTCGCGTGAGTTATTCAAACTCCAATTTTCTTGTCAATTTCAGGAAAGCTTCCGTTGTTTACCCATTCCCAATCATGTGGGGGTGAGGAGAAAAATGGAAATTTCCGTTTGAGTACTGATAACTGGGCGGCAAAAGGCAAATCGGCTTGCATTTTTGCGGGTCGGTGTGGGGGTGTGACGTTCGCCAAAATCGGCAAATTTCTCTCTGTCTCTCTCTCTCTCTCTCTCTCTCTCTCTCTGTCTCGCCATCCCATTTGGTCGGCTAAAAATTGGATTTCCCAGCCACACTATTTGCCTTTTCCGCCAAAAATGATGGATGACCTTGGCGAGGATCGGGGTTGGATGTTGATGAACATCATTTTGTAAAAAGCTTCTATACTTTTGTCTCTACTTTTCTAGACTTTTGGATGGCTATCGAGCAGTGTTTATTTGGGAAAATTTAGGCTCCGGGCTTCCGAGATGTTTTCTTGATAACTGCATTTTCCTAGGTCATCTGGGGTGACTTTGGCTTGGCTTACTTGGCTTGGCTTAGGCTTGACTTAGTTAGCTTGGTCCTAAACGACTTCGCTAGAATTCCGGTTCTGGACTGTTAGCGGGGGGGGGGAGATTTTAGCAGCCGGGAAAACTACTGTCTTTTTTTCCACCTCTACCTACCTCTTGATGATCTCTTATGTATTTTTATGGTGTTTTTAGTAGTTTTTGATTGCTATAAAGTTATAAAAATATTTTTAAACGTCTAAAATTTAAAAAATTTTACCTTTATCGTCATTTTTCACGGATTTTTGACCAAAAAGTAAAAATTTGCAACGATTTGCATTATTTTTATATTGTTTTTATATCGAAAAACTATGTAAAACGCTATAAAAATGGTTTATATTTTGCTATAGGGCCGTAGGGAATCACAGGGAAAAATTTCGTTTCCCCCCGCTAACCGTCCAGAACCAGACGTCCCTAAAAACTCCTAAAAATTCCAGGCCGGGCCCCCGGCGCGGGGGCCCGGCCAGAATTCCTGCTCTGTTTGTGTGTCTGTTCGTCCGTCTGTTCGCCTTGTGAGTGGTGTGGGGGTGGGCCATCGATCTGGGGGGTGGTGGGTGGGTGGTGGGCCCTCGGCGGGCCCATCATCCCGTTGCTCTCTCTCTCTCTCTCTCTCTCTCTCTCTCTCTCTCTCTCTTTCTCTCTCTCACCCCCCAAAAACGGGGAGGTCGATTTCTCTAATTCCTCTCAATTTCCCGGGGCCCCTGTTGGGCCCTCTGAGGGCACCGGGCTTTTGGCCGCTGCGGCGTCAGATCGTGGGTCGTTTTCCCGCGCGTGTTTCTCGGCGGGCCCCGATTTCCGGGGGCCCAGCTTCATGTAGGTCCCGTGCCCCCAAAGGGGCATTTCCTCAATTTCCTGTGTTTACCTTGGGTGTTGCAGTACCGGTTGACGACCGTGTTCTACCGTAACCCTGCGGTTACAAGCCATTTCCTAAAGAATCTCTACTTGCATGCTTTTTCCTAAAGAATCTCTGCTAGCCTACCCTTTCCTAAAGAATCTCTGCTAGCCTGCCCTTTCCTAAAGAATCTCTGCTAGCCTGCCCTTTCCTAAAGAATCTCTGCTAGCCTGCCCTTTCCTAAAGAATCTCTGCTAGCCCGCCCTTTCCTAAAGAATCTCTGCTAGCCTGCCCTTTCCTAAAGAATCTCTGCTAGCCTGCCCTTTCCTAAAGAATCTCTGCTAGCCTGCCCTTTCCTAAAGAATCTCTGCTAGCCTGCCCTTTCCTAAAGAATCTCTGATAGCCCGCCCTTTCCTAAAGAATCTCTGCTAGCCTGCCCTTTCCTAAAGAATCTCTGCTAGCCTGCCCTTTCCTAAAGAATCTCTGCTAGCCCGCCCTTTCCTAAAGAATCTCTGCTAGCCTGCCCTTTCCTAAAGAATCTCTGCTAGCCTGCCCTTTCCTAAAGAATCTCTGCTAGCCTGCCTTGGTCGTTCCAGGTATGCCAGCCGCCCTATAATATGCCTCAAATCTCCACTCTACCGTAACCAGACCATTCAAAAATCATCCAAAACCCGAATTCAGAATTTCCTGTTTTCTCGAACTACCGTATCCGTTTGATTCAACTCCGGAATTGCCTATTTTGGCTGCCCGGAAATTCGGGTTCTGGGTCCAAAGGCCCCTGGGCTACGGACCCACAATTCCTCATTTCCGGCTAATTTTTGGATCCTGTTTTCCATGAATTGGTTACAGTAACCCACCGCGGTAGGCCAGATTTTTGCGGATCGGACTTTCCTAAAGACTCTCTGCCAGCCTGCTCTTTCCTGAAGAATCTCTGCTAGCTGCCCACCAAAATGTCACGATCCCCCTAAGCCCCGTGGCCTAGCAATTCTGAAAATTGTGGGGGCCCTCCCTCGCTCGCCCCGTTCCAAGGCACCCCCCATTTCCCCATTTTCTGCCCTTTCCGGGCTGGCCTTTGGCTTCTTTCTGGCGCGCGCTCTCTCTCTCGCTCTCTCTCGCCTCGTTTTTCGTGAATTCAGAATTGGGCTTCACCCTCCTCGTCCTCCTGCTCCTCGTCGTCCAGAGCCCCCGAAAAGCCCCCTCCCCCGCCCCCACCCACAACCCGGGAGAGGGGGGGCTGCTTCTGCGTTTTTTTTTCTAGGTTTAGGCGAAAATTTGGTTTTCGGCTTCTTTTGCCTTTTTCAACACATTTTCTGCTTCAATAGGCCTTTCAAGCCCAAGCCTAAGCCTAAGCCTAAGCGTAAGCCTAAGGCTAAGCCTAAGCCCAAGCCTAAGCCTAAACCTAAGCCTAAGCCTAAGCCTAAGCCTAAGCCGAAGCCTAAGCCTAAGCCCAAGCCCAAGCCTAAACCTAAGCCTAAGCCCAATCCAAGGCCGAAGCAAGCCGAATTCTAAGCCTAAGCCTACGTAGGCTCTTCTCTCTCTCTCTCTCTCACTCTCTCCCTCTCTCTCTCTCTCTTTCTTTCTCTAATCCTCCGCTCTCTCAGCCACACTTTCCGAGTACGGGCACCATTCCCGTATATTGTAGCGTTGCGTTGCGTCGTCAAGCGCTGATAAATCGGCGGCGAAACCAGCTGCTGTTGCTCATTTTGCGCCGGTGTCGCACGGCCAACGGCAGATGTTTTGCGAAAATTTTCAGGCTCCCCGCCGGCATTGTGGGGAGTCGGGCTCATTTAGTATGCTAGACACGTTTTAATACTATGGTATACTGTAATTGAGCCTTGAGAATCTCTGCTCGCCTGCCCTTTCCTAAAGAATCTCTGCTAGCC